ACCCGGAAAAACTGTCTGCGGACAAACGCTGGCTCCCTCGGCCAGTAAAGCAACATGAGCACCGCAACGGCAGAGTCGGTCACGACTGGACCTAACGGTCAGGGGTCCCTTTACCTTTTTAAACTCCTGTCTGGCACCCAAGTGATTGTTTCCTAGGTTCCAGGTGACTATCTTCTCTTCTTCCAACGCAGCCCACAGGCTAAAAAATAATAATAGAAGGTTCTCCACCCCTGGGCTTAGTTACAATAAACCTTTTCTCTTGATCTCTCTGTGTGGAAACACAACACAATGGTTAGGCAAGTTTTGACCTGCACATTTTGCTCCTCGTGCCTTCCAGAGGGCACTGAATTGTCTCTCTCTCTCTCTCTCTCTCTCTCTCTCTCTCTCTCTCTCTCTCTCTCTCTCTCTCTCTCTCTGTGTGTGTGTGTGTGTGTGTATTGCAGCGGCTTACAAAGCAGAAATTGATCTGATCAGAGCAACTGACGATGGCAGAAGCTGGAACTTTGTGCTATAAGCATTTAATGTATTTTTAATCTGTTGTTGGAAGCCGCCCAGAGTGGCTGGGGAAACCCAGTCAGATGGGCGGGGTAGAAATTAATAACAATAACAATAACAATAATTTCTATTTTGTTGCTGAAATAGATATATGTGGTTATAGTGACTAACTGCATCCTACCAGCTTACCTGGATTGGTTTGATGCTTTTTAAAAATCTCTATCTCTCTATCCCCCTATCCACCAGTGTAAGAGTTAGAGATGGTTAGAGTGTCAGACTAGGACCCAGGAGTGACCCAGGTTCAAATCCTGCACTTGGCCATCTAGCTCATTGCGTGCCACTTTTGGCCACCTGCTCACTCTCAGCCTAACAGGGTTGTTGTGGGGATTGAACAAGGAGTTGTGGAGAACCATGAACGCAAAATGTGAGATGTAAATGCAAAAAATAAAAATGCTATTTATCTTTTAAACAGAGGTTCAAGGGCTTTTTGGGAAGACCCAGCCTGTCCTCGGTTTCCCCATCGACGATCCTTGCTCAAGCTGAGTTGCTGCTGGCTAGCGTTGACCTAATTCCCTTTGGCATGCACCTCTTTGCAACATCGCATTGAGACGAAGCAAACAATCACCCCTGAACTTTCTGAGGACACTGCGGGATGTTCATTGCTCTGGGTTTTGATCCTTGCCACTGTCTTGGCGCTGCTGCTAACTCCTGTCCTCAGTCTCCTGCCTGCAGAATGGGAACAATCTTCCCAGCCCACACAATGAGGCCGTTGCACAGACGCATACCCTCCAACATTTCTCCGATTGAAATAGGGGCGTCCCATTCCATAATGATATTTTTTTCCTATTTATACCTCCACACATCTTACTGGGTTGCCCCAGTCACTCTGGGCAGCTTCCAACATATATAAAAACGCAAGAAAACATAAAAAACTTTCCTATACAGGATTGCCTTTGGCTCGGGGGTCGGATAACTCCATACCCTCCAACTTTTCTCCAATGAAAATATGGACATTAAAGAACCTTTTAATGAGGGTGAGCACAAAATATGGTCTGAAGCTCAACATCAAAAAAACGAAGATCATGGCCACTGGTCCCATTACCTCCTGGCAAATAGAAGGGGAGGAAATGGAGGCAGTGAGAGATTTTACTTTCTTGGGCTCCATGATCACTGCAGATGGTGACAGCAGTCACGAAATTAAAAGGTGCCTGATTCTTGGGAGAAAAGCAATGACAAACCTGGACAGCATCTTAAAAAGCAGAGACATCACCTTGCCAACAAAGGTCCCTATAGTTAAAGCTATGGTTTTCCCAGTAGGGATGTATGGAAGTGAGAGCTGGACCATAAAGAAGGCTGATCGCCGAAGAATGGATGCTTTTGAATTCTGGAGGAGACTCTTGAGAGTCCCATGGACTGCAAGAAGATCAAACCGATCCATTCTTAAAGAAATCAGCCCTGAATGCTCACCGGAAGGACAGATCCTGAAGCTGAGGCTCTAAGACTTTGGCCACCTCATGAGAAGAGAAGACTCCCTGGAAAAGACCCTGATGTTGGGAAAGATGGAGGGTGCAAGGAGAAGGGGACGGCAGAGGACGAGATGGTGGGACAGTGTTCTTGAAGCTACCAGCATGAATTTGACCAAACTGCGGGAGGCAGTGGAAGACAGGAGTGCCTGGCGTGCTCTGGTCCAGGGGGTCACGAAGAGGCGGACACGACTAAATGAGTAAACAACAACAAGGAAAAGCGGGACATTCCGGGATCAAATCAGAAACTTGTATGGCTTTTCTAAATCAGGGATGTCCCTGGAAAATAGGGACACTTAGAGGGTTTGCAGATGCCTTAAAATTGGGTTCCTCCAATTTTCAATTGTGCATTCACAATAACCGGGGTTTGTGATGACAGTATTGAGGCAGTTATCCACGATCCTGCCGGCAACGGTTTTGGGGCATCCATCGTATTTATTCTCCAATCAGTACATGCCCCTTATCCTCCTGCCGAAATCCCGCACCCTTCCATACGACAAATGTTCCAGGTGTGTTACCGACGGTAGAAGAATGGCGGATGAAGGTGTTGGCGTTTTTGGAGCTGGCAGAACTGACTGGGAGAATCTGCAGTCGGGAAGAACAGGAACACCAAGAAGATTGGAAGAAATTTAAAGACTATTTCGCTAAATATTGTAATATAAGATAATTAGAAAATACTTGAAAGTACCAAACAGGCCTAGGATTAGAAGAAGAATGTTGTTTATTAATATGGATCTAAGTCAATAAGAAAAGAGATGAAGATAGTAGATTGAACGAGTTAATTGGAGTAGAAAGATGATTTTGGAGAACTGTTATAAGGTGATACAATGAAATTCAGTTAGAGGGGATTCAAGGAAGTCAGTTAACAATGAAATTTAAAATGAACTTTAGAAAGAATATGTGTTTTTAGTTTCATTTCTTTTCCTTTTTCTTGTAGTATTGTAGTGTGTTTTCTTTTATATGTTTTATCTGTTAAAAACAATAAAAACAGTTTTGGGTGGGAAATATTCCAGGTGTGTTTATTTCCTTTCTACTTTTGCCGAGCTGCGCCGCAAAAGTGCCCCGCTCCGGACGGCGGTAACTTGGTAACATTGCAGAAGCATCGCAGAGCAAATACAAAAGAGGACTGCTGTGTGGATGGCCCAGTATCGATCCACCGCTAATGTGCTATTATTTGTGTCAATGGTGCGTTGCAGAACACGCCTGGAGGAATCCCTAACGTAGGAAGTGAGAGAACTGCGCTTTCCGTTCTGGCACCTGTCTGTCTCGGGAGACAACGGCGGAGTGCTCCTTTGGGGCTGAAATCAAACCATTGGAGAGTTACAGCGCCTGCTGTGGCTGTAGAGGCCGATACGGGAGAGACATGTTTTGTTGCAGCCGGGGCAGATGAAGGCATCCGGTTGTTTCTTCTCCCTATGGTCATCCCAATGGTCATTCCTCCTCTGGTCACTGCTGACTGTCTCCAGGCACTGCGGTCGTCTGCAAGGGATTCCCACACAGCAAGGTTTATTCGGCCAGCCTTCATGTCTCATCTGCAGACGTCCACTTGCTGGGAATGTGAGTTTGGCAGAGCACATCTTTGTTTGAGACTCTGTCCTGCCATGTGACACCCCAATTCCTCCTGGCTTATTTTGAAGACATTGAGGCGCTGCTCCTGAAAGCTGTAAGTTGCCCATGACTCACTTCCATGTCGTTTTTAGAAAAAAGAAGAAGGAATTGACTAATATTGCATATTCTCTTTGGCAACATTTTTCTTTAGACAAGCCTGCCCAGAGACGTAAAATGTTGGTGTGCATTTTCCAGCTTACCACTGATTTTAACTTTTTAAAGAACACGTTTTAAATAGTTGTTCTTAACTGTTTCTCTCTCTTTTTTTTTAAAAAAAGATGATATTTATTGATTTTTTAAATTATATACTATACATACACATATTACATTATATTTTACATTTGTTCTTGCTCTCCCAAGCTCACTTCCTTCCTTCCGGCTTTTTCGTGTTGTCTTTAACTTTTCGCATCGTCTTTATCCATTTTGTATATAGTTGTTCTTCAATTTTTGTCCATGAAATATCTGTAAACAAATAAATCTTTCTATATGTACAATTCTTATTGTCTGTCTATATTCATTTACAAATACTGTTCAACAATGGTCATAATATGTTCTTAACTGTTTCTCACTGATCATTTTAATAGGGCAGCCGTATTCCAAAAAGGGAAAATTCAGACACCAAAAAGTTGTTTTTTCAGTTTTGCCCAAAGTTGTTGTTGAGCTTTCTAAGGAAATTTGCCAGAACCTACACTTCCGCCATAGGTTGCCATACGTCTGGATTTCCCCAGACATTAGGTGATTTCCACCGGGACACTGTTTCCAACAGCCAAATCTTCGTTATATCCGGATATATGGCAACCCTAATTTAAATTCTTCCCATAAGCAGCTTTTAGGTTGGTTGGTTGGTTGGTTTTCCCTGTCCAGCAGTGCCTGCATTTCGTGAAATAAGTAAATAAAGACATCTTCTTCTGAGGCTGATCTCCTATTTGGGGACTTCCCTGGCTTTTGGCTTTTTTCTGGCCCACGTAGGACCAGTCTGGATAGTTAGCCTTGGTGAAGACTGGACGTTTTCATCCCCCAAAAAGTTTCTGAGTTTCTATTGAAATGAGGCTGCATTTTAATGTTGTATTTTAATCTTGTTTTTAAGTTGTATTTTAATGAATTGTTTTTATACTTGGCGTTAGCCACCCTGAGCCCGGTCTGAGGGCAGGGTATAAATAAAATTTATTATTATTATTATTATTATTATTATTATTATTATTATTCCACTTTAGACACCCATCCTGCCCATCACCTGTTCCCTCACCTGTCAGGTTTGGGCTCACGTCTCAGAAGGACGTCATTTTTTATTCCTGATGCTCCAGTTCCTGGTTGCAGCCCCGCCAGGGATAGAAAGGAATTACGATACTTGGCAGCTTGCCTTGCGAAAGGCACAGACTTCTTGGCTTGAGAGCTACAGACCGGACTGGTTTTTCCTTCATCCACTTATCGCGGGCTGGTCGGCTGAGGCCCTCCCTCAGGGTGCTGGGTGGAGGTGACTTGTCACTGCCACCCGCTCACGTAGGACAAGGCACTTGCTGCTGTCCGGGAGAGAGACACAGAAAACAGCCAGGTACGTTCTTCAGACGTGGGGGGGGGGGTTTTGGGGGGGAGTTGCATTTGGGAGTTGCCAACTTTTAAAGACCAGTCCCGCTCCTCTGCCTTTGTGATCTGCTTGATGCATAGAAGACTGGGAGGATGAAGCTTTTACCCAAACCGGCTCCACTCTGGGAAAAGGTCTCACCTGTTTAATTCCTGCTGTTTAACATCATAGGGACACAGTGGCGCTGGGGGTTAAACCACAGAGCTTAGGACTTGCCGATCAGAAGGTCGGCGGTTCGAATCCCTGAGACGGGGTGAGCTCCCGTTGCTCGGTCCCTGCTCCTGCCAACCTAACAGTTCGAAAACACGTCAAAGTGCAAGTAGATAAATAGGTACCGCTCCGGTGGGAAGGTAAACGGCGTTTCCGTGTGCTGCTCTGGTTCGCCAGAAGCGGCTTAGTCCTGCTGGCCACATGACCCGGAAGCTGTACACTGGCTCCCTTAGCCAATAAAGCGAGATGAGTGACGCAACCCCAGAGTCGTCCGCGAATGGACCTAATGGTCAGGGGTCCCTTTCCCTTTAACACCATAGGAGTCAGGAGGCTTTAGAAAGTTGGCAACCCTACCTAGGATCTGGGGTTCAGTTTAAGGCAGGCTGATGGAATGAATGGAGTATTTCTCAAACTGATCCTGAAGACAGAAATGAGAGAGGCGGCGGGGAGTAAATTTTCGAAAGGGGATTAGTCTCAAACCATATTCCTCCTCAGTGAGACCTTAAGCAGGTGTCCCAGGGGATCTCTTGAGGGGTTGCAAGTGAGAGAAATTAATGTGGGTTTATTATTATTATTATTTATTTTTTATTTTTTTTATTTAAATTTTATTAACATATAAAACACATACATATACATTTACACAATACACGTACACAACACACTACCTTATTTTCATAACATAAAACATACCTACATTATATAATACCTACCTATACTATACATATCAACACACCTACCCCACACAGAGACCCAACAAGTGACTTGACTTCCAGCCGTTCTTGTTACACTACTTTATTTTTCCAGCTAGCTTGAACGCATTTCATTATTTCTTTAATCTCTTCTTCTATCTTGACTTTACTCTCCTTTCACTCTAATTGTATTCTGGATTCACTTAGTTTCTGTCAGAAATTCTACTTTTTCCACATAAATTTTGATGTCTTCCTTAAAGATAGTCCGCTCCTTATTCACTTTTTGTATCGCTTATCTTCCCTGTTTGTTCGGCAATATGGAAGTATTCCATCATTTTAGATAACCAGTCTGTTTTAGGTGGGACGCTGCTGCTTTTCTAATTTTTGCTGTAGTTGCATACATAAATATTGGTCTGACTGTTCTTTTTATTTCCTCTGACATGATACCTAGGAGGAAGGATTCTACACATGTGGTGGGAGTGCAAAGAGAGAGTGGGATTCTGGGAAGATATCTATAACGAACTGAAAAAGATGTTTAGATTTTCATTTGAAATTAATGTGGTTTGATTAACCACAAGGTAAATCTACCTTGACTCTTCTACCACTCAGCACAGTTGAGTGTCCATGACTCATTTTGTTTCAAGGGAGAAACACTGTTCTTTCTTTCTTTTATATACATTTTTATTGATTTTTTTAAACATATCAGTCCCAACAGTTATACAACATTTCTTCTCATCTTATACAATATTTTAGATTTCCGTCAACACCACTGATGATTTTCCGTTCTTTATCACTTATTCTGCATTTCTTAATTTCTATATTACATTTAATTATCCTTAACTAATAATTCTCTTCATAGTCTTTCTTGCAGTATTTCGAATAATCCACCTTACAAAACTTCTTGCCGTCCTAACTAGCGTAATCTGTTCATCACAATTACTTTTCAAATAATTCATATATTTACTCCAGTCTTCTAAGAATCTCTGGTCCCGCAGGTTTTGAATCCTTCCTATTAATTTATCTAGTTCTGCATAGTCCATCAACTTCATCCTCCATTCTTCTTTCATCGGTAGTTCTTCTTGCTTTTTGTGCCAATAATATTCTTGCTGCTGTCATTGCATATAAAAACAACTTACAATCCTGTCTATTAATATCATCTCCCACAATGCCAAGTAAAAATGCTTCTGGTTTCTTAATAAATGTGTATTTCAACATCTTTTTCATCTCATTATATATCATTTCCCAGAAGTTTTTCCCTTTTTTACATTCCCACCAGGTGGAGAAACACTTTTCTCCATGTATTGCGGCTGGTATCCTCCAGGTACTTTTCCCAGTCCTCTTTTAAAGCCATCCAACTTGGTGGCCATTATCAGCTCCAGTGGCAGAGAGTTCCGCAGTTTAACTCCGCACATTCAGCTTCACTAGTGTTATGACAGAGCTTTCTCAAGCTCAAACCTTAGTAAGTGTCCAGATTCCTCCGTCTCAGACACAGAGGTCAGGTGGGATCTCTCTGTGCTGTGTAGCTTGCGATAACAGCCCCCCTGTCTGTTGTTTTCGAAAGCTCAGATTTGGCAGCTGCGGGCGCAGGATGTCGCTGGTGAACGGAATCGAGAGACGATCCTTGGTCAACGAAATCCTCAGGCACCTGCCCCTTGCGGATAAGGTGAGCGCTTGGCTTGGCACTCGTCAAATCATGAAGATTTCGGAGTTTCTGGTGACCATTCCATCTCTGTCTTATTTTGCTCTAGACAGCTGTTTGGGGCACTCTGGGGACGATCAGACCCCACCTGAACTTTGAGGTGGAAAAAGATGTCCAAACTCTCCTTGACGCCGTCAGTGGGAAAGGTAACAAATCACAGTTGTGGTGTTCGTGTGTTGTGTCCTTGCCGGTTTTTTCCTGTATATATGTATTTCGCACAGAACAGCCCTGTGAGGTAGGTTAACCTCAGAAGTAGCGATTTGACTGAAGGTCGCTCAATGAACTTTTTCTCTCAATGAGAAAGGAACTGAATGTGAGCCGCTGCCCTCTGTACAGTCTGACAGCGTCACATTCAGCCGAGTTTTAATCGATGCACGTCAGGACTCAAACCCGTAACCCCTGGCATCTTACGAATGGCACCACGTAGGAGACGCCGGCTCAAAAAGTGGGATGCAAACCGACAGATCCCCTTTGTATAAAGTGTGCGGTTATATATATGTGTTTGATTCATAAATGTGACTTCTCCTGTTACAGAATTGAAAGGGGGGGGTTATATATGTGAAGAACATATACAGAGAACCACGGTTTAGTGGTTAGCCTCTAAATTTGCTATCCTTTGTGACAGGTGTTGAATATGTAACCGTCATTGACCTACTGACCAACAGGAGCAATGAACAGAGGCAGCAAATTGCTGAAGAGTTCCTGAATTTCACGAAACAGGTGAGGATGGGAAGGAGCAAACCCCTGTTAGATCTAGAGGGTTTTTTTGGGGGGGAAGGGAATCCTATATTAGGCGGGTTTCAAACTGACCCTTCAAATGTCCATCTGAGTGCCAGCTTTCTATAAACTTTGGCTAGTTTGCCAGCTTTGGCCCATCTTGACTTTACCAGCCATCATCATCATCATCATCATCATCATCATCATCATTTATTTATTTATTTATTTATTTATTTATTTATTTATACCCCACCCATGTGGCTGGGCTTCCCCAGCCACTCTGGGTGGCTCCCAACAGAATATTAAAAACACAATAAAAGATCAGAAATTAAAAACTTAAATTAAAAAAATTCCCTAATTAGGGCTGCCTTCAGATGTCTTCTAAAAGTCAGATAGTTGTTTATCACCTTGACATCTGATGGGAGGGCGTTCGACAGTGCAGGCGCCACCACCAAGAAGGCCCTCTGCCTGGTTCCCTGTAACCTCACTTCTCGCAGGGAGGGAACCGCCAGAAGGCCCTCGGCGCTGGACCTCAGTGTCCAGGCAGAACGATGGGGGTGGAGACGCTCCTTCAGGTATACTGGACTGAGGCCGTTTAGGGCTTTAAAGGTCAGCACCAACACTTTGAACGGTGCCTCGAAATGTACTGACCATAGTGTTGATGTTTAGTCGTTTATCGACTCTTCGTGACCCCCTGGACCAGAGCATGCCAGGCACTCCTCTCTTCCACTGCCTCCTGCAGTTTGGTCAAACTCATGCTGGTCGCTTCGAGAACACTCTCCAACCATCTCCTCCTCTGTCGTCCCCTTCTTCTTGTGCCCTCCATCTTTCCCAACATCAGGGTCTTTTCCAGGGAGTCTTCTCTTCTCATGAGGTGGCCAAAGTCTTGGAGCCTCACCTTCAGGATCTGTCCTTCCAGTGAGCACTCAGGGCTGATTTCCTTCAGAATGGAGAGGTTGGATCTTCTTGCAGTCCATGGGACTCTCCAGAGTCTCCTCCAGCACCATAATTCAAAAGCATCCATTCTTCGGCGATCAGCCTTCTTTATGGTCCAGCTCTCACTTCCATACATCACTACTGGGAATACCATTGCTTTAACTATACGGACCTTTGTTGGCAAGGCAATGTCTCTGCTTTTTAAGATGCTGTCTAGGTTTGTCATTGCTTTTCTCCCAAGAAGCAGGCGTCTTTTAATTTCATGACTGCCGTCACATTGACCTCTCCTTCAAGGATCACTTCCTTGTTGTGGCGAAGGGGCTTGAATAACTCAGAGAAGCTATGAGCTATGCCATGCAGGGCCACCCAAGATGGACAGGTCATAGTGGAGAGTTTTGACCAAACGTGATCCACCTGGAGCAGGAACCGGCAAGCCACTCCAGTATCCCTGCCAAGAAAACTCCATGGATAAAGACTGACCATAGTAGTTCATACCTTTGTAACAGTCGGCTTAGACCACTGCAATGCACTTTGCCTGGGGCAGCCTTTGAAGACTGTTCAGAGACGGTTTTAATCCTCCTCCTCAGGCATTTCTATTTCCCCTTCTCAGGACCTCCTGAAAACTCTGGAAGCAGCTTTTTCCGGGCACCTAGAGGGCGTGATCACGGGTCTGCTGAAGCCGGCAGCTCAGTTTGATGCTCATGAAATCAACCTGGCCCTGAAGGTACGGCCATCGGTCCCTGTCTTGCTCAGTCAGGCCATTTGTGCACCTAGCCCTGCATTGCCCACACGGACTGGCAGCAGCTCCCCAGGCTTTCAAGGAAGGAGCATTTCGTAGCCCCACCTGGAGATGCCCAGGGAATGGGAAGATTGAACCGGGCACCTTCTGCATACGAAGCAGGTGCTCTCTCACTGAGCTTCCTGTAAACAGAAAGTAAGATTCTAGTCCTCATGTTTAAAGACCACTTGCCCATCTAGCTGAATATTGTCTACACTGACTGGCAGCAGCTCTCCAGCAGGGAGATGCCAGATTTGAACCTGCGACCTTCTGCATGCAAGAAAGCAGGTGCTCCACGCATTGGACTATGGCTTTGCCGGGTCTTTTCCTCCTGGTCCTATTCATGGACCAGGGTCTGAGTTGAGATGCGGTTGCTAGGCAACCACAACATCCTCCATTCCGCACCATCCGAGGGCAAGAAGTGAGGGCAGCTTGCTTGGTCTACCCAGAATTTTAATCTGGTTTTAGTCTCTTGCTGTTTTAAGTTTCGGGAAATCTTAAATAACTGTTGCTAATTTTTGTTAGGAGTGACTTTATTCATCAACTTTTTTTTTTGCAAACGGCTTTGAGGGTGTGTGGGTTTTATTTTATTTTAAAAAATCAATCTATGCATTTTATGAAATAAATAAATAAAATACTTAGCAGCTTGGAAGCTGACCGCATCGCCTCCTCCTCTCCGCCCTCTTGCTGCTCTTGAGCTCCCTTGCCTTTTCAAGTGTTGCCACATTTAAGCTGCTAAGGTTACTCAACAAACGCCCTTCCTCTTTCCAGGGCCTGGAGGCAGATACGCTTCTCGAAATCCTCTCCACCCGAACCAGCCAGCAACTCCGGGAGATCTTGAGTTGCTACAAGCATGGTAAAGAAGGAACGAAATAAAAAATGATACACTTTCTTCCCCTTGTCTTTTAAAGGACAGCTAAGGGTGGAGGGTTGTGGACGTACCTGGTTTGGAGAAATTGGAGAGTTATTCATGCTTTCTGAGAATCCCCAAATCATTAAGCCATGGGTGGGCAAACTAAGGCCCGGGGGCCGGATCCGGCCCAATCGCCTTCTAAATCTGGCCGGTGGATGGTCTGGGAATCAGTGTGTTTTTCTCCTTCCTGAGGGAAGGAGCTTCTGGGATACAAAGGATCTGCTCCTGGGATGCCTCTTCCCTCACAAACCGCCCCCCCCCCCGAAAAGGGGAAATTGGTAGATTGCCAGCAGGCTGCCGAGTCTTTCTCAGTAGACCAGAAAGCCTTTCTTGACTCGGCTCGAACTGTAGGAGAGCTCTGAGCCTCGGTGTTCCACAGATGTAAAATGGGCCTGCGTGCCGCTGCACCACGTTGCTTTTTCCTCCTCCCTCCCAATCGCTTTTCCTTTTGTGCCGTGTCTGTCTTATTCCTTCATGCTTCCAAGCTGACCTGGAAAGCTTTTCCAGCAGTGAGCAGCGGGTTAAAAAATGCTTTGAATGGATGAGTAAAAATATTAATTCTAGCCTGGTGTGAATTTCTCTCTCTCTCTCTCTGTTTTTCACCTAGAAATATGAGTGGTTGTGAATGAGAACCTAAAGCATGGGTAGACAAACTAAGGCCCGGGGGCCGGATACGGCCCAATCGCCTTCTAAATCCGGCCTGCGGACGGTCCGGGAATCAGTGTGTTTTTTCCTTGAGTAGAATGTGTCCTTTTATTTAAAATGCATCTCTGGGTTATTTGTGGGGCATAGGAATTCGTTCATTTTGTTCTTCAAAATATAGTCCGCTCCCCCCCCCCCAAGGTCTGGGGGACAGTGGACCAGCCCCCTGCTGAAAAAGTTTTCCTGACCCCTGCATTAAGCCGATAGGCTGCAGATTTCGGGACAGGGGGAAAGCAAGTCATCCTTTGCTCAATGCATCGTTAACCTGCAGAACTCGCCGCCACAATATGGCATCATGGACTTTTTTTTTTTTTTGTAAAGTTGATTATTTAAAGAAGCACTTCATATTATTGTTATTTGATGTAAGCTGCCTTGGAGGTACTTGTGTTTAAAGGTGGGGTGTTTGTTTGTTTGTCTGAGCATCCTTTTAGACCTCATCCTGTTAACATAAACAAGTCCCTCAAGTCATCATATAAAATGAGGTGTTTTGGTTTTTTTTAACCCAGGAGAAAACAGAAAAGAGAGAGATAGGTCCTGTTAACATAAACAAGCCCCTCAAGTCCGCATATAAAAATGAGGTCATTAAAAAACAAAACGAGGAAACCCCAGCACAAAACAGAAAAGAGAGAAATAGGTTCCACAGTTTTTGTTCCTGCTTAAAATCCTAATGGCGTTGCTTAACTCCTGAAAGTCTGTCAGATTTGGGTAAAACCATTTCTCTTTAATCCAAAATTGTTTCTTCCACTGTGCCTAGATTTCAGTTTGGACCTCGAGAAGGACATCACTTCGCAAACCAGCGGCTTCCTTCAGGGTCTCCTGCATGCCTTGATCAAGGTAAAAGTGGGGAAAAAGGACCATTCAGAGGCACTTAGGGCATTTGTGTCTTTGGGGTCAATTGAGGAGCCAAATAAGGATTCAGACATAGCAATAATTATAGTAATGAAATGCAGAATTGGAAATGATTTTAGAAAACCATTAGACGGGGTTGAAGGAAGTCTTAGGCTGTGATAGCCAAAGATTTGATTTGATGTTCGTGAGATGCTATGCTGGAAAATATGTGTAAAAACCAATAAATATTATTATTTTAAAAAATAATGAGGGGCTAAATGAGGTCATCTGGCCCTCTCTACCTGGCTCCAGGGACTCTCCCCAGCCCCCAACCAGCCTTTCTTCGCACCCTCCCCAAGTGGCTTTGCCCAGCTGAATCACGGGAACTCTAGTTTGCTAAGGGCGCTTAGAACTGTAGCAGCTTTGGAATCATCTCTGTAAATAATTATGGTTAATTGGGTAAAAATAGATACTGTGTGTATATATATATATACCTATATATATATATATACACATAGATGTATATTATTATTTTATTATGAAGATGCTGATAAGTTTAGGTAATAGGTTTATTAGAGTGAAAAGATGTTGAAAAGGACGGGAAGTCTAATTTAAGTACTAAATTTATACTAAGAAGACACATATCTTTTTGTTGGAATTCTTATTCTGATGTTTGATTTATAGATTACAATATGTCTTAGATGTATGGATGCAATTTGGGTTAATAAAGCATTAAAAAAACAGAACTGTAGCTCTGTGCTGGGGAAAACTACAGTTCTCAGGATTTGAGTGGGGGCTTTAAATGGGTGCTGAGTTTGCTTTGGTACAGATGGTCCTATGGTTGTAAAAAAAGAGGAAAAGACTGTGGTTGATTGCAGGGACATTATTGTTGGCACCCGTAGGTCTCGGGAGACCACGGAGGAGTGTGTCTTTGGGGGTGAAGTCAAAGGGACGTTGTAAAGTCCTTAAATTTGGCCCAAGGTGACACGGGATGTGCATACCTAAAATTCACACATGCTGGTTTATGTTATAGATGCAAATTTAGCCTGCTTTTCAGAGGGAAAGCCATTCTATATGCAATACTTTTTTCAAAATCACCTAAAAAATAAATAAATTTTAAAATGGAGGAGGAAGGTTTAGGAGACCTGTGATTTACTTCAGAAATATTTGGGGTTTTGGATTTCCCCCAACAAAGCCTTTAATTAATCAGGAAGCATATTAAGAGTTTTTTTGTATTTTAAAAACATTTTAATGTATTAAGCATCAACCTTGTGACCTCCAGACGTTGTTTATTACTATTATTATTATTATTATTATTATTTACCCGCCCTTCACTGTAAGGTCCCAGGGTGGGTTCCAATATAAAAACACAATATTAAAAACAGTTTAAGAAAACTTACCTCATGGGGCTGAGTCTGAAATATCCAGAGAGGCCCAGGATGGTGAGATGGCCTTATATGCAAAATTTATGTACCACTTAATAATAATAGTAATAAAACTAAGCAGTGACATAACTAGTCTAAAGTATTCATTTAAAAATCAGCAACTGAGCAGTCATTTAAAAACACAACAGTGGACATAATCAAATTATCAAAATGCAATTACGGCAATCTGCATTGGGAAGGGCTGTTTTAGAAGAGGAATTTGCCTTCCAAGCAGAGGAACAAATATATTCTCTAAACTTTAAAGCAACATGCCGTCATCACCTCCGTTTCGGGTCTAGGAAGCAGGCTCCAGGTTTCTGAGCTGCTGTTTTCACCCCATGCAACTGAAAGCAGTCAGCTTATCTGCATGCAATTAAAATGGCTCATTAAAAAGAAAAAAATCTGGTGAGAGGTCTGTTGGAAATATTTTAAGTGGGGCGCACGGCAGATTTCAGGCTTCTCACGCGCCCAATCTGTAAAAACATTCTGGGAAAACAGCGGCTCTGAAAATAAAAGCGGGTAAGTGGCTAGTCCTCATTGTCTACTCCCCCCCAAATATAATCTGCTTCTGTTGAACATGTGGATCCTGATGCGCCATTATCTGCGTCTTAGCAAGAACGTGAGATCGGACACTAGGGGTCTGAGCCGTTTTGCCTTTGCCCTGCTGTTTTACCAATAAATCGGAGCAAACATCAGTCGGGAGAAAACCCAATGGACATTTAATAATAATAATAATAATAATAATAATAATAATAATAATTTTTTATTTATACCCTGCCCTTTCCGGTTCAGAAAACTGGGTTCAGGGCGGCTAACAACAAATTTAAAACACTTAATTGCTGCAACAAAAAACCAGTATAAAACGTGAATAACAATAAATTCAAAAATCAATTTAGGGGGGAAATCCATCCAATAAACATTAAATGATCACCAGGGCTAGCTGGCTAAATTAGTCCTATTTGGGCCAGCGAGGAGAGCAGGGGAGAATTAGCTGTGGGATCCCAGAACGGGTAATCTTCATAAAAAGGGAAGGAAGGGGAATAAAAGATCAGGCTAAGTTGAAATTGAAAGCCAGGCGGAATAGCTCTGTCTTACAGGCCCTGCGGAAGGAGGTTAAATCCTGCAGGGCCCTGGTCTCCTGGGACAGAGCATTCCACCAGCTGGGAGCCACCACTGAGAAGGCCCTGTTCCTGGTGGAGGATAATCTGACTTCCTTAGGCCCGCTCCGATTCAGCGGTAAGGATCGGGTTTTCCCGGGGGGAAAGTGGAAGTGTGGTTTGAGCCTTAAACTGTCCGTTCTCTAGGCCCATTAAAATCGACAGAGCGGCTTAGAAACAGCTAGTTTACGTTGTTTCTGTGGTGATGGGAGGAGTAAAGCGTAGTTAATTTGGATCCAACTCAAGGACTGCCAGCCCACGGCCAATGTCATTGACGTCTGATTTTCTGCTTTCTCCCAGGGCAACCGTGAAAGGTACTCTGGGGTCATTGACTATGTCTTGATACGGCAAGATACGCAGGTGAGATGTCCAAGTCTGGAAATGAAGATTATTCAGACCCCATGATCTCTCTGATGCATGCAAGCCCTGTTGAGATTGTCTCTATCCCGTTGAAAATGAGATTACCCCATGGTTCATAAAGGCCAAACGCATCAGAATACACAACAAGGGTTTGGCCTGATCCTGCCTGTTATGTACTGAGTTGAATAGGATCCAAAATGCAGCAGTCTGATTGGTCTGTGCGCTGCTTGGGTGCGCTGCTGTACTCGGTGCACCTCCTCCCTGTCGGATCCTGAGTCGTCGGTGAGGTCTTGGTGGTGGTGGACCCTCGGTTGGGACGGCAGGCTCGGCCGTGCCTCTTGCGTCGACCTCTTGGCAGCTTCCGTTGCCAGGGCCTCCTCCAGAGCAACCTGGAACGTTAGGTCCTTCTTAGTGTAGAGGCGTCGTTGCAGCTTCTCATCCTTCAGGCCACCGACGAGGCGGTCACGAAGCATGTTCTCCAACTCTGAGAAGTTGCAGAACCGGGCGGCTTGGTGGAGAGAGGTCACAAACCCAGTTATGGTTTCCCCAGGGGCTTGCCGCTTTGCGTAGAAGGCATTTTGACGAGCCACCACTGATGGCTGCGGCAAAAAGTGCCCCTTCAGCTGTTCCATTATTGTTTTGTATGGAACAGTAGCGACGTCTTCAGGCGCAAGGAGAGCCCAGGCGATTTCAAACGTCTCCTCTCCGCAGACGCTGAAGAAAATCGCCCTCTTCTTCGTTGGTGACCCCTTTGGCTTCTAGGAGGAAGGTGAAACGGGAGGCGTACGCTTCCCAGTCTCCGGATGCTGGGTTGAACGGCGAGAAGCTGCTGTCGGTTGCCATTCTGGGTTCCTTGTGTCCCGGAGCTGAAGCCTGGATACACGGTGCGAGGCAGCGATGCGGCGGGTGGCGGTGCTGTGTATGGCGGTCAGCTCAGCGGGATCCCATCCTCGTCGCCAGTGAAATATACTCAGAGTCAAGAGTGGATTTCATGCTCTTTATTCAGCTCATAGTGGTGAGGAGGAATGGAAGTTCCCCCAGAATATCTGCTTTATATACATTATTTACACAATAGGCCCCACGTGATTGGCTAATTCCAGGATTAACCTGTAGGCCAATCAGGTTGCGGATTCACTTCCATCTGGAGCTGGATTGGGTGGCTCCTGCGGACCAATCAGACTGCTGCATTCTGGATCCTATTGTTCTAGGACCAATCAGACTGCTGCATTCTGAATCCTATTGTTCTAGGACCAATCAGACTGCTGCATTCTGAATCCTATTGTTCTAGGACCAATCAGACTGCTGCATTCTGGATCCTATTGTTCTAGGACCAATCAGACTGCTGCATTTTGGATCCTATTCAACTCAGTACATAACACTGCCGCTGAACTCTCCTCGTGTTTTCAAAGAATGTGTTCCACCCATGCTCCCTCCGTGTTTAATTTCTCATAAATTTCCCATCAAGTTGACCGAACGGCTTTAAGGAATAAGCTGCGCGTGCAGATTCGAGGTGCATTTGTGCATGCTATTATAGATGGCGAAGCAGCGATAAGGAATGCTTTTGCATAATCAAATGCTCTGTTTTGTATGTATGAGTGCAACTGTATGACATGATTTTAAAAATCGCAGCTCTATAACCGCCCTGATAAAAAGCTCTTCCTTGTCTCGCATTCCTGTTCTGTGAGGTTAAATGAATAATGATGGAGTTGGGGGAAAACCGGCTGCACTGGATCAGAGATAATTAAGACCTAATAGGTTTGGGGGCTAAAGCTTCAGGGCTCCCCAGTTTCTATTAAGACTGGGTGTACTCCTTAAATGAGGCTCTGTTCTTACTCATGTTTAATACTGAGACTACCCCTCTCAGTTGTATCCCTACACATGTTGCATCCCTAATTTGAAAGTAGATCTAAACACAGGGAAACCCCTGCTATAAATAAGTCAGAAATTAGATTGTTTTAACAAAAGGGGGGGAAAAAACTCTATGGAAAATCACTTTTTAAAATTCCTTGCTCTCTAGCGCCATCTCTGTTGCGTGTTTATAGCGCATTCAAATCGCTGTTTTTTTACTAACGTACCTGAGTCCTCAGATATGTGAGGAGCAGGCTCTGGTTACCCTGCGATTGGATGGCACCGATTTCACTCTGCGCATGTTCTGGGGATTGCTTCTACACCCCATGTCTTGTAAGCTCAAGGCCTGTTGGTTTAAATAGGTCATGCGGCACTTCAAATAGGTCCTGGGCACTGGACTGAGTACTGATCCCTGAATTAAGTTGTTACGACAGAGAGGGCTGTTGCGACTTCAAAAAAGGCTGTTTTTATTTCGACTGTGCAATTGTTTTGTTCAGTGGTGTGTCTCTGTGGGTTCTTCCAGGCCCTCGCGGGTCCCGGAGGCGGCGACCCGGGCAGGTTGGATGAGAGCGAGTGGATCAGGATCCTAACCGAACGGAGTCCCCAACATCTAAACAGAGGCAAGGTCTAGTTTGCAAAGCTTGCAAGTTGCTGTTTCTGGGGAAAGGAGTTGAGTTCAGCCATGCTGGCATTCTATGCAATGCACTAAAACGGCGTTCTCATGGGCCCCTGAGTCAGAGCCAATAGGTTTTTCAGGGGCTCTTCCCTTCATAATAAATAATAATAATAAAAATTTTTTTTATCAATACTCCGCCCTTCCCGGTTCAGAAAACCGGGCTCAGGGCAGCTAACAACAAATTTAAAACACTTAATTGATGCAACAAAAAACAGCATAAAATACAGTATAAAATGTGAATAACAATAAATTCAGAACTGAAAAATCAATTTAGGGGAAAAATCCATCCAATAAACATTAGATGATCACCAGGGCTAGCTGGCTAAATTAGTCCTATTTGGGCCAGCGAGGAGACCAGGGGAGAATTAGCTGTGGGATCCCAGAGTGGGTAATCTTCATAAAAAGGGGAGGGGGAGGGAAGGAAGGGGAATAAAAGATCAGGCTAAGTTCAAATTGAAAGCCAGGCGGAATAGCTCTGTCTTACAGGCCCTGCGGAAGGAAGTTAAATCCTGCAGGGCCCTGGTCTCCTGGGACAGAGCATTCCACCCGGTCGGAGCCACCACTGAGAAGGCCCTGGCCCTGGTGGAGGATAATCTGACTTCCTTAGGGTCCGGGACCTCTAAACTATGATTATTCAGTGAATCTGCTTTTGAGGTGACCCCTTCAGAGTGTATAAAGCAGCTTCTGACATTCCTAACATGTTTAGAAGCAGTCTGGCTTAATCTTTTCTTACTCCCACAGTGTTCATCTGGTACCACAAGATGACTGGGCTCCAGGTGGAGGAAGCCATGAAGAAGTACTTAGAGGGGAAGGCCCTCGAGGCTGGCTTGACCCTGGGTAGGTAAAGGGGCATGGGCTGGATGTGACCCCCCCAGAGCCTTTCTATCTGTCGTGCTTGGAGGGGGGCGATGCATGAATGCAGAGATAGATACCTTGCTCAGACCCCACATGGAATACAGTCATACCTCGGGTTACAGACGCTTCAGGTTGTGCGGTTCCGGGTTGCACACCGCGCCAAATCCGGAAGTACCGGAACGGGTCATTTCCGGGTTTCCGCGCATGCGCAGAAGCGCTAAATCATGCTTTGCACATGCGCAGAAGCGCCAAACCATGACCTGCACGTGCGCAGGTGTGGCACTGCGGGTTGCGAACGTGCCTCCCGCACGGATCACGTTCGCAACCCGAGCGTCCATTGTGTCCAGTTCGGGGCTCCCCAGTTTAAAGAGGATGTTGACAAGGTGGAATGTGTGCAGCCCAAGATGATCAAGGGTCTGGAATACAAGCCTGATGAGGAACGGTTGAAGGAGTTGGGTACCTTTAGCCTGGAAGATAGGAGAATGAGAGGAGATATGAGAGCCATCTTCAAATATCTCAAGGGCTGTCACATGGAGGAGGGAGCAAGCTTGCTTTCTCCTGCTCCGGAGGGGAGGACTCGAACCCATAGCTTCAAGTGACGAGAAAGGAGATTTCGACTAAACATCAGGAAGAGCTTTCTGTCAGTAAGAGTTGTTTGACAGTGGAACGGTCTCCCTCGGCAGATGGTGGACTCTCCTTCCTTGGAGATTTTAAAGCAGAGGTTGGATGGCCATCTGTCATGGATGCTGTAGTCGAGATGCCTGCATTCCAGGGGGTTGGACTAGATGACCCCCTGGTGTCCCTTACGACTCTACAATTCTGATTCTATGCATGTGAATGGTATCTATTTGTGAGCAGGGTGTGTATGTCTATCTACTCTTGACTCTGGCCTCATCTGCCGTAAAGGAAATAACACACCAAACATGCTCAGGGACACTCTCGTCCTTGACGATTTCATGTTTTCTGTAGAGAGGTCTGGCCAGGAACAAGCAGGAACTGTGAGATTATAGTTAGTGGCTCAGAAACCTGGGTTTGGAGCAACTCTGACAGAAACGCTCACAGGATGGGCTAGTCTCTCGCTGTTGGCCTAGCCTACCTCGCAGGGTTGGTTGTGAGAATACAGTGGGGTGATTTCTCCCCCATAACCAACTGGGCATGACCCAGAGCAGTTTGGTTGAGGAGGAGGAAGTCAACAGGTCAAGTTGCTCCAGCACAGAGCTGTAATGTTGTTGGTGAATTTCTACCTGCGATACAGTGGTTAAAGACGCCCGAAAAGCTGGGGATTTTAGAAAAGAAAGATTGGCTTGTTTGGGGTTCTTCTTCTTCTTCTTTGGCAATCACTCATAGCCAAGTAAGATTGTCTTCCATAAACACAGTTTTAACAATGAGTCCGTAAGTGACTGTGGAGGCCAACTCTGGATCCACACGTCCTTCCACAGTGGGGACATTGGTTTTCGGGTGGGAGTTGATCATGGTGTGGATTTGCCAAGCGTGGATTTGCCTTCCTCCTAGCATGTTTCTCCCTTGCGTGCTGAGTTCGAGTTTCTTCAAAGCCCATGACTGTTCTCCAACTGGAGCACTCGTAGGCCAGTGTTTCCCAGTTGTCAGTGTTTATACTACATTTTTTAGATTTGCCTTGAGACAGTCTTTAAACCTCTTTTGTTGACCACCAGCATTACGCTTTCCATTTTTAAGTTCGGAATAGAGTAGTTGCTTTGGAAGACGATCATCAGGCATCCGCACAACATGACCAGTCCAACGAAGTTGACGTTGAAGAATCATTGCTTCAACACTGGTGATCTTTGCTTCTTCCAGTACGCTGGTATTAGTTCACCTGTCTTCCCAAGTGATGTGTAAAAATTTTCGGAGACCCCATTGATGGAATCTTTCGAGGAGTTGGAGATGGCGTTTATAAGTGGTCCATGTTTTCACAAGCGTACAGTGTTGTTTTGGGTATGCTTCAGATAACTGAAGATGGTTTTCAGAGACGATATGAGAACATGTGGGTCATCCGATTGGTTTATTATTATTCTATTATTCTAAATCCATGTTCTTTTGCAGTCTCCATCCTCAGAAACACCCCTCTCTATTTTGCCACAAAGCTCTACCAAGCGGTTAAGGTGAGGAGAATTAATCAGTCCTTATTTCTCTCTTTCGCTCTGTCTCACAAGTGTATCCTTCCCTTTCTCCAGGAATTTGGATAAAGTGTTTTGGGCACCAAAACGGCTGCAGACAGAGCATTGCTTTACGCAAAACGACTTCTCTGCTGTTGCTTTTGGATTGCAAAGGAGACATGATTTATTGCACATATGAACACCTTTAGAGTCACACTGTGTTTCCTTTTGTGCCCTAAATCGGTGGGGTGGCATAACGGAAGGACAATGTCATTTGTGTAATTAATTGCACAAGTTATAATTTTGTCGCAGCGGATGGCGAGATGAAGAACGGAAGGGGTGGTGTAATTCCTCCTTACATCCCCAGTAAAGGAGCTGTTTGCCCTCTGCCACAGCCTTGCAAATAACCCCACCCAATTCACAAGCCTGTGAAGAAAAGCAATCCTATCCTGATGGCTGTGCCTGCCTCTCCCCCAGCTTTCTTAAACTGCGAGATTGCTATGACATCTACAATATATAGATATCCTAACCCTCACCTGTCTGCTCTTTAAAGGGTCCAGAAACCAGCCCAAGAACTCTGGCCCGCATCCTGATTTCCCGTAGCGAAACCGACCTGCTCAGCATCCGATCCGAGTTCAGGAAGCATTATGGGATTTCCCTCTACTCCTTCCTTCAGGTAAGGGCACCAGGCTTTCTTTACTGTGGAGGTGGTGGGCAGAGATGGAGGGAGGAAGAGTAGGGGTCCAGGGTTGCTCCATCAGCATCCCAACTTTGGGTCCCTCCCCTCCTCAAACTTTTCCATCCCAGCCGGTCCCCGAAACGACGTGCAAACTCGGAACTTGAGTTTGCTGATTTCCTCCTCCCTCCTGATTCATTTTCCTTTTGTGCTGTGTCTTTTTTCCTTAAGTGAGGTGTAAGAGGAGGGAGCCTTTTTTGGCTGAAAAGTCGGGGTGTCTTTAAATGAAATTAATCTGCTTGGCCATGATGGGATATTTAGTTAGCTAGACCTTCCATCAAATCCTACCGGGATCCCGTTATGCAGAGATTATTAACAGGGTTCTCTTGTCAGATATGCGTATGTTCAGGTCAGCAGAGGGGAATAAAATATCTCCCCTTTTGGATATTGTTTAGTCATTGAGTCGTGTCCGACTCTTCGTGACCCCATGGACCAGAGCACGCCAGGCACTCCTGTCTTCCACTTCCTCCCGCAGTTTGGTCAAACTCATGCTGGTAGCTTCGAGAACACTGTCCAACCATCTCGTCCTCTGTCGTCCCCTTCTCCTTGTGCTCTCCATCGTTCCCAACATCAGGGTCTTTTCCAGGGAGTCTTCTCTTCTCATGAGGTGGCCAAAGTCTTGGAGCCTCAGCTTCAGGATCTGTCCTTCCAGTGAGCGCTCAGGGCTGATTTCCTTCACAATGGAGAGGTTTGATCTTCTTGCAGTCCATGGGACTCTCAAGAGTCTCCTCCAGCACCATAATTCAAAAGCATCTATTCTTTGGTGATCAGCCTTCTTTATAGTCCAGCTCTCACTTCCATACATCACTACTGGGAAAACCATAGCTTTATAAGTGCTTAATTCTGGGTGGGCTGTGCCCCTTACTCAATTACGCAAAGCCTTCTAAAATCCCTTTTTATCTTCCACCAGGCTGAAATGAATGGCAACTACCAGACCGCCTTGCTTGGTCTGTGCAGAGCAGAAGATCTGTAAGTTACGTCTCTGCTGACGAGCCTCTGTGTGCAAAAGCAGTCTACCTCTGAATACCAGGCAAATGCTTACATCAGCCAACCACCTCTTCCTCCCGAAGGCCCTGGAGTCCGGCCAAAAGTCACCCTCAGTGGATCTTGATTCTCCATTTGCGCTAATTTCTTCTTGTTTCTCGGTTGGTTCTGGATCTATTCAGGGGGTGGGTTGGGCTGGGAACGATTTAAGGAGAAAGAGCGTATTTCTTGCTGAGCCAATGCAAACTGTGTTTAATTTGGATGTGAACATTCAGCCATTTCTGTGCTGGGGGGCAAAATGGAATTAATTCCTCACGAGTCGTGATGGTGAGATGCTACTGCCAACATCAGAGACCGTTTTTCCACTGGACACTGCTGGCTGCCTTTTTCTCTGGGCGATAAGAACCAATCAGGGATCCTGTGCTGAATTTACATTTATAGAAGCTGGAATCTGGAACATCTGTGGCCCTCCAGATGTGGCTGGACTCTTATCACCTGTAGTCAGTGTTGGTGGAAGTTGTAGTCCCTCAATATCAGGGGAGGGGCACAGGTCCCCCTCATATCCATCCCAGCAGCAAAGGATAACCTATCAGCCTTTCTCAGGAACTACAACATCCCCTTACCTGGAATGGTGTAGTTTAATATATACCGTATTTTTCGCTCTATAAGACACACCAGACCATAAGACGCACCTAGTTTTTGGAGGAGGAAAACAAGCAAAAAAATATTCTGATCTCAGAAGCCAGAACAGCAAAAGGGATTGCTGTGCAGCGAAAGCAGCGATCCCTCTTCCTCTTCTGGCTTCTGGGATAGCTGCGCAGCCGCATTCACTCCATAAGACGCACACACATTTCCCCTTACTTTTTAGGAGGGAAAAAGTGAGTCTTATAGAGCAAAAAATATGGTATATTGCAGGTCTTTCTGTCTTGGTAAGCTCACCTTTTCTCCACCACCTGACCTATTTAGCACCACCCATTCTGTAAAAATGAAGTACGTGATAATAAAGTACCTCTGAGCATATAACGGAGTGTTTTTTCCCCTCTTGAGGCAGATGTAAATGGTTTTGACACTTCCCCATTTTACAAACTGACTTGGGCTGCGCTCTCTCATCGGTCAATTCCTATTATCGTTCAAAAACAGGCTGGGAAATTGCCTCGGTTAAGTCAGGCAGCAGATTGGGTGTTAAGAACGGGAAAATTTGCAAAGAAACTGTGAGGGGCAGGAAAAGAGGCGTTCCTTCTTTTCCACCAGGCATGATGGGACAATACAGCAGTTTTAGAAGAGGCAGACCGCTTGTTTCATACACTAAAAAGGAGAGTGTTTTCTTGTCTACCCTGCGAGGCAGACAAGGCTGAGAGGCAGTTTAATGGACAAGCGGGGATTTGAACCCTGACCTCCCCCAAGTCCTAGACCAATTCTCTAACCACTGTACCATCCTGGATCTCTACCCCACACTGGAGTTCCCGCTCCTCCATCCCTCAGTGGATCTCATCACGGCTGCCCCAAATATTTTTGTTTTCTTGGATCTAGTTTAGGGAATTCAATTCCTACCCGGTGTTTTTACCATCCACCGTTTTAATTTTTAAAATGACTCCAAGTCCTTCTCCAATTATGCTCTTGGATTCCTGACAGAGACCTGAAGGCCCCGGACTGTCCCCATTCCAGCCACCCCCAGGCAAAGGTACAGATAAACCACCTCAGCACTGGGCTGTGTAAGAATGTGGCAGACAGACTGGTGACTGGGAGCGGCCACCAAGACCATATAACACCAGTCCTGAAAGACCTACATTGGTTCCCAGTACTTTTCCAAGCACAATTCAAAGTGTTGGTGGTGACCTTGAAAGCCCTAAACCAGACATAGGCAAACTCGGCCCGCCAGCAGTTTTGGGACTACAACTCCCATCATCCCTGACCGCTGGTCCTGTTAGCTAGGGATGATGGGAGTTGTAGTCCCCAAACAGCTGGAGGGCCAAGTTTGCCTATGCCTGCCCTAAACGGCCTCGGCCCACTATACCTGGTGTCCACCCCCATCATCCAGCCTGGACACTGAGGTCCAGCTCCGAGGGCCTTCTGGCGGTTCCCTCCCTGTGAGGTTACAGAGAACCAGGCAGAGGGCCTTCTCGGTGGTGGCACCCTCCCTGTGGAACACCTTCCCATCAGATGTCAAGGAAATAAACAACTATCTGACTTTTAGAAGACATCTGAAGGCAGCCCTGTTTTGGGAAGTTTTGAATGTTTGATGTTTTATTGTGTTTTTAATACAGTGGTACCTCAGGTTAAGTACTTAACTTGTTCTGGAGGTCCGTTCTTAACCTGAAACTGTTCTTAACCTGAAGCACCACTTTAGCTAATGGGGCCTCCCGCTGCTACCGCGCCGCCGGAGCCCGATTTCTGTTCTCATCCTGAAGCAAAGTTCTTAACCTGAAGCACTATTTCTGGGTGAGCGGAGTCCGTAACCTGAAGCGTCTGTAACCTGAGGTACCACTGTATTCTGTTGGGAGCCACCCAGAGTGGCTGGGGAATCCCAGGCAGGTGGGTGGGGTATAAATAAATCATTATTATTATTATTATTATTACTACTACTACTACCTTAAAACACATCCTGCTCCTCTCAGGACTCCAGCTCCCATCAGCCCCAGCCCCTAGAGGAGGGTGTGTGTGGGGAAAACAGATGTTGTTGGACTCCAACTCCCAGAAGCCAGCAGGGCTGACAGCAAGGGATGATGGGAGTTGGAGTCCAAGAAGGGGGCTCTAGAAGGAAAGTCTGGCTTGCTTCTCTGCCTGGGGTGGCAAGATCATCTCCAATCAACTACACCCACAACCAAACTGCTCTCTTATCAATTCCCCTTTGAAGGATAGACAGGGCCCCCTCCCTACTTGTGGGGTGGGGAGAGGAGAAGATAAAGACTGGAGAAGACGAGTTTGCCGGGGTTTTCGCCACCCCAAAGGTTAGTTTCTCTCTTTTTTCCCTTTTAATTTTGGTTTCAGCCCCAGAACGGGGAGACTTTTTAAAAACAGCAGTCTTTTTTTAAAAAATGGAGCACGAGGCGTATAGAAGAGTGCGGTCCTTCTCTGCGGCAGACTTCGGTCGGCTGGGAAACAGGTCTCTGGGCCACCCGCGGCTTGGCGTTACAGGACGACGCAGTCCGAATCCTGCTTCTGGCGCGGCCTGCGCTCTCCGGAGGGGCGGGAGGGCGGCGGAGTCCTCCCCTAAAAGGAGGGGAAGAGGAGAAAGTGGGGCGTGTTCAGGAATGGAGATTTTGTCGGATGTGGAACACTTTTCCTCCCTCTCTCGCGATACTGGATATCAATAGGGACACACGCAAGGGAGGCTGGGAGATTCAACGAAGACAAAGCCCTTGTTGCTGCGGTTAAACTGTGGAACTCACTTCCACATGAGGCAGCCAATCTGGATGGTTTTAAAAGAGGATTGGACATGGGAAGTTTTTAATGTGTGAGATCTTAGTGTATTTTTGGGCTTTGTTGGAAGCTGCCCAGAGTGGCTGGGGAAACCCAGCCAGATGGGCAGGGTACAAATAATAAGTAATAATAATAATAATAATAATAATAATAATAATTAGGAAGCTATTAATGGCTGTGTTATACTACTACTACTACTACTACTACTACTACTACTACTACTACTACTAATTTTATAACCCCGCCCCCCCAGAAACCCAGGCACCTGTTCTTAAATAGCAGCTCTTATCATGAGCATCTGCTGGTCTGTAATAGAACTGTTTATGGCAGGTCTATGGCCCTGCAGATGATGCTGGGGTCGACCTAACTCTACCCCGACCGCTGGCCATGCCGCGTACACAGGGGTTGGTGGGAGTTGGGGGGACGTTACCTGTGCAGGGGGGGCTGCGGCAGGTGGCTGCTGCTGTTGCTGCTGATATTCCTCCTGCTGCAGCTGCTGGGCGAGCTCTAAGTCGCTGAGCGCGGGTCCCCCTTGCTGCTGTTGCAGAGACAAGGCGATCATGTAGTCCTATGGAAGAAGGAAGGAAGGAAGGAGAGAGAAAGATTTGGTGGGTGTGAACTGAGAGCACGGCACACACACCTCCTTCAAATTCCTACCCTCTGGTTTCTTTTCTTCTTCTTCCATCTTAATTTTATTTTATTCGCAACACAATTTACATAAGAGAACAAAAAACAAAAAAAAGAAAAGAAAAAATACGGACAAACAAACAGAAAACAAGAAAATAAACAAAACCACAGCACTTGACATTAACTAACAACACAACGACTAACATCACACTCTCTTGACTTCTGAATCACCTCCTTGTGCTTTCAACGTATTCTTAACCTATATGCCCTTTTTATTATATCTAATGCATATCTGAAATTATCTGCAGTTGTAACTTTCCCTTTTAGTCTTCAAGATTCCATCTAAACCTGTTCGAAGATTTGCATTTCCACAATATTCTTTAAATATTACCCACTCTTTGAACACTTTCTGGTTTGAGTTTCCTCTTATTCACCCAGTCATTTTAGCAAGTTCTACGTATTCTATCATCTTCACCTGCCAGTCAAGCTTTGGAGGAATTGATTCACCCTTCCAATTTTTTTGCTACTAGAATTCTAGCCGCCGTGGTTGCACACATAAAAATAGTTCTCTCTCTTTTTGGAATTTCAGTGGACATGATGCCTAACAGAAAGGGTTCGGGGGGGTTTGGAAAGAGAATCTAAAGATCTTTTTACTTCCATTTCATGGCAGATCTCAAGTGTGTTTACTTTCAGCTAAATATACTATTTCCTTTGTACATACATAGGACGTGGAGTGTTTCAAGATCTTCTTATATACAATACCTATTATTATTATTATTATTATTATTATTACATTTGCGCGCAGCAGAACTCAGCCACGCTTCTCTTGAAACGGAAGCATTGCATTTTCAGCGCATTACCTAAATGCTCAGCTTGGGAACACCCAGAACAACTCCTCTTTCTCCCCGTTCGCCAGAGGGACCCTCTGAGCCCGCCCTCAGTGGCCGGATCGGCTCCTTTCGCTCTGATTGGCTCCAATCAGCACGGAGGGTGAGAAGGTTGCTTACCATTGGCTAAAAAGCCTCCCCTTTCAACTGATTGGGTGAACCGGGGCGGCGCTTACGCCCCGCATGGTCTTGCCTCGGCGGCCCCTGCTCTCACCTGGTCCACCTGTCTCTGGTTGAGGTGCTGCTCCTGCGGGGAACCGCCGGCCGCCTCCTTGCCCAGGGCGTGGCTGAGGTGGAACTCTGCGTCGCAGAAGCAGCTGTCCCCGTCTACGTTGTGCAGGCTCTCCCAGGCGACCTGCTCCTCGTGGAGGAAGCCCTGGTCGGTCACCAGGAGGTACAAGTGGCTCTGGAGAGGGAGCAGGGAGAGAAAAAAAACAGGCTCTGGTTAATTCAGAGGCAAGATGGTGGTAAATTGGCATAAGTAAAGGTAAAGGGACCCCTGACCATTAGGTCCAGTCGTGGCCGACTCTGGGGTTGCGGCGCTCATCTCGCTTTACTGGCCGAGGGAGCCGGCGTGCAGCTTCCGGGTCATGTGGCCGGCAGGACTAAGCCGCTTCTGGCTAACCAGAGCAGTGCACGGAAACGCCGTTTACCTTCCCGCTGGAGCAGTACCTACCGTATTTTTTGCACCATAACACTCACTTTTTTCCTCCTAGAAAGTAAGGGGAAATGTCTGTGCGTGTTATGGAGGGAATGGCATGCCTACGGATTTTCCTCCTCTAAAAACTACGTGCGTGTTGTGGTCGGGTGCATGTTATAGAGCGAAAAATACGGTATTTATCTACTTGCACTTTGTGCTTTCAAACTGCCAGGTTGGCAGGAGCAGGGATTGGGCAACAGGAGCTCACCCCGTTGCGGGGATTCGAACCGGCGACCTTCTGATTGGCAAGTTCTAGGCTCTGTGGTTTAACCCACAGCGCCACCCGCATCCCTGGGGTGCAAAAAACTGCCCAGCACCCCCAATTTTGGGGGGGGGGCAGGAGAAAAACCTGCAGCACTCTGCCTGGCTCTTCAGTCCCCAGACTCCAAATCTCAGCCCCGCACTCTCGGCCTGGTGCCCCTGAGAGCCTGGCGCCCGGGTGCCCCGCACCCCTAGCGCCTGTGGGTAAGCCAGCCCTGCCGAGGCCTGCTAGAAATTGAACAAGCAGGGTTTACATCCGGACGTTCCACCATTGATCACTGCTTAGTGTTAGATTACTTTGTCTATAAGTATGCGAAATATTGGAAAAAGTCATTATATGCGGCCTTTGTGGACTTAAAGGCAGCATTTGATTCTGTATCCAGGAGCAGGCTCTGGGCCAAATTGGCCAATATGGGTATTAACAGAAGGTTATTACTTCTGATGATTAAGCTTCATGAGAACAATACCCTCCAGATAAGACTTGCACAGGACGGCAGACTCTCTAGAGAAATTCTAGTTCAAAGAGGAGTTAGACAAGGATGCCTATTAGCCCCATTCCTATTTAATATCTATGTTAACTCCCTGGTTACATGCTGCCGTGAAATTGAAACCCACCCCCCTGTGTTCTCTAATGGCAGAAAAGTACCAATTTTAATGTATGCGGATGACGCTGTTCTTCTCTCTCAAACCAAAGTGGGTCTGAAACGTGCCTTAGGAAAGTTTAGTGACCAATGTAACACTGAACTGTTAACAATTAACTTTGCCAAAACCAAAATTGTACATTTTAACCGCTCCTCTAGGAAGGATAATTGGAGCGTAAAGGGAAACGCCATTGAACAGACTAAGACCTTCCAATACTTAGGCATTACTTTCTCTTATAATGCCAAATTCTCAACACACTTGACCACATCAGCTATATCAGCAGAAAGAAGTGCAAATGCTATCCTTAGATTATTCAGAAGGAAAGGAGCTGGCTTCCTCCCGATGGCCCTAACAGTCTTTCAGGCAAAATCTTTAGCCCAACTTCTATATGGCTCTCAAATTAGCCCCTCTGCCAACCTTAAGACCCTTGAAACAGTACAATCTAAATTCTTAAGATCATTATTTGCTACTCCTAAGTGTACACCTAATGCAGTTTTAAGGCAAGAGGCAGGACTGCCCAGAGTGGAATTAAAAGTATGGGAACAAGCAATATCCCTCTGGCTGAAAATCCATTACAATCCTAAGGGTCTATTACCTTGCTTCCTGGCCGCAGTTCCCTATCCTCCTTGGCTTATGCAAATAACTAACAAGATCAAACAAATTGGCCTAAACCCTGAAAATATTTTTATTGGAACTCTGAACAAGGCAAAAGCTACTATCACTCGGAGACTTTATGATATCGAATTACAACAAGAAGGCGCCCTACTCCCAGAGACGTATAGATGTTTAAAAGCTTGGCCTAATTTTGCAGCTGCCCTTACTTAACTAACATCACTAACGAAACCTATAGATGGGCTTTCTCTAGAGCCCGCTTTGAGACAATGCCCTCAGCAGTGCTGTACGGCAAATTCACGCGAGTTCCAATGCATGCGCGTCTCTGCCCTTGTATGTCTAATAAGGTAGAATCTGTCACACACATTCTTCTATCTTGCGAATTCTATAGTGAAGAACGAGTTCAACTTATTTTACCACTTCTATCAAAATTTATACCCCTTCAATATTATTTGGAATCCTCCCTGAAATTCTTCGAAAATACCTCCTGGAAGATTCCTCAAGCTCAGTATCATATGAGGTGGCTAAATTTTGCACTTTAGTAATTAAGAAGCGTAAATCTCTTCTGTTGAATGGCACACTGTGAAGTTCTCTTGTGTAACCTTTTTTCCTTTCTGAAGTTGTTGCTGATTTTTTGTTGTCTGATCTTATGGTGTCTAGTGTCACTGGCTTTGGCCGCAATAAACTTGAACTTGACTACTTAACCCACAGTGCCACCCGCGTACAACTATTTAAAAACACCACCACTTGCGAGCATCTACTTCCTTCTTGGGCTCTAATCACAGAGAGAGGCTATTGAACTTCCCGGTCCTCTTGGATAATCGCATTGTCCCGAGTGAATCTCCACCCCTCGTCTCTCCCACTTCCTCCTTCGTCACTTCTACGGGTGCTGACAAGCGCCCTCTGTCTTTGAGCTCTTTGCTCTCCTACTTTTAAGGCTCGCCGGGTTCTGGGAGATGGAGGGTCTGGAATGCTTTCTAATGACAGCGTGTCAGCTGGGTATGTTGAATGGTCTCTTTAAATTTGAAGATTCATTATTGTTCCACAAGATGTTTATGTCTTTAAGGGCCAGAGCAAATAACGTGACCTAGTTTTACAGCTGTGAAACAGTATAGCAGGTGCTTCTAAGTTGCGTTAATTAAGCTGTGTCAGCAATTGGGTATAGTATATAAAGAGCAGCACCTAGCTCTCTCAGTACCCTGGTGGATGGGTCATGCTTGTTGATATATTTAGTGTAAAAGGAGTTTTTGTTTTTGTTATTAAAGCCTATCTAAAGTTATTTTGTGTTCCTTGTAATGTGTGGTCTCCCCACCAAGTTTTCTGCAGCGCAACTAATCTGCAAATAGCCAACAGGGTGTTGTTCTGGTTGTCCCACGATTTCCTAGCTTTCCCCCTCATCTGCCTCTGAGCTGCAACCTCCCTCAAACCCCTGTTGCAAAGCTATATTGTCTTCCTTTTCCTGCTCCCTGGAAGGGTCCGGATGGGGAGGCCGTCTCCACCATTGCTCCTCCCCTGCCCAGTCCCGGACATCGCCCACCTTTCTTAAAAAACAACAGCCCTGCGGGGCGGGTACCTTGTGCTTGATCATGGTGCTGAAGTGGTTGTTCCGGAAGAAGACGCTCAGCTCGCCTTCCTTGACCGTGGACGTCAGCTCACAGAGGCCGTGGTAGGTCAGCTGGGAGGCCGTGGACTCCAAGAACTGCTCTGCTATCAGGCCTGCCAGGGGCGGGGGGCGTTGCGATGGAACAGGGAGCAGAAGAAGCAAAGATGAGGTGAAATGCAGGCACAGCATGATGGCGATCGACTCTGAGGATGAATTGGATCCACAGTTCTTTCAATTCCTTGCTCGGCCTTCACCCTAAGGACCCAGGGTGGGCCGCAACCTTTTAGAACGCAGCATTAAAAGCTGTTTAAAATAACACGGTCCGGCCTGAATGATACACTGCTGCCTGCAGCCAAATCTCTGAGTGCTCAAAGGAGATGGTGGTGTCCCTAGGATACGTAGTTTTATTTTACACCGCGAAGATAGGATGGAGGGGCTTGCAGGACTAACACCCCATTAGGTCCCCCAGGGAGGTCTCCAAAGCACAGTTTTGGCATCCTAACAGATTGAGGTTGAATCCTGACAAGACAGAAGTACTATTTTGGGGGGACAGGAGGCGGGCGGGGGTGGAGGATTCCCTGGTTCTGAATGGGGCAACTGAAGAACCAGGTGCGCAGCCTGTGAGTCATTCTGGACTCACGGCTCTCCATAGAAGCACAGGTTAATTCTGTATCCAGGGCAGCTGTTTACAAGCTCCATCTGGTACGCAGGTGAGACCCTACCTGCCTGCAGACTGTCTTGCCAGAGTGGTGCATGCTCTGGTTATCTCCCACTTGGACTATGGCAATGCGCTCTACGTGGGGCTACCTTTGAAGGTGACCCGGAAACTACAACTAATCCAGAATAGGGCAGCAAGACTCGTGACTGGGAGTGGCCGCCGAGACCACATAACACCGGTCTTGAAAGACCTGCATTGGCTCCCAGTACGTTTCCGAGCACAATTCAAAGTGTTGGTGCTGACTTTTAAAGCTCTAAATGGCCTCAAAGGTCCAGTATACCTGAAGGAGCGTCTCCACCCCCATTGTTCTGCCCGGACACCGAGGGCCTTCACCGAGGGTCCAGCACCGAGGGCCTTCTGGCGGTTCCCTCCCTGCGAGAAGCCAAGTTACAGGGAACCAGGCAGAGGGCCTTCTCGGTGGTGGCGCCCGCCCTGTGGAATGCCTTCCCAGCAGATGTCAAAGAGAAAAACAGCGACCAAACTTTTAGAAGACATCTGAAGGCAGCCCTCTTTAGGGAAGCTTTTAATGTTTGACAGACAATTGTATTTTAATATTTTGTTGGAAGCCGCCCGGAGTGGCTGGGGAAACCCAGCCAGATGGGCAGGGTTTAAATAATAAATTATTATTATTATTATTATTATTATTATTATTATCCAGCACAGAGCGAGACAAGCCTCTGTATCTCCAGCTCCCACCAAACCCACACACTGACAGCCCCACCTGGCCCTACTGTTCTCCATCCCAGGATAATGCGACATTCACCCAGGTGAAGTGGGGAAGGCCCACCCATTGGTCTCTGTGGCAACAGAGCTTGCTTTTTCAAAATGCAAATGGTAAGCAAGCTTCCTCCTATAGATTCTAGGCTCCTATCCGCAAGACCACAGGTTTTGAAGGGAACCACAGGTGTCATCCAGACTGACCCCACCACCCAGAGCCATAACAATACATGTATCTCAAGTTTCAAAGAGGTGTGTCTTCAGCGTGGGACAACAACCACATAATAATAAGAATAATAATAATAATACCCTGCCCTCCCCAGCCAGAGTTGGGTTCAGGGCAGCTAACACCAATAAAATTCCAGTAAAAAACATAATGGGGGGGGGGGGGCAGGACCAATTTAAAATACAGGTTAAAATGCAATTTAAAATGCAGCCTCATTTTAAAAGTAGCCCATAGATCAAGACCATAAGGGGAGGGAAACATAAGGGTCAGACTGAGTGCAAACCAAAGGCCAGGCGGAACAGCTCTGTCTTGCAGGCCCTGCGGAAAGATGTCAAGTCCCTCAGGGCCCTGGTCTCTTGGGACAGAGCGTTCCACCAAGTCGGGGCCAGTACTGAAAAGGCCCTGGCCCTAGTTGAGACCAATCTAACCTCCTTGCGACCTGGGACCTCCAAAATGTTGTCATTTGTGGACCTTAAGGTCCTCCGTGGGGCATACCAGGAGAGGCGATCCCGTAGGTACGGTTTAAAAGAATTCAAAATTTCAATGGTTGTAAATGATACAAGAAATATACAGTGGAACCTTGGTTGTCGAGCGCTTCAGAAGTCAAATGTTTTGGCTTTTGAACGCCAATGACCGGGAGGTGAATGCTTCCATTTTCAAAGGTGCCTCAGAAGTCAAACGGCTTCCGCAGTGTGTTTCTCCACTTTTTCAATGGATTTTGCCACCTGGCAATTTCGCCTCGGTTGTCAAACGTTTTGGAAGTCGAACGGTCTTCCGGAATGGATTATGTTCGACAACTGAGGTTCCACTGTACGTACATGTAACGGTTGTTCAAAATAGGTGTCTAATAGCTCAAAGATGGTTAAAAGGCCTTTGCTGAAGCAGAGAGGTCTCCTGAGGTAAAAACCATGAGAGATGAGGCTTGGAAAGCAAGTTTCTGCAAGCGTGAAACTACCACCAAGCAGGCCCTGCTGCTAGTCTCCGTAAACCAGATCTTATTTTATTTTTCCTTGCGCAGGGGCCATGCTAATCTTCTCTGTATCGTTCCAGTTTTAGTACATGTGCCGAAGCGAGCACAAATCAGATCTTACTTAATGGCCTCCACCCCTGGGCTGACGACAACCCCACCTCCAGGTACCAGTTACCCCGGACCTTGACTGTGTGAATGAGCCCAGGCAGACGGGCCTCACCTTCCGTCACCAGATTAGGGTCGCTTGAGTGTTTGCAGGTGATGATCTTCTCCACCAACTGGTTGTAGGTCAGCTTGCTGACGGCCTGCGCCACCTCTGGTATCTGGGGTGGGGAGAAACAGGTTGTGAGCTGGAGTCTGGGAGTCCACGGCGCAAGGGGTGTCGACGGCCAAGAGGCAGGTTCAAATCCCAGTTCGGCCACCAAACTCCCAGGGTGGCCTTAGGTCAATTGCCCCACACCCACCCCTCAGCCTAACCTTGCAAGGTTGTTGTGAGGACAGAGGAGGATCATGCAGCAAACCCACAATATAGACCGTATTTTTCGCCCTATAGGACGCACTTTTTCCCCTCCAAAAATGAAGGGGAAATGTGTGTGCGTCCTATGGGGCGAATGCAGGCTTTCGCTGAAGCCTGGAGAGCGAGAGGCGTCGGTGCGCACCGACCCCTCTCGCTCTCCAGGCTTCGGGAAGCTATCCGCAAGCCTGGGGAGCCTGCGGTAGTGCCCACCGGACTCCCAAGGCTTGCGGGCAGCAGCCTGCAGCCCAAAGCACGGGGTGCACTCCGGAGCGCGCCCCGTGCTTTGCGCAGATGTCCACAAGCCTTGCGAGCAACAGACTGTTCTGGGGGCTGGGGTCGGGGGAAGCTCGGGCTTCCCCTGCCCCCAGCCCCGCAAGCTCCGGGAGCGATGGCGAGGTTGAGTGCAACCTCGCCTTCGCTCCCGGACCCCCAGCCCCGAGGCTAAAAACGAAGCCAGGACAGCTAGCGGGATCCATCCCGCTCGCTGTCATGGCTTCTTTGCTCTTTGGGGCTCGGGGGGGGGGGAATAAATCTTTTTTTCTTTATTCCCCCCCCCCAAATAAGTGCGCCCTATGGGCCGGTGCGCCCTATAGGGCGAAAAATACGGTATATATTTTTTGCAGGGAGAGGAAGAATGAGATACAGTGGTGCCTCGCAAGACGAAATTAATCCGTTCCGCGAGTCTCTTCGTCTAGCGGTTTTTTCGTCTTGCGAAGCAACCCTATTAGCGGCTTAGCGGCTTAGCGCTATTAGCGGTTTAGCGGCTATTAAAGGCTTAGCGGCTAAAAGGCTATTAGCGGCTTAGCGGCTTAGAAAAAGGGGGGGGAACGAAAAAAATCGCAAGACTCGCAAGACTTTTTTGTTTTGCGAAGCAAGCCCATAGGGAAATTCGTCTTGCGAAGTGCATTGAAAAATGGAAAACCCTTTTGTCTAGCGGGTTTTTCGTCTTGCGAGGCATTCGTCTTGCGGGGCACCACTGTAAATAAACGGAATAAAAAATGTATGAAGCCCACTGGGCTCCAGTGGAACTGACTGTGGTGGTGTTGGGAAGACTTTGCATTGTTTTCATTATCTTAGACTTAGGTCAGCAATGGGGGCCTGAGGTAGTGTGGGACTCAATTTCCCATCAGCCCCAGCCCCCCTGGCCAATGGTTGGAGGTGAGGGAAGTTGTAGTTCAACAAACATCTGGGTGGGTGGTTGTCACAGGACACCCCAGTTTAGAATTTAAAATTTTTAAATTTCAATTCTTATTTTTTAAATTTCAATTAAAAATGCGGATTGCAATTCAATATCCCAACAGCTGGGGATGGCTGAACGCAGGGCCGGCTTTAGGTTTAATGAAGCCCTCAGCTACTGAAGGCAATGGGGCCCTTTATATGTCCAGCTGTCCTTTGTCAACAACAAATGGTTGCTGTTTTTGTGTTGAATATATGCTATATGTGATGTATGGAAGTGAGAGCTGGACCATCAAGAAGGCTGATCGCCGAAGAATGGATGCTTTTGAATTATGGTGCTAGAGGAGACTCTTGAGAGTCCCATGGACTGCAAGAAGATCAAACGTATCGATTCTTAAGGAAATCAGCCCTGAGTGCTCACTGGAAGGACAGATCGTGAAGCTGAGGCTCCAAGACTTTGGCCACCTCATGAGAAGAGAAGACTCCCTGGAACAGACCCTGATGTTGGGAGAGATGGAGGGCACAAGGAGAAGGGAATGACAGAGGACGAGATGGTGGGACAGTGTTCTCGAAGCTACCAGCATGAGTTTCACCCAACTGCGGGAGGCAGTGGAAGACAGGAGTGCCTGGCGTGCTCTGGTCCAGGGGGTCACAAAGAGGAGGACACAACTAAACGACTAAACAACAACAACAACAAATATGCTATATGGCAATTTATGGGCCTAATAGGTATCTAAAGCCATTTGCACATAACAAACAGGAGCCTACACAGCACAAAACACTGTTGCTGTATGTGGGTTTTATTTTATTTGTTTTATATCTTGTATTTTGGAAATGTTTTTTTCCTTTGATTTTTTGGGGGGCCCCCAAGAGAATGGGGCCCTAAGCTATAGCTTGTTTAGCTTATACAGTGGTACCTCTGGTTGTGAACTGGATCCGTTCCGGAAACCTGTTCACAACATGAAAGGAACGCAACCCGCAGCAGCGCTTCTGCGCACGTGCGTGACGTCATTTTGCGCGTCTGCACATGCGTGAGCGGTGAAACCCGGAAGTAACCCTTTCTGGTACTTCTGGGTCGCCGTGGGATGCAACCTGAAAACATGTAACATGAAGCAAACATGAGGTATGACTGTATGTAAATCCGGCACTGACTGAATGGCAGGTGCCGTTTACGCTTCTCAGACTGGAGAGATTCGGCTCGCGAACTCTCAAAGACGCCTTTGGCGGCATCTGAGACGCTGACGACTCGCAAGCTCAGCTCCTAGGAAGCGATGGCGTGTGGGAAGAAGAAATAGAAAACAAAGCATCTCACCTGCGGGTCCACTAGCCAGCCGTGATAGAGAGGCATGTTGAGAAGGTCGAAGACGATGCACTCGGGGGTGTACTCGAAATCGGCGACTCCCGTGAACCTCACGTTGACATCCAGCCCCGTGGAGAGTTTGGGCAGAACCGTCATGGCGTCGTTGACGTTCTGTCCGCGGCAGGAGAGGAAGAAGGGCATGCTGGTTAGTTTTGAAATTTGGGGACGGAACGAAGTCTAGCTGGGAAAGCCTGCATTTTTTTGGGGGGGGAGGAAAAGAAACCTCAACTCTGGGAGACCAGGGTTCGAATCCACCCACGGGGCCGCATGACGCTGTCTCTCTCAGGGTCGTTGTGGGGATTAAATGAGGGGAGAACCACATGTACCACCGCCTTGAGTTCTTTGGGGGGAAAGCTGGGGCAGAAACGCCACCAATAAACAAATGAGTTAATCAGAGATAATAATAATAATAATAATAATAATAATAATAATAATTTATTATTTATATCCCACCCATCTGGCTGGGTTTCCCCAGCCACTCTGGGCGGCTTCCAACAGAACACTAAAATACAATAACCTATTAAACATTAAAAGCTTCCCTAAACAGGGCTGCCTTCAGATGTCTTCTAAAAGTCTGGTAGTTATTTTTCTCTTTGACATCTGGTGGGAAGGCGTTCCACAGGGCGGGAGCCACCACCGAGAAGGCCCTCTGCCTGGTTCCCTGTAGCTTTGCTTCTCGCAATGAGGGAACCGCCAGAAGGCCCTCAGCACTGGACCTCAGTGTCCAGGCTGAACGATGGGGGTGGAGACGCTCCTTCAGGTCTACTGGGCCTTTGAGGCCGTTTAGGGCTTTCAAGGTCAGCACCAACACTTTGAATTGTGCTTGGAAACGTACTGGGAGCCAGTGTAGATCTTTCAAGACCGGTGTTATAGTATTACTTGTAAGGGATTATGTCCTCGCTGGATCAGGCCGCGACTAACTCAGGGTTCTCCTTTTCGGCAACGACCTGCAGTACAGCCGTCCACAGCGAGGGCAGACATACTGCAGTTTGCGTATCCTCTGAATGCAGTTTTCAGAGGTAGGCTGCTCCTTCCCAAGGAGGTTCCACTCCTTACCACCAAAGAGGAGCCCTGACCTAGCACTCAGCTCCCTTGGTATCCTGATCTCACTCTCCGAAGGGAGAGCAAAGGGCGCTGCTGGGGCAAACTGGCGGCTCCCCTCGCCTTGCTGTTTTTACGACGGTGCGTGGTGAAGCGCAAGATGCTTCTTGGTGTGCCACTGTTTGGTTTTAATGCGCACGCATTCTCTGCAGCGGGAGCTTTGGGCACAGGGCAGATTGTGGAAGTTCTCAGCAGGTTATTACAATAAACAGAGACCTGCCGAGTGCCTTGGGGGAGCCCAAAGGGGGGGAGAGAGAGGATGAGAGGAGGGGGAGAAAGAAGGGAACTCACTTGCTGAAAGTTGAGCTGGAGGGCTTCTGACTGTTTTTGGGGCTTGATGGACAGGATGCAGTCACCTGACACAGAGAGAAAATAGACCTTTTTCATTAAGAACGTAAGAAATTAGCAAAGACATATCATAATTGTGACAATATATGTTGGAAATGTAAAGAAAAGGAAGGAACCTTCTATCATATGTGGTGGACCTGTCCCAAGGTGAAAGACTTCTGGGAAAAGATATATAATGAATTGAAAAAAATGTTGAAATATACATTTATAAAGAAACCAGAGGCCTTTCTTCTTGGAATAACAGGTTTGGAATTGCCCAAGAAAGATGTTACATTATTTTTGTATGCCACAACTGCTGCCCGTATTTTGTCAGCTAAAAAGTGGAAAACCCAAGAATTACCAACAATAGAAGAATGGCAGATGAAGATGATGGATTTTTCGGAGCTAGCCGACCTAACTGGAAGAGTCCGCGACCAGAAGGAGGAGGAGTATCAGGAAGAGTAGAATAAATTTAATGATTATTTAGTTAAATTTGTTAAGTTAAACTAACTGAAAATAGCTTGCAGATACTTAATGGGCCTAGGATTTTATTTATGTTAAGTGATGAATTAATATGTTTAATTCCATAAGGTGAAGATCTAAGGATGTGAATGTTTAAGTTAAATTTCATAAAAATTGGGATTTGGAAAACCGTTAAAAAGACATGCAATGAAATTCAACCAAGGGGAAGCGAGGAAGTCACTTAACAAAGTTAATAACTGTAATTTTCAATAAGGCTATGATTTATGTTTGTTTGTCTTGTGTGTTTGTTTGTTTGTTTACAATATTGTGAAAACTAATAAAAAAATTTTTGGGGAAAAAGAACGTAAGAAGGGCGCCGTCGCTGGATCAGGCCAAAGAGGCCCCACCTAGTCCAGCCTCCTGTTCTCAAAGTGCTCAAAAACACCTCTGGTAACCTAGGAATCTAGATAGACTGCCTCCAGTGGCAGGGAGTTCCACTGTTTAGCTACACGTTTTGGGAAGAAGTCCTTCCTTTCGCCTGCCCAGGGTTGCGTCCAACACTCGTCCAACACGGATCAGACCCGCTGCGATTAAAAGACAGGGCTAACTTAAGCCCATCCCTTCTGGCAGATCTGTAACTTGCTTGAATACAAGCCTGCATAGAGAAGAAAGCTGACTATGCAAAGGTAATAATAATAATAATAATAATAATAATAATAATAAATTTTATTTATACCCGGCCCTCCTCAGCCAAGACCGAGCTCAGGGCGGCTAACACCCGATATAAAAACAAATTGATTGAAATACAACTTAAAAACAAGATTAAAATACAGTGCAACATTAAAATGCAGCCTCATTTCAGTGGAAACTCAAATAAAAAACTTTGGGGGGGATGAAAACGTCAAGTCTTTACCAAGGCTAACTATCCAGATTGGTCCTACACGGGCCAGAAAAAGGCCAGGGAAGTCCCCAAATAAGAGTTCCATCACAGAAGGAGAAAGGAAAAAGGAAAGACTGGAAGGGGATCAAGTTGATTCCAAGCCAAAGGCTAGGCAGAACAACTCTGTTTTACAGGCTCTGCAGAAAGAAATCAGATCCCGCAGGGCCCTGGTCTCAGGAGGCAGAGCGTTCCACCAGGCGGGAGCCAGTGCTGAAAAGGCCCTGCCTCTGGTTGAGATAGGCAAATGCCTTTGTTGCTCCGCCCACTTTGGCCTCTGGCCCTGCCCACCAGCAGTATGCCGCCCCCGAACCTTGCCGGGAAGTGGCCCTTGAGCAAAAACGAAAAACAGGTTTCTCCACCCCTGTACCAAATGATCTCACTCTGTGCAAAGGCAGCTTCACACGGTCGGGGGAATTAGGTGGCCCCTTGTCTAGTACCCAGAACCCCCCCTCCAAAAAAACACAACCCCAGCCCTCAGGAAATGTGAAAGCGATGGCGGCCGCATCCTGACACTTACCGAGGTGAGCCATCAGCTCGTCGGAAGTGATCACTTCCTTCTGGGGAGGCAGTTTCACCTGAAAGGGAGAAAGAGGGAAAAAGAGAGAGAAGAGATTCGGGAGGATAAAGGACATTTTGCCAAGAGGACCAGCCTGCCTTGCCCTGTGTGCGCCCCCTCCTCCCTCCAAATGCCTGCATTTGGGGGTATATACCAAGAAAAAAGGGGATGCGGGTGGCGCTGTGGGTTAAACCACAGAGCCTAGGACTTGCCGATCAGAAGGTCGGCGGTTCGAATCCCCGCAACGGGGTGAGCTCCCGTTGCTCGGTCCCTGCTCCTGCCAACCTAGCAGTTCGAAAGCACACCAGTGCGAGTAGATAAATAGGTACCGCTCCGGCGGGAAGGTAAACGGTGTTTCCGTGCGCTGCTCTGGTTTGCCAGAAGCGGCTTAGTCATGCTGGCCACATGACCCGGAAGCTGTACTCCGGCTCCCTCGGCCAATAAAGCGAGATGAGCGCCGCAACCCCAGAGTCGTCCACGACTGGACCTAATGGTCAGGGGTCCCTTTACCTTTACCAAGAAAAAAGCACACCAAGAACTCAGGCCAATATAAGTTTCAGTAGTGGGAGGGGTCCCTACTCGCAAATCAATAGTCAATTGTAACAAAAACTAATCCATTCAAAAGTATGTATTCTGACAAGGATTGCAAACTCAAATAGAGATTACAAACTCAAATTCATAAGGATATGTAATAATAATAATAATAATAATAATAATAATAATTTATTATTTATACCCCGCCCATCTGGCTGAGTTTCCCCAGCCACTCTGGGCAGCTCCCAATCGAGTGTTAAAAACAATACAGCATTAAATATTAAAAACTTCCCTAAACAGGGCTGCCTTCAGATGTCTTTCAAAGATAAGATAAAGGCTTATTTCCTTCACATCTGAAGGGTGGGCACCACTACTGAGAAGGCCCTGTGTCTGGTTCCCTGTAGCTTCACTTCTTGCAATGAGGGAACTGCCAGAAGGCCCTCGGCGCTGGATCTCAGTGTCCGGGCTGAATGATGGGGGTGGAGACGCTCCTTCGGGTATACTGGACCGAGGCCGTTTAGGGCTTTAAAGGTCAGCAACAACACTTTGAATTGTGCTCGGAAACGTACTGGGAGCCAATGCAGATCTCTCAGGACCAGTGTTATGTGGTCTCAGCGGCCGCTCCCAGTCACCAGTCTAGCTGCCGCATTCTGGATTAGCTGTAATTTCCGGGTCACCTTCAAAGGTAGCCCCACATAGAGCGCATTGCAGTAGTCCAAGCAAGAGATAACCAGAGCATGCACCACTCTGGCAAGACAGTCTGCGGGCAGAGAGGGTCTCATCCTGCGTATCAGATGGAGCTGGTAAACAGCCGCCCTGGACACAGAATTGTGCCTCCATGGAGAGCTGTGAGTCCAAAATGACTCCAAGGCTGCGCACCTGGTCCTTCAGGGGCACAGTTGCCCCATTCAGGATCAGGGAATCCCCCACACCTGCCCGCCCCCTGTCCCCCCAAAACCGTACTTCTGTCTCGTCAGGATTCAACCTCAATCTGTTAGCCGCCATCCATCCTCTAACCGCCTCCAGGCACTCACACAGGCCCTTCACCGAATACAGTAATTCGTTACAAAATTAGAGATAAGAGTTTATGCCTTCGGGGGTAGACTGCCCCTGACCCTGGAAGCTCTACTCACCTTCCACTGCAAGAAAAGGATGTTCATGATGGCCAGCAGCGGGCAGGGTCCGTTCTCGCTCTGCGTGATGACGGGCGTCCTCTCCCCTTTCCAGCTGATCCATTTGACGCAGTAGAAGTCGGGGGGCTGGGGGGGGCTGGCGGGAGAAGACCGGGCCTCTGGGGCCACCTCCCCGGGTTGCTCGGCGGCGGCGGGCGCATCAGCCGGGTCAGAGACGCTTGGCAGAGAGGCAGCGCCCGCCAGCAGTTCCTCCTCTCCCGGACGCTCTTTGGAATCCGGCTTTCCGGCCTCCGCAGACTCCGGAGATTCGGGTTCCGGCCCTTCGCCTCCCTTCCCGGCCCCCGGGGGGGTTTCCTCGCAGGCCGGGGCCTTCGGTGCCTCCTCCTGGTCTTGCCCGTTTGCGGCGGGCACCTTGCCACACATGGCACCAACGTCCTCTATGCCTCGCTCCTCCGGGGAGGCCTCGGTGGTTTGGGGTTCGGCCGGCACATTCTCCCCCTTCGCTGACGGTTCTGCGGATAATTCGGGCTCCATTCGGCGCTGCCCCTGCTGCCGCCTTCCTTATAAAAACCCCAGCATCCACCGCGGACGAGCCAACGGGCTGGCTGTCGGATCTAATCCTAAATGAGAGCTTCCTTCTCGCTTTCTGCTGAAGTTTGAATGTGCTTTCCGATTCTGCCTCTCAAGAGGAAAACGGATTCGGGCGTTTGGCAGGAGAAACTCACCTCTCTCCCTCTCCCGGGATCAATAAGCGATTCGCAAACTTCTATTCGCCTTGACAAAATGCAACGTTTGCTAGGTACAATTCCTCTACGCTCGCTGCCCTGCCTTCTACTCCCAAGTGGTAGAAAATGTTAACACTTTTTAAAAAAGCGGTTGGGAAAAGATTCCTATTTCAATTTATCCTCTGTTTCCCAACCGGATCTCGCTCGGCGTCGCCTTTCCCTTTTTCAAAAGCTACCGTAAAAGACCTTAAAAGTGGGGAACGACAACAATTTGGGGTCTGCTGTTTTCGGGGGCTGTCAGGCACTGCTGAGAAAACGCGAGGCGGAAGTAAAAATGAGAATAGAAACCGATGTTTTTTTTTCCAGGCTGGTTTTCTCTTGCGTTTTCTGCTTCTCGTGGGGGCCACGGAGAAATCAATTCCGCCACCTCTTCTCCAGCTCGGCTTTAAAAATTTAATTATTTAACACCCAGGAAACCCAATCGCCGGCCGCCTCTCAATCTCTTTGCTTCTAGATCCGCAAAGGATTATTATCTTTCAAGATCCTTTTTTTTAAAAAAAGAAAAATCTCCCTTTTTTTGTACAAAAAAAAAATATCTTTTTTAAAAAAGCAAAGAAACCCACGCCTATATATATATGAAATTAAAAGAAGTAAATTTCCATAAACTGGTTAAAAATAGGATAAAAATGCAAAGATTTTGCTGCACGGACGGTTTGGATTTTTCCTTTTAAAAAAAGTTGTTTTTTTTTTTAAAAAAAGCAAAGACAAATGTAGAAGACGAAGGTTATTTGGGTGTGTTGTTATTCCCTTAAGGACGGACTCTGCCCCACCGACTCCAAACCTTCGCCCTCCTTTTGCTGTCCTTGAGGTTGGGCAACCGCAAACAGAGGCAGCCAGTCCCCTATCTTATTTTCATCTGATACGAGTTTCTCCTTCCGCTCTGAGGCATCCCAGCATATTGACTTTCTCTCCTCGCCGTCAACCACAACTCACGCGCTGCTCAGTCTCTAGAGCGAGTTTGGCGGGTTGTTGACAGCTTGCCTTTGCAGAAAGAGCGGCTCAGCCGGAGGGGTTTTAAATCAGCCGGGCGGCAGGATCCTGGCAATAAAAAAAGAAGGGAAGAGGGTGGTAAGAGAAACACCTGGATTTTTCCACCTGGACACACCTTCACCTCGCTTCCACGGAAGAATTTCATTTAAAAGCCATGTATGTTTTCACTTCCAAGGACTGAAATTGGGGTGGGTCTTTTCCAGACCAACCAAGGGTGGAATTCCCTTCCAGGCAGGCTTTCAGGGGCCGCATGCGGGGGTGGGCGGGGCCACAGGTAAAAGTGGGTGGAGCCATGAGTACCTTTGCACAGTAGGCTGGCTTCCATACATAATCTCTCTCTCTCTCCTCCATCCAAACATGTAAAAGGCATGATCAGGGTGGAATGACGTATTTACAGCAGGAGAAAGCACTCTGGGAGGGTGCAAAGCGAGGCAGGTGAGGGGTGTGCCCCCGGGGGCCACAGGGAGAGGTCCCAAGGGCCATATTACGCTCCGAGGCCCCACCACCCTCAGCTGGAAGCGTTCTTTCCTCTCCCGATTGGACAGAACCATATTTCCTTTCTGGCCCATAAATGGAAAGCACAGAATGGCTCCCCCCAAAGAATCCTGGGAACTGGAGCTTGATGAGGTTGGAAACTACACTTCCCAGGATTCCTTGGGGAAGTCACATGCTTCAGATGGGAGATGAATGGACTTTAAATGCATGGATCTGCTATAGCTCTCTGTCTTTTTAGATGAAAGCCGGGGATCTAGGTAAATTGGGGAGGGCAGAGCCAGCTGCTCCCCTCTCCCCACGCGACCCGATCAGGGAGGGGAATGGCCAGCCGTCAGTCAGCTGAACACTCAGTTGCCGTGGTTGTTGCATAGCTTTGGGGTGGTGGTTGTGGGGTGTTTTTGCAAGAGGGAAGCTGCCAAGCCGGTCCTAAGGGTGGGGTTGGGGGTGGGGAAACAGCTTAGCTCTGCAGCCTGGTTGGATCCAGGCAACGGCTGGGACCTGGGTTTCAAACAACCCAGGAGGGAGGTGAAGGGGAGAGCAGGATCGGTGCAAATCCACCTTCAGCTGGAGGTGCAACATATAACTCTCCACCCCACCCCACCCAGTTCCCTCAAAATTTATTCATTTTAACCCCCACCCTTTAGCTGAGCGGCTTACAAAGATTGGTAGCAAGACACGGCACACAAGGAAAAAGGGAGGAGGAGGGAGGAGGAAAGAAGCAGCAGCAAGCTAACCTTGGTTACCTATGGGCTGCGCACTCTCCTCACTCCTTCAACGTTTCAATTCTGAATATTATTGTTGTTATTTTTACTTTAGCCACTTTACATTTTGTAGCGCTTTAATTATATATTGTTCCATTGATTATGCTTTGCAGGCTCCTTTGGGAGCAAACACGGGACAGAAATCAAATAAACAGATAAATACATTTCTAGGGCTAAATGGCAGTGCAGTGAAATGGTTAGTGTTAGGCTAGGACTAGGTTGCCCCGGGTTCGAATCCAATGGGGACTGGACCTTGGACCTTCTGCGTGCAAAGCAGATGCTCTCACCACTGAGCCACAGCCCTCCCCTTAAAAATAAAGCAAGACTCCAGTCCTCATGATTCTGAAAACACAATTCTGTTGCAGGGGCCTCTCCCAACCCGACCTGCGGATGCCATTGGGGGCTGGACTTCCCGCATGCAGTGCATGTCCTCTATCTCTGACGCAGGGCTCCCTAGGAATCGGTCCAGTATACCTGAAGAAGCGTCTCCACACCCATTGTTCTGCCCGAACACTGAGGTCCAGCTCTGAGGGCCTTCTGGCGGTTCCCTCATTGCGAGAAGCCAAGTTACAGGGAACCAGGCAGAGGGCCTTCTCGGTGGTGGCGCCCGCCCTGTGGAACGCCCTCCCATCAGATGTCAAAGAGAACAACAACTACCAGACTTTTAGAAGACATCTGAAGGCAGCCCTGTTTAGGGAAGCTTTTAATGTTTAATAGGTTATTGCATTTTAATATTCTGTTGGAAGCCGCCCAGAGTGGCTGGGGAAACCCAGCCAGATGGGCGGGGTATAAATAAATTATTATTATTATTATTATTATTATTATTATTATTATTATTTTATTATCAAGAGTAACCTTAAGATTCTAGTCCTCATGATTCCGAATAAAGAGCCGGCTGAATAGAAACACAGGGAAGCTTCCTTATTACCAAGCCAGCAATTGCTCCATTTAGTTCAGTGTTGTCTATGCTGACTGGTAGCAGCTCTCTGGAGTTTGAGAGAGCGGGACTCTCTCAGGCCCACCAGAAATTGAACCCAGGACTTTCTGAATGCAAAGCACTGCCCACCGAGCCAGTTAGATGGCTTAACAAATTAAATACTGTAAATGGAAATAATCTTAAGGCCAAGGAGTGTGTGCTAACAGCCGGTTAAAGAGTCTGGGGCTGTGCAAGCCAAACCTGCCAGTCTGGACACACCCATCTTGCAAAGGAACTCGCACCCAGGACCGGGATGGGTGGGGGGGGTCTTTGTGTGGCGTAGCACCGGGTTGAGTCCTGTCTGCCTTCTTCTGCTTACCCAACCAGGACAGCCGGCCAGGGTCCAAGACAAGGGGGGAAAGGACGGGGTTTTTGGGGAAGGCTGGCGAAATATTATTAGGGAAAGCTTTGCGAGAAAAAGTGACGGGTGCGGAAGGCGAGAAAGTGGGGCTGTGGGGCAAGGGGGGGGCTGGCTGCTTCTCCGCTCCTGGATCCTAATGTAAACACGCCCTGATCCGAATCAAGCAGATCCAAATGCGGGAGGTAAAATGTGGAGCGACAAGGGACTCTTTGCTCACCTTTCCTTTGGCTTTCATCCCAAGGCCTCTCTCTCTCTCTCTCTCTCTCTCTCTCTCTGCAAATCTTCCTCCGTTTTGGATCCTTCCGAAGTTTCTCCCTCTCCTCTTCCTTCCCTTCTTTTTTCTCTCCCCAAATCGGAAGACAAGAGGAGACCTGGCGGAGAAAAAGGAGAGTCACTTTGCACCGGCTTGTTTACCTTCTCGCCTCCCCACAGAGACATCTATTGGGGCGGAGGTTTTACAGCACTGGAGGGGTCTTGTGCAATGGGTCCGGAAAAGGGAGAGGAATTAGGGTCAGATAACAAAAGGGCAGTGTTTTCCAAAGCTGCTGACAGCTTTTTTTTTTTTTAAAGGTCTGATAGCGGGTGGCGCTGTGGGTTAAACCACAGAGCCTAGGACTTGCTGATCAGAAGGTTGGCGGTTCGAATCCTCGCGATGGGGTGAGCTCCCGTTGCTCGGTCCCTGCTCCTGCCAACCTAGCAGGTCCCTGCTCCTGCCAACCTAGCAGGTCCCTGCTCCTGCCAACCTAGCAGTTCGAAAGCACGTCAAAGTGCAAGTAGATAAATAGGTACCGCTCCAGTGGGAAGGTAAACGGCATTTCCGTGCGCTGCTCTGGTTCGCCAGAAGCAGCTTAGTCATGCTGGCCACATGACCCGGAAGCTGTACTCCGGCTCCCTCGGCCAATAAAGTGAGATGAGCGCCACAACCCCAGAGTCGTCCGCGACTGGACCTAATGGTCAGGGGTCCCTTTACCCTTTACCTTTTTAGCGCTTATTTTCTGAATTAAAATGGGAGGCGTTACTTTGCTCTCACAAAGGGGAGACTGCAAGGGGAGAGAAAGGTTTGCTTTTGTTACTTTGCTCTCACAAAGGGGAGACTGCAAGGGGAGAGAAAGGTTTGCTTTTGGGGGCGTGAATCTGATCGGAAGGAGGCAGTGACTCATTCAGAAGGGCAACAGGGAAATTCCTCCTGCGATCCCACAGCAATTGAATTGAGATTGATGCTGTACAGACCACAAGGACTCATTCCCCAGTGGGAGGCTGGACGGAAAGAAGGAAAGAGACAAGAGACACACAGAGAGAGGGGCGACAGGCACCCTCCTTGAAGACTTGCATGCTCTCCAGGAATTACTGGACAAATTTTGCCCCATAAAGGGGTATAGTCACAGTTAATCACTTCCGGAGCAGACTGCTTGGGCGAACATCATGCAGAGGTACAACGGATGAACTCCCTTCTGCATATGTGCTTAAGATCTCTCGCCCAAGGAATTTCTTTCTATCTTTCTCACACCTTACATGGGTCAGAAGGTTGCTGAGATAGGGGAAAGCTCTACCCCATGTCAAATACACTTTTTAGAGGTTTGTTTCCAAATTGTGTCACATCTGAAATACATATTGTGGAAAAAACATTTTTTTGAAAGGATGAGATGCCAGAAATATTTAATTCAGTACCTGCTGCCTTCCCCGTCGTCCTTCCTTTTTCTCGTTACAAAATATTACCCACCCACTCTCTGGGCAAAGAGATGCTACTGTTTGTGGAAATTTGAAAGCCCTTCTGTTCTAGAATCCGAAAGGCCAGCTCTAAAGAAGGGTGTTTGGAGTCTTAAAGGGGCAGAGCTGAAGTTCGGGGCAGCCCAGACTTATTTATGTTTATTCAGAGGCTAGTGCCACTGCCTTCAGAATATATGCTCCTGGATTTGCACCCTCATGTAGGCACTGAAATATGTTGTTGTTTAGTCATGTCCGACTCTTCGTGACTCCATGGACCAGAGCACGCCAGGCACTTCATGGATCCCCTTCATGGATCACTGCCTTGCCGTGGCGAAGGGGCTTGAATAACTCAGAGAAGCTATGAGCTATGCCATGCAGGGCCACCCAAGATGGACAGGTCATAGTGGAGAGTTTTGACCAAACGTGATCCACCTGGAGCAGGAACCGGCAAGCCACTCCAGTATCCCTGCCAAGAAAACTCCATGGACAAAGACAACAGGCACTGAAATATACATACAGGCAAATCCCACTGAGTTCAAAGGGATTTTTTTCTCCAGTAAACCACATTTCCTGACTCCCAGGTGCTTCTCAGTGGACTTTACTTCGGGGTAAATGCACACAGGAGTGTACTGGAAGGACTTCTTGCATTTACCAACATTTATTTCCTGCCTGTCCTCCAAGCATGGTTTTCCATTTTATCCTAACAACAGTCCAGGGAGGTCGGTCAGACTGACAGTCAATAACTCGCCCAAGGTCACATGCTGTCAGCTTCAAGCGTAAGGGAGGACTTGAACCCTGGTCTGTTAGGTCCTAGCCTGACACCCCCAAGTGAGCTGATAGCTCTTTCCTAGTTATGTTTACTCTGAATTAAGTCCCACTGTTTTCACTGTGTGTGTGTTGCATTGCAGCAGAAGTAGGTTTACTCTCAGGTAAACTGTGCTAGGATCGTGTTCCTACAACGCACTCCTATGCACGCTTCCTCAGAAATAAGAGTATGCATGGGGTGCGCTGCAACATCACCCAGTTGCGCTGCAGCACTCCCCCATTGGGTTATATGCAACTAAGTGCTACTCAAGAGCAGACCCACTGAAAACAATGGGCATGTCATCAATTTATTCCCCCCCCCATTTTTTTTAATGATTTTCCAAAATTTTAAAACAAACAAACATAGATCTTAATTGTACTTAATCCAATCTTAGTAACATTGTTACGTGACTTCCTCAAATCCCCCTGGCTGAATTTCAGTGTATATCATTGTAACAGTTTTCCAAAACCAATTTTCTCATAAAATTAACTTCATCACTTAACATCTTTCTTTTCATTTTAACTTTAAACATGTTATTCTCTAACATTGCATATTTAAATCCTAAGCCTATCTGGTATTTGCAAGTTTTTCCAATTAAGTTATCTTAACATATTTAACTAAATAGTCTTTGAGGCATGTCATCAATTTAAATGGGTCTACGCTGAGCAGGGCGTTGTCGGCTACAACAACCGGCTTGAGCTGACACAGCCCAGCCCCGAATATTCAGGTTTACTCGGACGATTCAAGGCTCATTGAATTCAATGGGAGCTGACACTACCAACGAGTAGACCCATTGAAATGAACTGCACCTAAGCGAGGTCTATTAAGAAGCATGAATCTCAATTCATTAATTAAACCCATTTCAACGGGTTTAAACTTAGAAGAGCTTTAGGTACTACGCAACCCCACAGTGGTTCAGAAACGTGGACGGTGGGACTCGAACCCACGACTGGCAGGATGGCGGCTGCCCCTCTCTCTCGCTTTCCCGATTTCGTCACTTCCGCCGACGGCGCGGCCACTACGCCACGCTGGCCCTGCCGCCTGTAGTAAGTTCGAGCAACTGCCGGCGCAGAGGCGGGGCGGAAGAGAGCACAAGTGCTCTTCTGCGCGTGCGCACCGTGCTCTGACTGACGTCCCGCTCTGCCTGTCAGGATCAGCCTGCGCCCCTGTGCGGTCGTCGTGCCCCGCCCCTTAAAAAAAAAACGCCCTGAGGGAATGACGCTCGCTTAACTGCCAAAAAAGGCGCTCGGTCGCTTGCTTGTCCCTTTGCTCTAAAATAAAACAGTAATAAATAATAACGATGTTGTTGTTGTTGTTGTTGTTGTTGTTGTTAGTACCCCGCCCATCTGACTGGGTTGCACAAGCACGACACGATTTCCCCACATGTAGGCCCCGCGGCGATCCCCGCCCTCGATTTGTTTTCCCTCCCGGCGAAGCCGCCTGCTTGGCGGGGGAGGGGGAGCAGGCCGCGGCGGGAGAAAGAAGAGAGGGAGGAGGAGGAGCAACCCTTTCCGTCCTCCTCCTCCCCTCTCGCGGGCTCCGCCAGGCGGCCTCCTCCCCCTCCGCCAGCTCCGCCTCGGACATGGAGAGCTTCCTGGGAGGCCGCAAAGCCGCCCTTCAGGTACCCGCCACGCCATATATAGATGTAGAAATACAGGCTGCTTTTAAAAGGGACGGTCTCGTGAGAGGAAATTGTGTCACCCTGGGCAGGGATGCGGAGCTGGGTGCGGAGCTGTAAATATCATGGATATGAGTGTGTGTGTGTGTGTGTACAGCATCATATCTGTATATATGTATATATGTGTATATATATATATATATATATGTGTGTGTGTGTGTGTGTGTGTGTATATATATATATATATATATATATATATATATATATGTGTGTGTATATACAGTGTGTGTGTGTGTGTGTATATATATACACACACACACACACATATATATATACATATGTGTGTATATGTATATATGTATATATATATATATATATATACATATACACACACACACACACACACACACAGTGGTACCTCGGGTTACATACCCTTCAGGTTACAGACTCCGCTAACCCAGAAATAATGCTTCAGGTTAAGAACTTTGCTTCAGGATGAGAACAGAAATCGTGCTCCAGCGGCGCAGCAGCAGTGGGAGGCCCCCATTAGCTAAAGTGGTGCTTCAGATTAAGAACAGTTTCAGGTTAAGTACAGACCTCCGGAACAAATTAAGTACTTAACCCGAGGTACCACTGTATATATATATATATACACACACACACCTACATACCTATATATGAGAGAAATAGATTATTATTATTACAATTTATTGCCTGCCCAACAATTGAAACACAATACTGTAGTAAAAACTGTTTGAAACAGCTTAAAATTACAGAAACAAGGTGGGTCCTAAAAAGAGATAGATACATACTTACATACATTCCTCCCTTCCATATTTGTGTGCATATACATTTCCTCTATTATTATATTACTTAATAGGGTTGCTATATTTCAAAAAGTGAAAATCTGGACCCTGTTATTATTATTACTATTTGGCCCAAAGTTGTTGAGCTATGTCTATATCTGATATGTCTATATCTTTTTCTTGGGTAGAGTCGTCATAGCGATCCATAGTCCTCTTTTGTGTCCATGTTTTGCTCTTCAAAATATGGCAACCCTGTTTTTCCGCACTGACCGGCAGCAGCAGCAGCTCTCCAGGGTTATGCCAATGTGGGGTTGAGCCTGGGACTGTCAGCACGCACTCTGAACCCCTGAGCTACGGAGGTCTTTTGGACAGCGGGTGCATATATGTCTGTACAGTTGTGATAGGAATTTTATGGTCTTAGATATATGGTAATGTTCATAAGTGTACCAACCAAGCACGTACATAGATCAGCACAGGAAGACCCACCTGAAACCATTTTGATTCCTAAACCGAGCAAGTGTTTTCTCTGCAAGGTCAAAGTGGGAAACCTCCCATTGTCTCTTTCTTCACAAATCTTGTCTTAAGGGCACATTTAAGATATGAATAAGGTGTGAGCCTGTGACCTGGCTCAGGAACTAAGTATTTATCATTACAAAAGACAAAAGGCTACCCAGGCAATCCAATCAGGTAACCTGCCAGACAGGAGATAAACAACATTCAAATTTCTGTTTTAGACCGCCTTTTCTGTGATGTAGGTATGATGTATCTGAGGGGTGGTCTTAGGTTACACCCCTTCTGTGATGTATGTATGATGTTTCTGGGGGTGGTCTTGATCTACAGGGTGGCGAGGCGATTTCAAAAGTCTTTATAAGGCCTTGCACGCCATTTTTCTGGGTTCCTCCTCCTCTCCCGTGTGCAAGGGGAGCACAGATCAATAAAGATCAAGCTTACTAGCTGCTTTGCTTCTCAATATTCTCAATATTCTCTGGTTGGCCTCTGTTCTTTTCTCCTACCAATAGGGAACCTATGTAAGGACTCTATGGGCTCTTGGATACCCCATAAGGGAAAAGGGCAATTTTTGTTTACAACACAGTCGTGCACTGGAAGTCGAAAGGAATCCGTTCCGGAAGTCCGTTCGACTTCCAAAACGTTCGGAAACCAAAGTGCGGCTTCTGATTGGCCCCGGAAACAATGCCGACAGCTGAAACAGATGTTCGGCTTCTGAAAAACCTTTGCAAACCGGAACACTTACTTCCGGGTTTGCTGCGTTCAGGAGTCGATTTGTTCGTCAGCAAAGCCGTTCAGGAACCAAGGTACCGCTGTATCTAAGGAGTAAACCCTACACAAATCCGTAGTGGGGTCCCTAAGATGGTTGGATGGTGCCTTGTACGCCTCCTTCCAGTAACTCCTGCAGCCCAGCTGGTGCCAAATATTTTGCTCTGCTTTGCTTTGGACCACCGATATGTAACAAAGGAAATCCTCTGTGTTGCAACACAGGCAACTCTAAACACATGGCTAGTAATGGTCTAACAAAATATTTGTAACGCGTATTATTTCAACAATTCTTAAACAGAAAATATGTTACATCATCGCAAGCTGATGAAGAGTTACTATCGAAACAATTCATCATCTGGAAAAACTGCTCTATGTTTGGAGCGTCCATTACTGCACGGTTACAGGATTGCAACTGTTGAAAGGCTTACAGTCATACCTCGGGTTACAGCCACTTCAGGTTGCGTTTTTTCGGGTTATGCCCCGCCGAAACCTGGAAGTACCGGAACAGGTTACTTCCGGGTTTCGACTGTCACACATGCGCAGAAGCGCTAAATCGCGCTTTGCGCAGAAGCATCGAATTGCAACACGTGCATGCACAGACGTGCCACTGCGGGTTGCGAACGTGCATCCCGCACGGATCACATTCTCAACCCGAGGCATCCACTGTACAGTGGTACCTCGGCTTAAGTACTTAATTCGTTCCAGAGGTCCGTTCTTAATCTAAAACTGTTCTTAACCTGAAGCACCACTTTAGCTAATGGGGCCTCCTGCTGCCGCCGCGCCGCCAGAGCACGATTTCTGTTCTCATCCTGAAGCAAAGTTCTTAACCTGAGGTACTATTTCTGGGTTGGTGGAGTCTGTAACCTGAAGCATATGTAAGCTGAAGTGTATGTAACCCAAGGTACCACTGTATTTGCCTCTTTGATACTGATTGATTACATTCTCTAATTTTGTTCATGCAATATTGATTGATTTTCATTATTTGTGACTCCATTACATATTTTCTGTTTAAGAACTGTGAAATGATACGTGTGACAAATATTTTGTTAGAACATTATTAGCCGCGTGTTGCCTGTGACTGTAGAGTTTCATTTGGACCACAGCAGCGAGGCCAAGAGGGGGGGTCTTGTTATCTGGGCAACCCATGACCTCCAGACCCGCTGCCCAAGCTTGCGCCCAGGGGAGGTCGCTTCAGTGCTGCACCCCCAGAGGGGCACTCCATTGTCTCTCGAGACAGACGGGTGCCAACAGCAAGAAGTCCACCCAAAGTGGATGATCCTTTGCTAAGAACAGTTCCAGTTACTTTTCGTGTCTGCAAAGGGAGTTTGCTGTTGAGACGAAGAGCAGTTCTTTGCCCGAAGGTAAAGTGAGGCTCCAACCATGTGCTCCACACCGCGTTCTTCAAAGCGACGATTCGGTTCCAGGGAGGATTGAACCGGCCTGCGGTGGCTTTCAGAAAGCCGACAGATATTTTAGGATTCTCCGCCATGAAGCAGCCTAGTAATTGGGAGAAGGGGTTAGAAAAGGAAAACAAGAAAAAGTTGTTGCGCTAAGGGTTGTTGTTTTTTAAACTCAGGCGATCCAAAAATAAGAAACGGGTGTTTTGTTTTGCAACTGTTTATAAAACTTGTTTTTCTGGAAGGAACAATGAGAGGATTGTTTAAGGAGGCCTGCGCCAATCTGGTGTTTTGGGGTTGGAGTCACACAACATCTGGAGGGCACCAAGTTGCTGAAAGCCAGTTTGAGGACAAATTAGATTCGTTTGAGGTTTAATTAAGCCTGCTCGTCAGACAGTGATTAGACAAATTGGTGAGGGATCAGTCCGGTGGTGGCTTTGTCTCTGGCCACCTTGCAACCCTCCCCACCCCTTAAGCATATGTGGAACCTCAGGCCATGCAGATGAATGCGGCCCCCAAGCCTCTCTATCTGGCCCTCAGGACTCTCCTCGGGCCACACCCCTCACCAGCCCTGCTCCACCCCTCCCTTGAGTGTTTCTGCCTGGCTGGAATGTGTCCTTGAACTCTGCTCATGCCTCTTGCTTGCCAGATGGAGGTCTGTGCGCATGTAGAAACTTCTTGACTTGTGTCTGGAAGGCAGCCAGATTTACAGAAGAGTCATGTGCATTGCTGTACTCTCTTTCTCCTGGCCCCCAGAAGGTTCCCAGTGAGAGGATGCGGCCCTCAGCCTGAAAAAGGACTGCCTGCCCTGATATATGGAAAGGCGGTACAGTATCTAAAATTGATCCAGTTACGTAGATGGAACTTCCAGCTTCAAAGGCAGTCTATCATTGATTACTGGATGCCCAAGACAAATGGCAGGATCCACCATGTCCTGCTGGTGAGCCAGGAAGCTCAACCGGGTCAGCCCTGGGTCTGAACCACCACTGGGGTTTCTTCTTACATTCACAGTCTCATGAAAGTTCAAACCTGGAAGCATCTTTCCAGCAAGGAAATCAAAGAAGAAAAAATCCTAGGCAGCTGAATCCATCTTTTTTTTCTTTTCCTAAATATGCTCTATTGGAGGGGGGAGAGAATGAGGGTGTTTCTGAGCACAAGCAAAGTGCCTTTCCAAACCTGTCATATAACCACAGTGGGGACCGCTAGTACCTGGGATTGGGACCATTGCCTCGAGCTCATGTTCGGGATGAAATCTAGGGTGAGCGGCACCTCTGTTTCCTTTTGACAATCACTGTTTTATTTGCAGTTGCCATGATGATTTATTCCCCCCCTCCTCCCTTTGTTGGTTTGTATAAGAAAAAAGCCATCTGCGCTGGGCGCATTGTCAAAGCGTGGCATCTGAGTGCTTACAATCTCTTCTTCTATACCGTTTATTGTGTGTCTCTTCCTTTTTTTCCATTTTTAAAACATGAATCATTCTTCTCTCGTGATTGTTGAATGCAATAACAGCACCGCAACCGGCCTTTGGCAGTCAGCAGAGCCCCAGAGGCTAGGCCAGCAAAGCGTAGAGCAGGCATAGGCCCTCCATATGTTTTTGGGACTAATCCAGCAGCCTCTTCTTATGCTCTTAAATTGGTGGTTATTATTACTGCCTCCTGTGGCAGGGGGTTCCATAGTTTCACTGTGCTGCATGAAGAAATTCTTCCTTTTTATCTGTCCAGAATCTTCTACCGTTCAGTTTCATTGGGTGTTTTGAGAGAGGGAGAAAAACATCTCTCCATGCCCAGCATTCATGGGATGCGGGTGGCGCTGTGGGTTAAACCACTGAGCCTAGGACTTGCTGATCAGAAGGTCGGCGGTTCAAATCCCCGCGACGGGGTGAGCTCCCGTTGCTCGGTCCCTGCTCCTGCCAACGTAGCAGTTCGAAAGCACGTCAAAGTACAAGTAGATAAATAGGTACCGCTCCGGCGGGAAGGTAAATGGCGTTTCCATGCGCTGCTCTGGTTCGCCAGAAGCGGCTTAGTCCTGCTGGCCACATAACCCGGAAGCTGTACGTCAGCTCCCTCGGCCAATAAAGCGAGATGAGCGCCACAACCCCAGAGTCGGCCACGACTGGACCTAATGGTCAGGGGTCTCTTTACCTTTTTATGCCCAGCATTAATTCACAAAGCTTCTACTGTGTTGCCTGTAATAAACGTAGATCTGCCCTTATTCCCTTCTGGGGGACACAAGAGTCCTTTGCAGGTTCTCCATCGGTCAGAGAAAATAACAGGCCAACCAGAGAATATTGAGAAGCAAAGCAGCTCGTGAGCCTGATCTTTATTAAACTGTTGCAACAGGGTGCCCCCTTCACATGCAGAAGAAAGAGGAGGTCACAGAACCAAGGTGTGCCCGCCCTTAAATAGACGTTTTAAATTGACAGCCCTGGAGTCCAAGACCACCACCAGAAACATCATACATACATCACAGAAGGGGTGTAGAGTAAGACCACCCCCCCAGACGCATCATACCTACATCACCGAAAGGGTGGTCTACAACAGAAATCTGAGTGCGTTGTTTACTTCCTGTCTGGCCGGTTACCTGTTAATGCTCACTTGATTGGATACCCTGGGGAGCCTGGCCAGTCTTTTGTAATGATAAATACTTAGTTCCTGAGCCAGGTCACAGGCTCACCCTATTCATACACAGACATACCCTTAAGACAGGATTTGTGAAGGAAAAGACAATGGGGAGGCTTTTCCATTTTCCTTGACCTTGCGGAGAAATCATTTGGTCAGTTTGGGAGTCAAAATGGCTCCAGGGCTGTTTCCCTGTGCTGCTTCAGACATGTGGTTTATATATTTATGTACGTGTTTGCTTGGTACATTGAGGAACATTTATTATATATATAAGACCTTAAATTTTTTATTTCACGCCTCTCTGTCGCCTTTTCTCTAAGCGGAAAAGTCCTCCCTTTGCACTCTCTCTGAATCTTGAGCAAACGCCGTCCTGGTTTGCTGAGGCAGAGCTTTCTCGCTTCGCTACCAGGCTCTGTCCAAACCCACAGATAGGGTGATAAATCACCTTGTGTCCTGAATCAGCAGACTTCCTGCCCCATCAGCAGATATCTGGTTGCCACTGTTTGCAGTGCACCCTCGTTTTATATAAATTCAATAAATAATAATAATAATTTTCAGACCTGTCTCCCCTAGCCCGACAAACTTTAATAGAGGGAGTTTGCGTCTATGAAAATTTCCTTCCTTTTCTTTAGCTAGAGAGGTTGCTTTTAATGGGAAAATATGTCTGTGGTTGATTTTGGTTTCTCTCAAGTTTTTCGTTTTTCCCCCAATCTTAAGCTCAGTTCTCCACATTTCTATGTCAGTTTGCAATTAAAAAAAGAAACCTTCAGAAAAGAATGTTCAGTGCTTCAGTAATAATAAATGGTTTTGCCTAAGAGACACATTTTTGCCATTATGCTGAAGACACACGTTTTTGCAAAGCCGTGTTTCCGTTTCTCGAACTTGGGTCCCCAGCTGTTGCTGGACTACAGCTCCCATCATCCCTAGCTAGCAGGACCAGTGGTCAGGGATGATGGGGGGTGTAGTCCAACGACAGCTGGGGACCCAAGTTCGAGAAACGCCATGGAACAGGCATCCAAAAGACACTCACAAATTAGAACGGGCATCTAAAACAAGCTGGGTAAAGGTAAAGGTACCCCTGCCCGTACGGGCCAGTCGTGTCCGACTCTAGGGTTGTGCGCGCATCTCACTTAAGAGGCCGGGGGCCAGCGCTGTCCAGAGACACTTCCAGGTCACGTGGCCAGCGTGACGAAGCTGCTCTGGCGAGCCAGCACTAGCGCAGCGCACGGAAACGCCGTTTACCTTACCGCTATAAAGCGGTACCTATTTATCTACTTGCACTTTTTGGGGTGCTTTCGAACTGCTAGGTGGGCAGGAGCTGGGACCGAAAGACGGGAGCTCACCCCGCCACGGGGATTCGAACCGCCGACCATGCGATCGGCAAGCCCTAGGCGCTGAGGTTTTACCCACAGCGCCACCCGCGTCCCAGCGCCACCCACGTACCTTAAGCTGCTTAGCCCCAAATTCCTGCATTTATTTCACTGATACACATTCTCTGGGTGCATTTCTGTGAACATGACTTGGCCAAAGCACTGCATTGCAAAACCCAGAGAGCTGTTGCTACTATTTTTAATCCTGTTAGTGGAGAGGGTTATTAAATCACCAGGACTACCCAAGTGATCTTTTCATGCTTCCTTTTTTCTTCTTCTCGTGGTGGGGGCAACGGAAAAGTTACAGACAAGAGACACTAGGTATCTGAACCCGTCATCCGCCACAACGGCTGCACCCCAGCGCTCAAAATTCACCAGGCGCCTTTTGCTACTGACGCAGGTCCAAATGCGACTACAGTCATACCTCAGGTTATAGCTGCTTCAGGTTGCATTTTTTTGGGTTGCAGACCACCAGAACCCGGAAGTACCGGAACAGGTTACTTCCGGGTTTTGCCGGTCGCGCATGTGCAGAAGCTCTAAATTGAGCTTTGCGTATGCGCAGAAGCGCCGAATCGCAACCCGCATGTGAGCAGACGTGGGTTGTGAACGCTGCAGGTTGCAAACGCGCATCCCGCATGGATCACGTTCGCAACCCGAGCGTCCACTGTACGTGGAGATTTCTGGGCGCTAGGTTGGCAACTGCAGTTTAAAAACCTCTGCCTTAGTCCATTGTGCGCCTAGCTTCTATATCTAAGTTTCTAACCCAGCTGCACCAAGATCTGAGGTGGCTGTGCCTCTGAATTCAAGGTGCGAGCCGTGGGGAAAGAGAGGACCGTGTTCCTCGCACCCTCCCTTCAGGCTTTTTGGAGGCATCCGATTGGCCGTGGTGAGAAATAAGATGCTGTACTTGTTGTTGTTGTTGTTGTTGTTTAGTTGTTTAGTCGTGTCCGCCTCTTCGTGACCCCCTGGACCAGAGCACGCCAGGCCCTCCTGTCTTCCACTGCCTCCACAGTTTGGTCAAACTCATGCTGGTAGCTTCGAGAACACTGTCCCACCATCTCGTCCTCTGTGATCCCCTTCTCCTTGTGCCCTCCATCTTCCCCAACATCAGGGTCTTTTCCAGGGAGTCTTCTCTTCTCATGAGGTGGCCAAAGTCTTGGAGCCTCAGCTTCAGGATCTGTCCTTCCAGTGAGCACTCAGGGCTGATTTCCTTCAGAATGGAGAGGTTTGATCTTCTTGCAGTCCATGGGACTCTCAAGAGTCTCTTCCAGCACCAGAATTCAAAAGCATCCATTCTTTGGCGATCAGCCTTCTTGATGGTCCAGTTCTCACTTCCATACATCACTACAGTGGTACCTCGGGTTAAGTACTTAATTCGTTCCGGAGGTCCGTTCTTAACCTGAAACTGTTCTTAACCTGAGGTACCACTTTAGCTAATGGGGCCTCCTGCCGCCGCGCAATTTCTGTTCTCATCCTGAAGAAAAGTTCTTAACCCAAGGTAATATTTCTGGGTTAGCGGAGTCTGTAACCTATAGCGTATGTAACCCATATGTAACTGTACTGGGAAAACCAGAGCTTTAACAATACAGACCTTTGTCGGCAACGTGATGTCTCTACATCAGCCTATATGGGCTGCAATAACGCTGGACTAATGTGCTTTGAGAGAAAGATCGGCTTCTAAAAAGGCACCCAGTTCTCCCAAGGCCCTCAAGCAATGTTCTACACAAAGTGCTGACGCCTATCTCTCCTGTTTTGATTTCTTTTTTTAAAACCACTCTCTCCCTCCTCGATTTTAATTTCCCTTTTTGCATCTCAACCATCTGCGGCTGTTTTCTCTGCCTTTACCCTAGCCACGGCCTCGCGCTTTCAAGGCTGCTCCTGGGAGGAAATCAGTTTACCTTGGGCCGCCTTATCTCTTGGAGTGCTTTAGCAAATGGGCCGTGGCGTTTCGCAGTAGCCGGGAAACGGCGCCTGGTGCCTCTTAGGTTGTGCAGATGAGAGAAACCTTTCAAGGTCTCCCCAGCGGCCAGGGAGATGGGCTTAAACCGGGAAAGCTTCTGCAAAGCGCTTGCCAGCTTCTCGACAGCTTCTCACCCCAAATGCACCTCACAGCGGCTTTGTGTGTATGTGTGGTCACCCCTTGCAATTGGATCCGAACCTTATATTCGGAAAGGTACATGGTATAGGCCTCCATTGCGGTACGGTCTCCTCGGAAGATAAAGAAGGCGAATTGCCTCATTTACTTTTATTATTTATTGCACTGATATTCCACCTTTTTCTCCAAGGATTTATCAGCTACTTTAAAATGAGGCCGCATTTTAAATTGCATTTTAACCTGTATTTTAAATTGGGTTTTTTTCTTTCCCCCCCTATTATGTTTTTACTGTGATTTTATTGGTGTCAACCGCCCTGAGCCTGGCTTTGGCAGGGGAGAGAGGGGTATAAATAAAATTTATTTTTATTTATTATTATTAAGGAGCTCAAGGTGGCTGGCGTGGTTCTCCCTCTCCTCACTGAACCCCACAACAACTGTGAAGTGGGTTAGGCTGAGAGGGATAGTACCGTATTTTTCGCTCTATAAGACGCACCAGACCACAAGACGCACCTAGTTTTTGGAGGAGGAAAACAAGAAAAAAAATATTCTGGATCTCAGAAGCCAGAACAGCAAGAGGAATCGCTGCGCAGCGAAAGCAGCGATCTCTCTTCCTGTTCTGGCTTCTGGGATAGCTGCACAGCCGCATTCGCTCCATAAGACGCACACACATTTCCCCTTACTTTTTAGGAGGGAAAAAGTGAGTCTTATAGAGCAAAAAATACAGTACTTGGCTCACATCTGGCTTCATGGCTGAGTGGGGGGATTGGAACCCTGTCTCCCAGGTCCTAGTCTGACACGCTAACCCCTACACTACACAGATGAACTTCCCTTCAGTTTGTTCCCCTTTCCCTGCCTTAATTTAAGAGTGTAAGGTGCTTCGTGGCAGAGACTGGTTTGTGTTGGTGGTATTCCCATCTCTTATTTTAGACTCTGCTCTTCAGCAGGAAAGTGTCCCAGAGCAGTAAGCAATACAGTGACCGCCTTCAGATTTGACCATCTTAAAAGGCGTAACACGAAAGGAAAACAAGGATGGGAAAGGAGGAGGAAAACACAAAGACTCGGGCACTGGGGTGCCGGTAGCAACCGCAACACACAAATGTAGATCTATGTAAATAATAAACGTTAAATAATGCTTGCACAATTGGCAAAAGGTTTTGCGTTCGCAGTAGTGGGGTGTCCGTGTCAGAGTTGTGACCCTTTTACAAATTATCGGTTGGGGCAGGAAGGGAAGGAATATGCTTAGGCAGAAAGAGAAAGAGACTAAGGCAAAAGTACTGTATCCTGGGAACTGTAGCTCACTCCTCACAAAGGTGCAGCGCCCATCAATCCTACCAAGCTACAGTTCCCAGGATTCTTTTGAGAGGTGTGTGTTTTCAATGCCTGGTGTGATTGCGGCCTTAACCCCTGAGTTTTCACAACCGAGTGGGAGATTTTAACCCTGCCCTCGCTAGCGGGAGGTCGACCCTTGTCCTAGCACCCAGCGCTGAAAGGCTACAACTTTCGTTGTAGGTCCTCAAGAACACCCCCCTTTGCCCCCGAATCCACAGGCGCTCTCGTCCTCCAGAAACCATCTTCCTTTCGAGGAGCAGGCCTGTGGCTACACAGGCATCTCTGGGCGTAAGTACAGCGCTGGCTGGCAAATGGTAAACCCAGGCCTCTCGCTCCTGGGCTCGATCCACAAGGCACCCGTTTGTCTTCATTTGCAAAATGTGTAGACGTAGGAAGCAGCCTTGAGTTGGACCCTTCTTCCATCTAGCTCAGGCTTGTCCGCACGGACTGGCAGCATCTCTCCAGGGTTTCAGGCAGGAGTCTCTCCCAGCACTACCTGGGAATGGACCTTCTCCAGGGAAAGCCGTCGCTTAACCTCTGTGTTTCCTCTCCAATTTCTTACACAATCAAGTTCAAGAAGGACAAACTGGAACGTGTCCAGAGGAGGGCAACCAAAATGGTCAAAGGCCTGGAAACGATGCCTTATGAGGAACGGCTAAGGGAGCTGGGCATGTTTAGCCTGGAGAAGAGGAGGTTAAGGGGTGATATGATAGCCATGTTCAAATATATAAAAGGATGTCACATAGAGGAGGGAGAAAGGTTGTTTTCTGCTGCTCCAGAGAAGCGGACACGGAGCAATGGATCCAAACTACAAGAAAGAAGATTCCACCTAAACTTCCTGACAGTAAGAGCTGTTCGACAGTGGAATTTGCTGCCAAGGAGTGTGGTGGAGTCTCCTTCTTTGGAGGTCTTTAAGCAGAGGCTGGACAACCATATGTCAGGAGTGCTCTGATGGTGTTTCCTGCTTGGCAGGGGGTTGGACGCGATGGCCCTTGTGGTCTCTTCCAACTCTATGATTCTATTCTATGATTCTTCTTTGTTTTTATTTGGTAGGATCACGTCCGGAGGAACCAAGAGGTCCACGTGGTGATGGGGAACGAGGCCTGCGACCTGGACTCCATGGTGTCCGCTTTGGCCCTCGCTTACTTCTTTGCAAAGGTCGGTCTTCCGCTTCCACCCTTTGGAGCATTTCCCTTTGCCCCCTTTGAAGAGCCCTCTTTGCTCCCTTTCCACGGTTGGTTCCGCAGTTTTCCTGCAAGGCTGGCGCGGCGCGATGAGGTCATCCCCATGTGGCGGCTCTGGGCTCAGAGTCCTCTGGACTGAATTTGGTGTGGATTGTGTAAGAAAAGACTGAGAATGGGGAGCGACGTTGCCCCTCAGCCGCTGAACATTTCCTTTTTTCCTTTTTAAATTTTAAATAAATCATTTTATTAAACATATAACAAGACAAACAGAGTATTCCAGCAATCCAACAAAAGGAAAAGGAAATAACACAATTGAGTATGGTCAGATATAAGGGAGGAGACAAAAGATATATATATATATATATATATATATATATATATATATATTACATGATCTGTTTAATAATAATAATTTTTTTTATTTATACCCCTCCCTCCCCGACCAAAGCTGGGCTCAGGGCGGCTAACACCAGTAAAATTACAGTAAAATCATAATGGGGGGGGGGAAACCCAATTTAAAATACAGGTTAAAATGCAATTTAAAATGCAGCCCCATTTTAAAAGTAGCCCACAGATCAAAACCGTAAGGGGAGGGAAACATAAGGGTCAGAGTCCAAACCAAAGGCCAGGCGGAACACCTCTGTCTTGCAGGCCCTGCGGAAAGATGTCCAGTCCCGCAGGGCCCTAGTCTCTTGTGACAGAGCGTTCCACCAAGTCAGGGCCAGTACTGAAAGATAATTATGCCTTATCTTGGAGTATTGCTTAATTGCCTCTTTTGCACAGGTTCTTTGTAATATTTTTCTTTATACCTTTCGTCTCCTTGCTTTATACCCCAACACTTCCTGATCTATGATCTATGTACCTTCGTGACTGATGCTGGGCTTTGACCATGCAGTTTCGGGCCTGTTTTTATATCCTTAAGGACTAGAAACCTGCTTGTTTCCCCCCCACAAAATGAGAGTTTGAGGACATCCAATTCCGCAGTTGCTCGGAGACATCTGCAAGGCTCTTATTGGTACTCAGTGACTGGGTAACATGAGAAATTTTATCCGTGCAACAGAGACCTGGATTTTAATGTACCTTTCGTTGCGCCCCGCAGACCGCCCCAGACATGAAAGCAGCCTTCATCCCGGTCCTGAACATCCCCCGCTCAGAATTCCCTCTGCGCACGGAGAGCACCTTCCTCCTCAAAGAGCAGCGCATTGCGGAGAGTTCGCTCGTCTTCCGGGACGAGATTGACCTTGCCACCCTACACCAGGCAGGCCTCCTTTTGCTGACGCTGGTTGACCACCACGTCCTGCCGAGGTCAGTGGAGAGGGTTGTTGTTGTTGTCCGACTCTTTGTGACCCCATGGACCAGAGCACGCCAGGCACTCTTGTCTTCCACTGCCGCCCGCGGTTTGGTCAAACTCATGCTGGTAGCTTCGAGAACACTGTCCCGCCATCTCGTCCTCTGTCGTCCCCTTCTCCTTGTGCCCTCCATCTTTCCCAACATCAGGGTCTTTTCCAGGGAGTCTTCTCTTCTCATGAGGTGGCCAAAGTCTTGGAGCCTCAGCTTCAGGATCTGTCCTTCCAGTGAGCACTCAGGGCTGATTTCCTTCAGAATGGAGAGGTTTGATCTTCTTGCAGTTCATGGGACTCTCAAGAGTTTCCTCCAGCACCAGAATTCAAAAGCATCAAAAGCGATCAGCCTTCTTTATGGTCCAGCTCTCACTTCTGGGAAAACCATAGCTTTAACTATTTTTTAACTATTACTTTGTCAGCAAGGTGATGTCTCTGCTTTTTAAGATGCTGTCTAGGTAGGGGAGCGGTAGGGCACCCAAAGGACTTGGAGGTGAGAGTAGAGTCTTATGAGCTATGGGTTGTCGGCATTTTTGAACCGCACCCTGATTTTGTGGCTTCTCCATCCCCTTTGCCCAGATCAGCACCCCACAAAAGACAGAAAGAGAAAGGGCATGCGCACGCACGCACGCACGCACGCACAGACACATCACTTTTCCAAGGTAAAATCTGGAGCCAGTAGAATTAATCGGATGCCTGGAAAAGCACATAGAGCTGAAGGAGGAATTGAGAAAGAGCATCACTCTTCCAACTTCCTCCTTCAGCAGTGTGTGATTTTGGTGGCCAAGAGGGCAGTGAGGGAGCTCAGAGGCTTCATGGGTGCCAGGGAAACCCCATGGCTGTCCCCCAGCCCTAATAATAATAATAATAAAAATAATAATAATAATAATTTATTATTTGTTCCCTGCCCATCTGGCTGGGTTTCCCCAGCCACTCTGGGCAGCTTCCAACAAAGATTAAAAATACATTAAAATGTCACACATTAAAAACTTCCCTGAACAGGACTGCCTTCAGATGTCTTCTAAATGTCAGGTAGTTGTTCTTCTCTTTGACATCTGATGGGAGGACATTCCACAGGGCGGGTGCCACTACTGAGAAGGCCCTCTGCCTTGTTCCCTGTAACCTCAATTCTCGCAGCAAGGGAACCGCCAGAAGGCCCTCGGAGCTGGACCTCAGTGTCTGGGCAGAACGATGGGGGTGGAGACGCTCCTTCAGAGTATACTGGACCGAGGCTGTTTAGGGCTTTAAAGTTCAACACCAACACTTTGAACTGTGCTCAGAAACGTACTGGGAGCCAATGTAGATCTTTCAAGACTGGTGTTATGTGGTGTTCTATGCTTAGAACGGACGCGGGTGGCGCTGTGGGTTAAACCACAGAGCCTAGGGCTTGCCGATCGGAAGGTCGGTGGTTCGAATCCCCGCGACGGGGTGAGCTCCCGTTGCTCGGTCCCTGCTCCTGCCAACCTAGCAGTTCGAAAGCACGTCAAAGTGCAAGTAGATCAATAGGTACCGCTCTGGCGGGAAGGTAAACGGTGTTTCCGTGCACTGCTCTGGTTTGCCAGAAGTGGCTTAGTCATGCTCTCCACATGACCCAGAAGCTGTACGCCGGCTCCCTCGGCCAATAAAGCGAGATGAGCGCTGCAACCCCAGAGTTGGCCTCAACTGGACCTAATGGTCAGGGGTCCCTTTACCTTTACCTTTATGCTTAGAACAACTGAATTGGCCAACAGATCCACACAACTATGGTTTGGGGATAGATGCAGTTGCAGCACATGGACACTAGGGGAGCTGTCTCTAAACCCTTGGACCTGGCCCCTCCCTCAGTGACCACTTCCCCCTACTGGCCAGGTGGTGCACCTGCAAGCATGCCCAGTGGCGCCCTAGCTGTGACTCAAGCGGTGAGCCATGTTCTCAGGATAGGATGCACAGCGAGCGAAGCTGAAATATCTTCCAGCATCTGCTCATGCTGAGGTGCATATATTGACACTGCTACGTCTCCCCTGTTTTGCAGTGGGGATGCGGCGCTGGAGGAGGCGGTTGTTGAGGTGATCGACCACCGGCCCCTGGAGCGGGAGCGGGGCCCTCCCTGCAGAGTCACGGCAGAGCTGGTGGGCTCGTGCGCCACACTGGTGACGGAGAGGATCCTGCAGAGCCCGTCGCAGGTTTTGGACAGGCAGACAGCAGCTCTCTTGCACGGTGAGGACTAGCGGCTTGCAGCGACGTGAGGGGAAGTGATTGCTTGTTAAAAAACCAACAACCCGCAGGCAAATGCTGGCAGGTGGGGAATACGTAGCCCTGCAGAGCAGCGGTGGGCAACATGTCGCCCTCTAGATTTTTTGGGCTCCCTCTCGAAAAGAGGATTGGATAAATTCATGGCAGAGAAGGCTGACAGTGGGTTCTAGCCAAGATGGCTTCGCTCTGCCTCTAACGTCTGGGGCAGTAATGCTTCTGAATACCTGTTGCTGGAAACTGCAGGGCAGCTCAGGTCTTCATTTCGCCGTCTGTTTGGCCATTGGCTTGATCCGGCAGAGGTTTCTGTTCTTTTTTTTATTATTTAATTTTTTTATTAAGATAATTCAACATTTATACATACATATTACGGATATACAAGCAAACATACATTTCATACAATCCTTAAAAATATTCCTACATACCCACATTCAATCCCGCATTTTTTGCTCCATAAGACGCACTTTTTTCTTCCTAAAAAGTAAGGGGAAATGTTTGTGCGTCTTATGGAGCGAATGCATGGTCCCTGCAAAAAGCAGATCATGCCTTTTTTTTTTTTTTAAAGAGGGAAGCAGGTGTTGAAACAAAGCCGCTGATCGTTTGCAATCGGGGAGTGAGATAAGGGACGCTAGAGATAAAGGAGGCTGCCTGGGAGGGGGGAGGTAAAGACAGCAGACTTGCAAAGGGGGGGGGGACAGGAAGACTAAAGCAATGAGGAGAGAAATTAGAAGAAAAGGAGGAGCAAAAAACTGCTCCAGCTAAGGAAAAGATACCACACTAAGGCAAACGAGGGAAGGGAGTGTTGAAAGGAAACAGCTGATCAGTGGAATCAGAAGAGAGATAAGGGACGCTAGCTGAAGCTGCCTGGGGGGGGGGTAAAAGCCCATGGATCCTCAGGATTTTTGCATTGGGTCACCCCAAATTCACCATCAGATCACATGTCTGTGGTCACGGTACTTCCTTTTCCCACCACCTTCTCTCACCCCACCCTGTGCTAGACTTCCAATCTACTCAATTGCAATTTCTTTCCATTTCTTTCCATTTCTATTACTTTCTTTCACACACTATTAAACCAACTTTCTACTTCTTTTTCTGTTACACATTGTTATCCATAGTATTTGATATTTTAGTATTTATAGCGGAACTTGTTTATTCTAACAGGAGTTCTGGTTTTTCAATATGATTTAGCAAATATTCTTTAAACACCTTCCAATCCTTGTCTATCTTCTCTTTTGAGATCCTTCCAATTTCTCCCATTGTTTTGGACATATTGTAATACTCCAATAATTTGGCAAGCCACTCTGTTTTTGTCGGCATTATACCACTTTTCCAATTTTTTGCAGTCAGTAGCCTGGCGGCTACTGTTGCATATACGGCAGAGGTTTCTGATGTTCTGACAAATTTTTCTTGCATCCATAGTTCTAGTTAAGGCAGCCAGCTTTGGAGCTAGACAGAATTCTTCTTTGGGGACCAATTCTTTGCAGCCTTGGTAGCTTGCTACTAAATCAGCAAGTGAATGATAACCTCTGAGCAGTTGTCTTCGTTCCCTAAGTGGGTGTTTCCGCCCCCTGGGGCCCCCGTAGGATTACCTAGGGGTCACTAAGAAGCAATGGGGCGGCACGGGGGTGCTGGAAGTGTCGCTGGCTCCCAGACTTTGAAAAACTGGCATCACTGGATCAATTTTGCTGCATACGTTAAACTGAATAGTTCTAACTGGGTTTTGAATAAATATGCAATTGATTGTTACTGTTTTGAATTTTGTTGTGTTGCTCTCCTCCCTAGTGGGTTGCGCAAACCACTATTCTGCATAAAGCTTTTTAATAGGGATGGGTAGGGGCTAGAACCGGGACGCTGGTGGTGCTGTGGGTTAAACCACAGAGCCTCAGACTTGCCGATCAGAAGGTTGGTGGTTCGAATCCCCGCAACGGGGTGAGCTCCCGTTGCTCAGTCCCTGCTGCCAACCAAGCAGTTCGAAAGCACGTCAAAGTGCAAGGAGATAAATAGTACCGCTCCGGCGGGAAGGTAAACGGCGTTTCCGTGCGCTGCTCTGGTTAACCAGAAGCGGCTTAGTCCTGCTGGCCACATAACCCGGAAGCTGTACGCCGGCTCCCTCGGCCAGTAAAGCGAGATGAGCGCCGCAACCCCAGAGTCGGCCACGACTGGACCTAATGGTCAGGGGTCTCTTTACCCTTTACCTTTAGGTGGTAGAATCAAGGAGGAGAGGTTGGCCCCCCAAAGTTTGGGAACCACAGTTCTCACCCTTCTTGTCTTTCAAACCTGCAAACGTAAAAGATTCTTTCCGGATTGGACTGTCGTGTGTCGCCTCTTGATCCTGGTTCTTCCTTGACTCTGCAGGCACAATCGTTCTGGACTGTGTCAACATGTCCCCCGAAGCTGGCAAAGTGACCGCGAAGGACACCCATTACGCTTCCCTTTTGGAGTCGAAGTTCCCCGATCTGCCCTCGAGAAATGTCATCTTTGAAGCCCTGCAGAGGGCCAAGTTTGATGTCTCAGGTATGAGCCGCCCACCTTAGTCTTGCCTCGTAAAGGATATTGCAGAGCCGGAATGGTTGAGAAAAGGGCAACCAAAACTACTGAGGGCAGGGGGAGTGGGGCAACTCCCGTATAAGAAAAGGTAAAATACACACTTGGGGCTATTTTTAATTTAGAGGAAAGGCAGGTAAGGAGGGACAGGGTAAGAGGTGAATAAGATGATGCATCGTTCTGGGAGCGTGGATGGGGGGGAGAAAGGTTTCTCTCCCTCTCTTGTAAAAGTAAAACTTGAAGCTGAATATTGGGTGATTGAAGGCAAGCGAAAGGAAGCCCTTATTTGTGCCAGAGCAGAGTTAAACTCTGGAACTCCCTCCCACTGCTGGAGGCAAGGTGCTTCTGAATACAGTGGTACCTCTGGATGCGAATAGGATCCGTTCCGGAGCCCCGTTCGCACCCTGAAGCGAACGCAACCCACATCCGCGCATCTGCGGGTCACGATTCACAGCTTCCGCGCATGCGCATGACATCATTTTGAGCGTCTGCGCATGCGCGAGCGGCAAAACCCGGAAGTAACGCACTCCGTTACTTCCGGGTCGCTGTAGAGCGCAACCCGAAAATATTCATCCCAAAGCTACTTAAACCCAAGGTATGACTGTACAGTGGTACCTCTGGTTGCGAACGGGATCCGTTCCAGAGGCCCGTTCGCAACATGAAAAGAGCGCAACCTGCAGCGGCGCATCTGTGCATGTGCAGGTTCAAATTCGCCACTTCTGCGCATGCGTGTAACATCATTTTGCACTTCTGTGCATGCGTGAGCTGCGAAACCCGGAAGTAACCCTTTCCGGTACTTCCGAGTCACCACGGGACGTAACCTGAAAGAACGTAACATGAAGCGGACGTAACATGAGGTATGACTGTACTATTTCTTAGGAATCACAGGCGGGGTGAGTGCTTTCGAACTCAGTCCTGCCTAGGGGCTTCCCATCAAGGCATCCGGCTGGACCCGGCGAGAATGGGATGCTGGACTAAGTGGGCCATTGACCTGGTCCAGCTAGAGACCTCTTCTGATGTTCTTATGGAACCTCCAGGTCCAGAGGCAGTCGATCTCGATTCCCAGGTTCTTGGGGCATTTTTGGCCATTGTGGGAACGGGATGCTGAACTACCGTATTTTTCGCTCTATAGGACGCACTTTTCCCCTCCAAAAATGAAGGGGAAATGTGTGTGCGTCCTATGGAGCGAATGCAAGCTCCTTGGCTTCAGCGAAAGCAAGGCAAAGCCTCCGAAGCGCAGAGGAAGCGCTCCCTCCGCGCTCCAGAGGCTTCGCGTTGCTTTCGCTGAAGCCTGGAGAACGAGAGGGGTCGGTGCGCACTGACTCTCCTGGCTTCAGTGAAAGGAACCCGAAGCCTTCAGAGCACAGCGCGAGTTCCTGCTGCGTTCTAAAGGCTTCAGGTGGCTATCCCTGAAGCCTTTGGGGCGCAGTGGGAACTTGGGCTGTGCTCCGAAGGCTTCGGGTTCCTTTCGCTGAAGCCAGGAGAGCAAGACTCTCCCGGCTTCAGCAGAGAGGGAGAGCTGCGCAGCGCCCCTTCAGCCAAGCGGGAGGAGAAATGGAAGGGGCTCCGTTTCTCCTGCCGCTTTGCTGAAGGGGCGCTGAGCAGAGAGGGGAGATTTTTTTTCCCTTGTTCTCCCCCTCCAAAACAAGGTGCATCCTATGGTCGGGTGCGTCCTATAGAGCGAAAAATACGGTAGATGGGCCGCTGGCCTGATCCAGGAAAGCTCTTCTTATGTTTTTATGACCAGGACTCACCACAGACCAGATGCTGAGGAAGGACCTCAAGGCCCTCTCTGGGGAAAATGCTGTGATTGCGCTCAGCGCCATATACATGAACCTACAGGTGAGCACAGGAAGGGGCCAGAAACCATTTCAGGTGTGCCTTTGATGCCTTCCTCCTCTTCTCTTCTCACGCTCCTCCTCTCCACTCAGGCCTTCCTGCGCCGTCCCGGTTTGGAGCAGGAGCTGTCCGCCTTCTGCCGGCAGAGGAGCTACGACGCCTTGCTTGCCATGACCATCTCCTTCAATGAGCAGAACGTGCCTTTCAGGCAGCTCGCCGTGTACAGCCAGCACCCGGAACTCCAGGCAGCGGTGAGTTCGAATGGCGCCCTGTCGGGATGAGATAAAGAATAGTGAGTCCTTCCCTAGAAAACACAACAGGTTGCTGCAAGGGGCCTCTTGGTTGATTTCCAGGATATTGGACCCCGCAAAGCATTGGTTAGAATTCTCAGTGATAGGCTGGTCACGTTTATTTCTGAACTCCTGCGCCTTTAAACTAGGGGTGTTTAAAGAGGGAGAGATTTCCATCCCCTCTGGCATTCGTTGCAGTCGCCGCCGTTTCCATTCTGCTGCAGTCCGGCTTCCGCTAAAACCTGTTTTGGCCAAGACTAACATACCGTATTTTTTGCTCCATAAGATGCACCTAGTTTTTAGAGGAGGAAAACAAGAAAAAAAAATCTGAACAAAACAGTGGATGTATGACTTTTGTAGTTCATGCTGTGGCCACAGACATGTGATTTGACGTGTGATTTGGGGTAGCCCAATGCAAAACTCCTGAGAATCCATGTGGATCCATGCTTTGTAACCACATTTTTCCGACACTGCGGCCCCACAGAACAGTGGATACGTGATTTTTTTGGTGCAGGCTGTAGCCATGGACATGCTATGTGATCTGATGGTGAATTTGGGGCGACCCAATGTAAAAATCCTGAGGATCCATGGGCTTTTACTTCCCCCCTCCCAGGCAGCCTCCTTTATTGCTAGTGTCCCTTATCTCCTTTCCTGATCGCTTACCGATCAGCTGCTGCCTTTCAACACTCCCTTCCCTCTTGTTTGCCTTAGTGTCTTTTCCTTAGCTGGAGCAGTTTTTTGCTCCTCCTTTTCTTCTAATTTCTCTCCTCATTGCTTTAGTCTTCCTGTTTGCCCCCCTTTGCAAGTTTGCTGTCTTTACCTCCCACCTCCCAGGCAGCCTCCTTTATTGCTAGAGTCCCTTATCGATTGTGGAATGAATTGTGGAATGTTGGGAGGACAGATAAAACGAATTCCTTCTTCACCCAGCGCGCTGTTGAACTGTGGAACTCGCTGCCATAGGAGGCAATGATGGCTTTAGAAATGGATTAGGAACATTGGTGGAGGGGAAGGCTATTAGATGTTTTTGAATGCTTGTTGCTGGAAACAACAGGAAGGAAGAGTGGCTCTTGTGCTCAGGTCCCGCGTCAAGGTTTCCCTTTGGGGCATTTCGTTGGCCAGTGTGTAATGTCATTATGTAATGTTCATGGACTGAAATGTATGAAAAGAGTGAACTCTGCTCCTATTCGCTTGCATGATTTCTGTTGCTCGCCTCGGGCGAACATGTAGAATTGCAGCAGTTTTGGACAAAGCTCTCTGACTTCCACGCTGGTGGGACAAATGTTAGAGAGGTCCATTCAGGCTTCCCCAGCTTGATCTTTTGCACTACAACTCCCATACATCTGCGCTGGTGGGGGCTGATGGGAATTGTAGTCCAGCTGGGGTAAGACCCCATCGTTTATCTGCTCTTTTGACAGGATAGATACTCAGTACCAAAGACTACACGTTTTCTGTCTGAAATAATTGATAGGGGATTTTTATTTACCTAAAAGAGGCTGCTGTATCTTGCCTGGGGAAATTCATAATGTTATGTTCGTTCTGGCTTTTAAAAAATAATAGTTTAGGTTTTACATCGTTTTATTGGGGGTTTGTGCAATGTTATTTCTTCTTATACGTGTTAAAATAGCTTCGATTTGCTTGGGGCATTTAGAAATGAACGTTTGTTCACGGTGCATGTAGTTTTTACGTGGGGCTGCGTCGGCGTGCGTTGATTTTAACTCGGAACGCCTTTCGTACGGATCCACCCTCCTTTTCTGAACCTCTTTACGATGGTGTAAACACTAGATGCACACAAGCATGCGAAATCAGGCCTCCCAATTGATCCGTGCCGGGGTAACCTGCAGCTGAACCCATGGCCCGTTTCCAAAACCCCACCCACTCCACAAACCCCTACCACTTTGGCCCCACCTGCTGCCACATTACCCCACCCCCCAAGGAAACAACATTCACCCCTCCCGTGGATCTGAACTGTTGGGAACTCCCCCCTTGCAAAATTGGCTACTGGTCCGAAAGCCACCTTTCTCTTCCAGAGTTCGAAGTCGAGACCTGCAAGGTTTCCATGCGCGGACAAAAAAAATCCCTGCTATTTTGATCGAGTCCTTTGTCCTTTTCCTGGGCTCCCTTCCTCCCCGTCAGCTCTCACACTACATTTCCACGGTGCCCCAAAGTCTCCACCCCATATCCTCTGCCTGCTTCTCCCCAGATCTTCCCCGTTGCCATAGCCGGGCGTGTGTGGACCAGGAGAGACAGTCCTTATTCATCCATCCATCCATCCATCCGTCTGGAGAGAAGGGAGCCTTGCTTGGCTGACTCCCAAGGCAAGGGGGAGGGATGTTTACGCAGGCGAGTGGGTCCCCCACCCCTCTGCTAAAGCAGTCGTCATTCATTAACCACGGTCAAAGGTTTCTGAGATCACCAGCTAACTAAGTGGGGGGACGTTCAGTGCGCAGGAAAGCCCTGTCATGCTCGCGGTTGTCACACTACATTTCCCCCGGCCTGCCTGACGGAAGGTAAGTGGGGTCTCTGGGGAGGGTCTTCTTTCTTGCACCCCCCCTTTCCTCTGTCCTCTGCCCCACTCCCCATCTTTGAGTGGCGGAGGGTATCCTTCTCAGCCCTGCATTAATTCGATTCTGTATTGATTCGATTCCTTTTTTTTCTGCACAGGCTGAGCTTTAAGAAGGAAGGGTGTTAACGGATTCCATTTTCTCCTCCCTTTCTTTCTTCCTCCCTGCCAGTATTTAAAAAGCTCGTTTGTGTGTTCTGGCAGGAATCAAAGGCGCCTCCTTTTTTAACCACCCTGAATGCGTTTGCTCAGTGCGGATATGCTGCTGTGTCCAATAGGGCTTAGGATAAATTTTCTCTCCTGCACAACCTACTACTAATGTTTATTATTATTGTTATTATTACATGCATGTTTACAAACCTGCAACCTGTATTTCAATACAAAAAAATATGGCAGCGTGGTGAGAATCTTGGAGACTATACCACTCCCTTATTATTATTTTTTAAAAGATCATGCCCCCAGTCCTGAGCATTTTCAGAGGGCTTCATTTTTTCCAAAGTGCATCGAATGTTTACGAAACTGCAACCTGTATTTCAAACTGGAAAATTGGGCAGCGTTGTAGGAACCCGGGAAAATCTCATTCTGACCTATTATTATTATTAAAATCATGCTTTTCAGTTGGCTTAGTTTCCCCCCCAAAGGGTCAAAGTTTAAGCAAGCCTCTCCAGACATGTAGAACATTCAAGTGCATTGAAATCTCGTTTTCAGCCTAGCGCTGATTTCTGAAGGTTTTAAATGCCAGTTTTTAACTGTCTCTTTACTGATAATTTCATTGTTTTATCCTTTTTGCAAATCGCTTAGTGGTGTGGGCCCCCCCCAACCCCAACCCCCACCATGGGGTATATAAATTTTATGGGAAAAACTTATTTATTTAAATTTGGAGAAGTGCTTTGGGGGCTGTCTCCTGCTTGAAAGAAATAACCCTTGGCTGAGTAATCATATCAGTTCTAGTTAAGCAACTGCTTAATTCAATCTGCATGTGAGTTAATGCAATCATTCGGGTGCGGGGAGAAAGCCAAACACCCCCCCCACGCCCACCCCCAGCCGGCTAGAGAAGCATCAAAAATTGTGAATAATACGCTCAAAAAGCAACCAAAAGCGAAACAAACCCTCTGCAGTGTTTCAGTTGCAAGAATAAAATTTGCTCAGTGGTGGTTTGTGACAACTTGCGATAACACAGCCAGTGGGAGAGGGAACCCTTGTCTCTATTTGTGCCCAGACCGATGGAATCCAATTTATTTCAACTTCCAAGCCAGCCGTCCCCCAAAATCCTTTCGCTCCGAACCGCGGCCGCTTTTCACTTGACCGCGAAATTTGCCCGCCTGCCGAAGACAGGCGTTTGTGTTTCGGAAGCTTCCGCTGCAGCGAACTTGTTCGTCTTTGACGCTGCCGAGAGCCCGTCCACCATAGCATTGTCTTGCAAGAGAGATTCCCTTTGGGGTGTTTGAAAAACAACAACCAGCCCTTCCGAGGGGCGAGGCCTCTTCGGAGACGGCGCCTTCTGGGGACCGTGTGCTGGTGGTGGGTGGGGCCAGGGGCAAAACTGGGCGGAGCAACGGATAGAAATGTCGGTTTTATGCATGAGGCTAGCTTCAACGCAGACATCCATCTCTGCCCCCTGCCTGGGCCTGGAAGAGCTCAAGGGCACAACCTTCCAAAACACTCATGGGGGGGGCACGATGGAGGGCTGTTGAAGGGTGAAGTTGGGTGTTGGAAGATTCGGGACAGATCGAAGGAATTCCTTCTTCGCAAAGCGCTGAGTTGACCTGCGGAACTCCCTCCTACAAGATGGCTTTGAAACCTGGGCGGCTTTGAAAGAGGACAGGGCAAATTTATGGTGGAGGAGAGGCCTAGCGATGGCTGCTAGGCATGACGGCTGTGCTCTGCCTTCAAAAGCTGCAGGCAGCGATGCTTCTGAATCCCAGTCTCTGGAAAGCGCAGGAGGAGAGAGCTGCTCTTGAACTCAAATCCTACTTGCTGGTTTCCCATGTTATAAACAAAAATCTGCCCTTTTCCCCTGATGGGGTATCCAAGAGCCCATATAGAGTCCTTACGTAGGTTCCCTATTGGTAGGAGAAGAAAACAGAGGCCAACCAGAGAATATTGAGAAGCAAAGCAGCTAGTAAGCTTGATCTTTATTGATCTGTTGCTCACTCACCACGCGCAGGAGGGAGGAGGAACCCTGAGCAATGGTGTGCAAGCCCTTATACAGTGGTACCTTGGGTTAAGTACTCAATTCGTTCTGGAGGTCCGTACTTAACCTGAAACTGTTCTTAACCTGAAGCACCACTTTAGCTAATGGGGCCTCCTGCTGCCGCCGCGCCGCTGGAGCACGATTTCTGTTCTCATCCTGAAGCAAAGTTCTTAACCTGAAGCACTATTTCTGGGTTAGCGGAGTCTGTAACCTGAAGCGTATGTAACCTGAAGCGTATGTAACCCGAGGTACCACTGTATAGACTTTTGAAATTGCCACCCTGTAGATCAAGACCACCCCCAGAAACATCATACATACATCACAGAAGGGGTGTAGCTCAAGACTTCCACCCACATACCTACATCACAGAAAAGGCGGTCTACAGCAGAAATCTGAGTGCGTTGTTTATCTCGTGTGACAGGTTGCCTGTTAATGCTCACTTGATTGGATACCCTGGGGAACCTGGCCAGTCTTTTGTAACGATAAATACTTAGTTCCTGAGCCAGGTCACAGGCTCACCCTGTTCATACACAGACATACCCTTAAGACAGGATTTGTGAAGAAAAAGGCAATGGGGAGGCTTTTCCATTTTCCTTTGACCTTGCAGAGAAAGAATTGAGGTCAGTTTGGGAATCAAAAATGGTTTCAGGTCGGTCTTCCTGTGCTGATCTATGTACGTGCTTGGTTGGTACATTTATGAACATTTATTATATATCTAAGACCTCAAAATTCCTATCACACTCACAGGCCCTTGGTTGGCTCCGTGAGAACAGGATCCTGGCCTAAGTCTTGGAGCCTTAGCTTCAGGATCTGTCCTTCCAGTGAGCACTCAGGGCTGATTTCCTTCAGAATGGAGAGGTTTGATCTTCTTGCAGTCCATGGGACTCTCAAGAGTCTCCTCCAGCACCAGAATTCAAAAGCATCCATTCTTCGGCGATCAGCCTTCTTTGTGCTCCAGCTCTCACTTCCATACATCCCTACTGGGAAAGCCATAGCTTTAACTATACGGACTTTTGTTGGCAAGGTGATGTCTCTGCTTTTTAAGATGGGACCTAACGCATTACATTCAGAGAATCTGCCCATTCCTTTGAGACGGTGATTACCCAATTCCTGCCCTCCCTCCTTGCAGAGAAAACATTTGGTCAGTTTAGGAGTCAAAATGGTTTCAGGGCGGTGCTGCTCCAGACATGTGGTCCACATATCTATGTTTGTGCTTGGTTGGTACATTTAAATAACATTTATTATAGATATAGAAGATCTTAAATTTTTATTGCAAAAGAAAGAGGCCCCAAACCATTCTCCTTAACTCGATATCTTTTGCGGTTCTTCCTCTGCACGCCGCCCCCTGGAAGGAGCTTATTAGGAAGCGGGAGAAGTTAATGGACGCATAACAAGCGAGGGACACGGTTCGCAAAGCGGCTAATTCCCCCAGCCTCCGTCCTTGACAAGGCAGCTGTAAAAATCGTCTTTTTCTCCCTCTCTGCCCTTCCTCCTTGAATACAAATGAGGGCAATTCTTTGGGTGGTTTTTCTTTCTTTCTTTTTCAGTGGGAAGTCCTCACAGCTTTCACCTCTGGCAAAGAAAGGCCTTCAAGGCTGGGCAGGTTGCAAGGCTGGCTGTAGCTTTGATGCTGCCCACTGGTTTGGTGTGTATTTTTTTTAGGGGGGCTCCTCTCCCTACGGGACACAGGTGGCGCTTTGGGTTAAACCACAGAGCCTAGGACTTGCTGATCAGAGGGTCGGCGGTTCGAATCCCCGCAACGGGGTGAGCTCCCGTTGCTCAGTCCCTGCTCCTGCCAACCTAGCAGTTTGAAAGTATGTCAAAAGTGCAAGTAGATAAATAGGTACCGCTCTGGCGGGAAGGTAAACGGCATTTCAGTGCGCTGCTCTGGTTCGCCAGAAGCGGCTTAGTCCTGCTGGCCACATGACCCGGAAGCTGTACGCCGGCTTCCTCGGCCAATAAAGCGAGATGAGCGCCACAACCCCAGAGTCGGTCACGACTGGACCTAACGGTCAGGGGTTCCTTTACTTACCTCTCCCTACTCCATCATTATTTTTAAAAATTGCTTTTCTACCACCATATCATAAACAAATGTACATGCCAAAGGGGTTTAAAGCAATAAAACCATACTATAAATCCATTAGAAAGTTAAAAACGGACATGAATTGACCCTTGTGGAAGGACGTACTCCTGCTGGAATAGAAAAGTTTTCAGCAGGTGTTTTAAAGTTCTCCTGCTGGATCTCCAGTGGCAGGGAGTTCCACAGAGCCGGCCCGATGATGACCCCAAAGGCTCGATTTCTTGTGGTTGTCAAACGAGCCTCGCAGAGTCAGGGCTGCGGCATTGGTAGGGCTCAGGCAAAGGGGATGGGCGGGTGCAATGCTATTTGGAACCGGAAGGCAGGCTAGAATTTGGGGGAGCCTAGGGGAAGGTCCCTCAGGTTCAGTCCCCAGGATCTCCACCTTGGGCAGCAAAATATATTCCTGAAGCCCCGAAGAGCCACTGGGTCCGTGATCTGAGTCTGCAGGAAACAGCTTCCTGCGTTGCTCTTCACATCAGCATTCAGAACCCTGAGGACTAGAATCTTATGATTTTAGTTTTAGAGGGAGAGCTGTAGCTCTGTGGCATAGCGCTCGTTTTGCACGAAGGACGTCCCCAGTCCAATATCCGACAGCATCCACACGTAGAGCTGGGAACTACCGTATTTTTCGCTCTATAAGACGCACCAGACCCCAAGACGCACCTAGTTTTTGGAAGAGTAAAACAAGAAAAAAAATGTTCTGAATCTCAGAAGCCAGAACAGCAAGAGGGATCTCTGCGCAGTGAAAGCAGCAATCCCTCTTGCTGTTCTGGCTTCTGGGATAGCTGCGCAGCCTGCATTCGCTCCATGTGACGCACACACATTTCCCCTTACTTTTTAGGAGGGAAAAAATGAGTCTTATAGAGCAAAAAATACGGTATCTCCTGCCTGAAACCCAGGAGAGATGCTGTCGGTCAGAGCAGACAGTACTGGGCTAGATGGCTGCTACAATAAAAGGATCCTGGTCTAGGATGGGCTTTTGGGGCATGATCCGGCGTGGATTCTCCTTGAACCTTGGACCTTCATCCAGCTAAACTTTGGTTCTCTGGGACCCGCGTAAATTCCGTTAAACCCCCCTCTTTTCCAAAGCAATTGCAACTTCGAAACGAACAACCCTGCAGGGCTGTTGTTGAGAATTTCCATGCTAGTTTATGCGGAAGCACTTGCAACCGCTGCTCTGCTGTGCGGGATACAGCATGGCACAGTGATGAGAGTTCTGAATTAGAACCCGGGACAGACCCGGGTTCGAATCCCCACTCAGCCGTGAAACTCCCTGGTTCTGACCTTGGCCGAGTTGCTGTCTTCTCTCTGCCTAACCTACCTCACAGGGTTGTTGTTGTGGGGATTAAAGGAGGAGGGGGAGAACCACGTGGACCACCTTGAGCTCTTTGGAGAGAGAAAATTTCCTCCACAGCAGGGGGGGAGGGTTGGTCTGGATAACCCTCTGGGTCCCTTCCAACGCAACAATTCTCTGATCTCAGCTGTACACGTGCTGCGCATCGTGTGCGTGGCGTCATGTAGCCACTTTCTGCCGCCACGTGGCCCCCGGAGGGTCCACGCAGGACAGAAGCGGCCCTCGACCCAGAAAATCCGAGCTAGCCCTGCGTCGAAGCGCCAAAAAAAGGCTTTTGACCGTTCTGAGCTGACCTTGCTGTCAGATGAGGGGGGCCCTCCTCTTTGTGAAGGCATATTTTGGGACTGTTCCTAACCCCCACCCCACCCTCTCCTCTGCCTTTTATTGGCAAAGGCTAATCTGGCATCGCGACGGCAGGCTCAGATCCTGTGGCCGCTGTTTCTGGATTTGCCTGACGTCGCGGACAGCCCACAAGTGAGTCACCGCCATCCGGGGGCTGCTGTCCTCGGCTGACTTCCGCATTTCCAAAAGGGGCTGTCAAAAAGACCTAAAATAAGAGGCTCTTATCAACAGCCCTAGAAACTTCCACGCCGGCGGTGCGAGAGAGCGAGCCCAGCTTAGGACGATTTCTCTCGCCTCTGCCACCCCTTCTACGCCCATCCTTCGCCTCTCTGATCGAGGTGAGTGGTTGGGGTCTCAGGATGCGACCGACAGGTGGGAGGAAAGCCCCTCCGTCCTGAAGACAGGGCCCATGAGGTGGACTTTGGTCTGGCCTTCCTCTTTTGTAGCCTTGCGCGGAGGCGCCGCTGCAGATGGCCTTCTGCACTCCAAACAGATGCACTGCATAATCATCATCATCATCATCATCTGGCTGAGTTTCCCCAGCCACTCTTGGCGGCTCCCAATTTAGTGTTAAAAACAGTACAGCGTTAAATATAAAAAACTTCCCTAAACAGGGCTGCCTTAAGATGTCTTCTGGATGTCAGGTAGTTGTTTATCTCTTTGACATCTGATGGGAGGGCGTTGCACAGGGTGGGCGCCACTACAGAGAAGGCCCTCTGCCTGGTTCCCTGTAGCCTCGCTTCTCTCAGGGAGGGAACCGCCAGAAGGCCCTCAGAGCTGGACCTCAGTGTCCAGGCAGAACGATGGGGGTGGAGACGCTCCTTCAGATATACTGGACCGAGGCTGTTAGGGCTTTAAAGGTCAGCACCAACACTTTGAATTGTGCTCGGAAACGTACTGGGAGCCAATGTAGGTCTTTCAGGACCGTGTTATGTGGTCTCAGCAGCCGCTCCCAGTCACCAGTCTAGCTGCCGCATTCTGGATTAATTGCAGTTTCCGGGTCACCTTCAAAGGGAGCCCCATGTAGAGCGCATTGCAGTAGTCCAAGTGGGAGATAACCAGAGCATGCACCACTCTGGCCAGACAGTCTGCGGGCAGGTAGGGTCTCATCCTGCGTACCAAATGGAGCTGGTAGACAGCTGTCCTGGACACAGAGTTAACCTGCGCCTCCATGGACAGCTGTGAGTCCAAAATGACTCCCAGGCTGCGCACCTGGTCCTTCAGGGGCACAGTCGCCCCATTCAGGACCAGGGAGTCCCCCACACCCGCCCGCCCCCTGTCCCCCAAAAACAGTAATTCTGTCGTATCAGGATTCAACCTCAATCTGTTAGCCACCATCCATCCTCCAACCGCCTGCAGTTGTGCTAAGGCTCTTTCTTTGCTTGCTTCATTTTATTTCCTTAACCTTTTCTCACCCCTTTCTCCTGTCGTCGTGAGACCCCAGGCTGCACACATTTATTTTCAGTATTGACTATTGGTTTATGAAAGTAAGGGCACAGCAATATCCAAACAGCGAAAGGCATACACAGCAGCCGTTTCGTGATCTGCATTTCTAACCAATTCGGTTTTTTAAACTCTATGGCCACATAATTCTGCGAGGACTTAATTACTTTTGAACTGTTGTTTTTCAGCTTTCTGTATTTCATCTGTGTGGTTCTAATTTGAGTCTTGGTCTGGGGGGGGAAATGCGAGGTTTGAATAAGTAAGGTAGGAACACAAGTAATTTCACATGCACAATTGCCGCTGTACGCACAGCGATGAAAAATAAATACATAGAAAGGGGGCTTACCAAAGTGTTGGAAACTCTCACGAGGCTGTTGGGAATCTGTTTGGGAGTTTCCCAAAGCCCAGAATGCAAGGCAAAGGGCTGAAAAACAAAACCTTTTTGCATCAGGAAAACCCTTTGTGGAAAGAGGTTTTCAGCCCTCCGCCTTGCTTTTTTAAAAAAATTATTTAATCAATTTTTCGATACAAACATCAACCACAAAATACACATACAAAAAACCCCCATGATAACAGTAATAACACAATTTGACCATTCGGATTTGGATTCGCTGATATACCTATGACTACACCTTTTTTAAGGGACGCGGGTGGCGCTGTGGGTTAAACCACAGAGCCTAGGACTTGCCGGTCAGAAGGTCGGCAGTTCGAATCCCCGCAACGGGGTGAGCTCTCGTTGCTCGGTCCCTGCTCCTGCCAACCTAGCAGTTTGAAAGCACGTCAAAGTGCAAGTAGATAAATAGGCACCACTCCTGTGGGAAGGTAAACTGCGTTTCCGTGTGCTGCAAGCCTCAGCTTCAGGATCTGTCCTTCCAGTGAGCACTCAGGGTTGATTTCCTTCAGAATGGAGAGGTTTGATCTTCTTGCAGTCCATGGGACTCTCAAGAGTCTCCTCCAACACCAGAATTCAAAAGCATCAATTCTTTGGCGATCAGCCTTCTTTATGGTCCAGCTCTCACATTACTACTGGGAAAACCAGAGCTTTAACTGTATGGACCTTTGTCGGCAAGGTGATGTCTCTGCTTTTTAAGATGCTGTCTAGGTTTGTCATTGCTTTTCTATTCTTTTTTTTAATAATTTTTATTGAATGATTTTATGTTACAAAAAACAATACAGCCATTCTACCACTAAATATAATTAAGAAATAAAAATTACATACATCAATATTTAATTTGTTATCTGTTATTTACTGTCTTATTTCCTCCCAAACATTCCATACAAAACCACACATATGTGCAGACACCCACACTCCCAAGAAGCGGGAAACATAATTAATCCTAAATTGTTATCCGCCTACTTTTACTTCCTTTGTCACTCGAACGCTAGCACGGAGTCAAAACTATTAGAGTGGTACCTCAGGTTACATACGCTTCAGGTTACAGACTCCGCTAACCCAGAAATAGTGCTTCAGGTTAAGAACTTTGCTTCAGGATAAGAACAGAAATCGTGCTCCGGTGGCGCGGCAGCAGCAGGAGGCCCCATTAGCTAAAGTGGTGCTTCAGGTTAAGAACAGTTTCAGGTTAAGAACAGACCTCCGGTACGAATTAAGTACTTAACCCGAGGTACCACTGTATTGCAGTGTTGAACTTATCTTGTATAACCATCGGGCTTGTTGTGTTTCTGTTTCCCCAGGTCTGCCGAGCTTTGGAAACCTCCAGCAGCCCTCCCCTGAGCCTGTCTCCCCTTGACAGCCCGTACGCCACCGTCCAAGCCTACCACCAGGGCAACACCACCGCCTCTCGCAAGAAAGTCCTCCCCGTCGTCCGAGATTTCCTGCGGGAGTGGGACCGGCCGGCCCCCGCCACCATGGAGCCCGAGGCCACGGCCCCGTACGGCAAGACGAGGCCGGAGCCCCGAGGCGCCGAACCCTGCGAGCGAGAGCAGGGGCCCGGCAGCCCCAGGAAGGACCCCGCGAAGCCACACCGCCTGGGGGACGACCTGGCCGCGGACGACGACGCCCCGCTGCCCCCCACGCCCATGAACAGCCTGGTGGATGAGTGCCCCCTCGACCGGGGTCTCCCCAAACTGTCGGCCGAGGCCGTCTTCGAAAAGTTCAGCCGCATCGCCGAGGCTCGCTCCTCCGCGGACGACGAACCGGGGAAGAAGTGATGCTAGACGGACTCCTTTTTGAAGCCGGGGAAATTCTCTAGCAGGGGTGTGTGAATGTGTTTGTGTGTGCGAACGGACGCACGGACGGACGTGGGGGAATCCAATGTGCGGCACTTTTCTCTGCCACGCGGTCCCGCACGCGGAGAAACGAGAGGCAGCAGGGAAAGGATTTTGGGCGGGGAGATGGTTGGACAAAGCGTTTCTGCGGCTCGGGGAGACAGACCTTGAGCACGGGGTCTCCACTAATGGCAAAGGCTAGAGACAAAGATGCACAGAGCAGCTGCCCGCAGGTAATAATAATAATAATTCATTATTACGGTCGGAGACCAGCTTGCAAAACACATAATGGGACTGTACTCCCAAAAGCAAAGCAGACATTTAAAACAATATGCAGCAATGGCAGGTATAATTTTCTAGATCGCGGGGAGACCTCTGTCGACGGGGGTCCCAGGGCAGTTCTGGCTTTTGGAAACGTTTCGCGTCTACTGTTCGCTCCCCAGTTCCATTGGCCGTTAAGAGCAAGAGGTTTTGATCCACAGAGCTCAAGGCTCATTGAAACGGGAAAGAGAACGGTCCAGTGAGCTGTTGATCCAGAGATAGGCCATTGTCTCAATAGGGACTGGAGAAAGGCATTGATATCTGTGGGACATGCACACACACACACACACCCCATTTGTCTCACCGTTGCCTCCTGTCCCAACAGGTCAGGCAGGCTTTTGTGGGAAACCTTCCAGACCTGTTGGACCAGGCCAGAGGGGAAAGTACGGCGAGACTTTTAGCTCCGCACCGGGGCAACCGCTTCAGACGAAGCTGAAACATCACTTTTTGCAAGATTTTGGGTCTGGGGAGAGCTTCACCGCGGGCCAAAGACTTCAGCCGCCTCTGTGTGTCTCTAGCATGCTGTTGTGGAGTGTGTTTGAAATGGATTTAATACACTTTCTAATGAATAAAAGCAAAAACAAAGAACCTGCCCTCAAATATACATTCTATTTTAGAATATATCGGGTCTTTTATTTCTGTGCCAGCTCCTGGCAGATCAGATGTCTAGGAATACTGTGGTTTTAAAAAACACCTATTTTTTTTAAAAAATCTATATATCCATCCTCAATATACCCATTAGTCAAAATGCAGAGAGACCGACCAGAGGGGCAGAAGACAGAAAAGCTGATGGAGGAGAGAGGGAGGGAGAAAAGGATGCCCCTCCCACTTTTGGCTCTGGCTCCACCCACCACATGGTTTGGCCCCGCCCACACCCACACACCATCCTCTGCGGATCAAACATTCCCCCTCCCTCACCATGATCAATCCATCAGATATTGAGAACCAGGGTGGGTGAGCGTTGGATGGTGACCTGCGAGATCCGGGTTCGAAAATCTCCACCCAGCCACGAAGCCCTTGCCGGGGTGATTTTGGGCCAGCTGCTGTCTCTCAGCCCGACCTACCTCGCAAGGCTGTTGTGAGGATGAAACAGGTAGGGGGTGCCGGGAAAAAAAATGCACGCCACTTCGAGTTCCTTGGAAGGAAAGGCCGGGTTCACAAATGGAACGAAGAAAGAAGAAAAAAACACATCCTTTCCCCCCTCTTGGCTGTGAAATGCAGGGCTGAGGGCAGCTTCACCTGTTGAATTCCTAACCGCTTGTGCAGGCAGTGGCGAAGGTTCAGGATTCCTCCCAGGGAATGCAGGAAAACTAAAGTTTTTGTCCCAGGAGGAGATTTCCGCCCCGATCCGTGATGGAGCATAACATGCGCAGGATTGAGAACTCTGGGTGTAAATTGGATCTGAGTATGGACACCGCCTAAGGGACGCGGGTGGCGCTGTGGGTTAAACCACAGAGCCTAGGACTTGCCGATCAGAAGGTCGGCGGTTTGAATCCCCGCGACGGGGTGAGCTCCCGTTGCTCTGTCCCTGCTCCTGCCAATCTAGCAGTTCAAAAGCACGTCAAAGTGCAAGTAGATAAAGAGGTACCGCTCCGGCGGGAAGGTATACGGTGTTTCCATGCGCTGCTCTGGTTCGCCAGAAGCGGCTTAGTCATGCTGGCCACGTGACCCGGAAGCTGTGCGCCGGCTCCCTTGGCCAGTAAAGCGAGATGAGCGCCGCAACCCCAGAGTCGGGCACGACTGGACCTAACGGTCAGGGGTCCCTTTACCTTTTTATGGACACCGCCTATCTGGGCTGCATTCCTTTCGATGGGGGTATGCAGGTACCAGCACCCCGAGACATGAACATGTGCGGGATGTCAGTCATAAAAATACACATTTCACAAGGTTGCCGAAGAAGAGGGTCATTTATTGACGGGAAAGGGCTTTTAAAACTTGACAGTGCTGCTACTCCACTAGCCAACACTAGAGGGCAGGGTTTAGTGCAAAACGGGAGAATATAGAGACCCATGTCTGGCGTCCCAGGTAGACTGCGACTGCCTATGGAGGCTACATTCCTAGCTTTCGTGGCAAATAATATCAGAAGCCCCAATAACAAGCCTGAACGTTGGCCAGAAAAGATGGCGCAGGGCTGGAAAGTCTACAGCTGTTTCACTTACTGATGAGCAAGAGAACAGAAAAGGTTTTCAGATGTCAATTTTTATTTGCTGTTCGGTTCAACTGGGTTCCCAGGTTTCTTAAAGGCGTTTGGCCGCTTTGAGAGCAGAATGCTTTTGCTGGAGAGGTCACTGGCCTGGTCCTTAATCATCACCATAATAATAATTTTATTCTTTGTATCCCAGCCACTCTGGGTCGCTTCCAGCAAAATATAAAAACACGACAAAAGGCAAAACTTTAATTGGCGAAACTTACTGGAAGAATAAGAAATAAAGATAAACTTTTTAATAAAAGAATGGAAATGGTTTACCGAATATTTACAGATAAATTGCAAACGGATAAAAACATTCGCAGGATTATTGCAATGACCTGCAGTTTCATAAGAGTATATGCTTAAAAGTAGATAATTAAATGAGCAAATTAAATGAATTTGGATAGGTGGGAGGTATTAAAAAATGAATTTAAAGAGCTGCAGAAAGAGGGGGAAGGAAGTCAAAGTCTGAAATGTTAAATTGATTGTAAAACTAATGAAATGTATAAACTTGAAAAGTATGAATAAAAACATTTTTAAAAAAAAACATTAAAAACTCCTTGATAGAGAGCTGCCTTCAGATATCTTCTAAAAGTCATATAGATTATCTCCTTGACATCTGGCGGGAGGGCGTTCCACAGGGCGAGTGCCACTACCGAGAAGGCCCTCTGCCTTGTTCCCTTTACTTTTCATAGAATGATAGAATCGTAGAGTTGGAAGGGACCCTGACGGTCATCTAGACCAACCCCCTGCAATGCAGGAATCTTAGCTAAAGCACCCAGCGAGGGAACTGCCAATAGGCCCTCAGAGTGGGACCTCAGTGCCTGGCCCTCCATGATTCGATGAGAAGTGAAGTTACAGGGACTTAGGGAGCCTCCAGCCCCAGAGGCAGTCTACCCAGATTGCCTTTGGTCACTGTGATAACAGGAAACGGATCTAGATAGGCTACTGCCCTTGACCACCAGCATGGCTCATATGTCCTTATTTCTCCCAATCCCTTTTTTGTTGTTTAGTCGTTTAGTCGTGTCCGACTCTTTGTGACCCCCTGGACCAGAGCACGCCAGGCACTCCTGTCTTCCACTGCCTCCCGCAGTTTGGTCAAACTCATGCTGGTAGCTTCAAGATCACTATCCAACCATCTTGTCCTCTGTCGTCCCCTTCTCCTTGCGCCCTCCATCTTTCCCAACATCAGGGTCTTTTCCAGGGAGTCTTCTCTTCTCATGAGGTGGCCAAAGTCTTGGAGCCTCAGCTTCAGGATCTGTCCTTCCAGTGAGCACTCAGGGCTGATTTCCTTCAGAATGGAGAGGTTTGATCTTCTTGCAGTCCATGGGACTCTCCAGAGTCTCCTCCAGCACCAGAATTCAAAAGCATCCATTCTTTGGCGATCAGCCTTCTTTATGGTCCAGCTCTCACTTCCATACATCACTACTGGGAAAACCAGAGCTTTAACTATACAGGCCTTTGTTGGCAAGGTGATGTCTCTGCTTTTTAAGATGCTGTCCAGGTTTGTCATTGCTTTTCTCCCAAGAAGCAGGCGTCTTTTAATTTCGTGACTGCTGTCACCATCTGCAGTGATCATGGAGCCCAAGAAAGTAAAATCTCTTACTGCCTCCATTTCTTTTTTTTTTTTTAATATTTTTATTCATTTTCAAATACAAATTTATACAACCATTTCCGAAATTTATTACATAGTCTTCTTTTTTGACTTCCATCATTTTCTCTGCCAATCTTCCATTTTAATCTTTTGTTTACACATTTCTAATTTTTCTTTTGCCTTTAAATTATAACCTCCCCAATCTTATCCCCTTTTTAACAATATTTCTTATACTTTCACAGAACATCTTGAAAACCTACAAGCGTTGTCTGCTCATCACATATACTTTTCAGATAATATGTAAATTTTCCCCAGTCCTCGATGAACTTCTGGTCTCGCAAATATCGAATCTCGCAAATATCGAGGTTTGTCATTGCTTTTCTCCCAAGGAGCAGGCGTCTTTTAATTTCGTGACTGCTGTCACCATCTGCAGTGATCATGGAGCCCAAGAAAGTAAAATCTCTTACTGCCTCCATTTCTTCCCCTTCCCCGTCCTTGTTTCTCCCCATCCCTAAATCTTACTTTAAAAATTGTTTTACCTTTTGCAACGGCATTAGGACCCAGCCGCCCTTTTCTGAATCATGCTGAAAAACCAGTTTGGGATGAGTCCAGGCTGTACGCCGGCATATTGGAACACCCCAGAGTTGCTGTTTTGTGTCTTTGACCTCCTCTTAGGAGCAGGCGAGGCCAGAATTAGTCCTTGCGGTGGGGCCGGATGGGCTCTTACGTTGGCGATGAGGCGGCTCTGCCCTCCGAAAGGTGAGTCCGAAAGGTGATTCGCAAGGGGATCTCAGAGACAGAGAGCTTGCTCTGAGTGCAGAAGGCTCCTGGTCTAATTTCTGGCATCTCCAGGTAGGGCCAGGGGAAAAAAACTCCTTTCCAAAATCCTGGGGGGTTGCTGCTGACCCGTGCGGGCGATACTGGCCTCAATCCTCCTGTGCCCCTATTGAAACAGTCATTTCCTCAAAACCTCAACGGCTGAAAGCTTGGCATTGTTTTTAAGGGAAGGGGGTGTCACTCAGTGGGCAAGGGAACCTGCCTTGCATGCAGAAGGTTCCAGGTAGATTTGGGAATGTCCCCAGGAGAGATGCTGCCGGTCCGTGTAGTAGACAACAGTGAGCTAAGTGGCTCTGACCAGGTAAAAACTGGCTTCCTATGTTTTTATGCCCTTTCCTGTCCAGTTTCCAAATCTCAGGGGTTCTTGGAGACATTCCCAAGGGAGGTTCAAAATAAGCCTGTTATTATTCTATTTATTTATTTATTATTATTATTATTTACTGGATTTATATATACTGTCCTTTGTCGCAAGATCTCAGGGCGGTTTACAACCGCGACAGAGAAAAGAAGGCTTCGAGAACCTGCCAAAGGAAAAATAATAATACACTGGTCTGCGGGTTACAGGAGGGAGTCCTCAGTCCCTGTTTCGTGCTCCACACCTTACGGTGTTAATCACCATGCCAAATCCTGGCTCTGCAGAATTTGGGATGCCGTGAATATAAAATGTTCCACACCCGACATTTGGGACCGGTCCAGAGTGTCTTAGGGGCCAACACCCACGTCGTGGTGTCGACAGAGAGTCAGTCTGGGAGACCAGAGTTCGAATCCTCGCTCGGCCATGAAGGACGTGGGGCTTCCTTGGGTCACGTTGCGGCTTCTCAGCCTAACCGACCTCTCGGGGTTGTTTTCTGAGGATGAAACAGGGAGAGAACCAAGTTCTAAGATGTCACTATTAATATACAAAGCCCTTAACAAATTGGGACCGGTTTACCTACAAAATTGCCTTAGCCCATAAACGCCCCCTGGGCCAATTCGATCGGTGGAACTGGCACTGCTACATAATCCCTGTTCTGCGTTTGCAAGATTTGATTGTTTAGAGTGTCAACTGTGGAACTCCCTGCCTACTGATATCAAGCGTCTTCACTGTAGTCTTTTGGGGGCCTGCTAAAAACCAGGGCTGGGCGATAATCTGGTTTCCCCCACATTTTTGCATAGGAGGCACACATCACAATTCGCAATATATTGCCAGGTCAAAAATTATGAAACTGATATCACAATATGAACTTCAAACTGGTTTTGGATGATATATCGATATATCGCCCAGCCCTACTAAAAACATTGCTGTTTAGACAAGCCTACCCAGATGTTTGGAAAGTTGATGCGAGTTCTGTTTTGGGCCTATTTCCATTTCAACTTTCTGAGCTTTTAATTATTGTTGTGTAGAAATTAGATTATTATGGTACCTCTGGATGCGAACGGGATCTGTTCCGGAGCCCAGTTCGCATCCTGAAGCGAACGCAACCCGCGTTTGCACGTCTGCGTGTGCGCGGGTCGCAATTCGCCACTTCTGTGCATGCGAGTGACGCCATTTTGAGCTTCTGCGCATGCGCGAATGGCGAAACCTGGAAGTAATGCGCTCCGTTACTTCCGGGTCGCCACGGAGCACAACCCAAAAATATTCATCCCGAAGCATATTTAACCCAAGGTATGACTGTATACTAAAGTAAAATTCACTTCCAGTGCTCCGCCCACTGTTGCCTCAGGCACAGCCCACGACTGACATTTGGCCTCTGGGAGGTTCCTCAAAAGGGACTGCGGCCCTCAGGCCTGAAGAAGGTTCTCCGCCCCTTCCATAATACAATGGTGAGTCTTTCAGGTGTCATGAGACTCCCTTTTTGCTGTGATGTGGTTTTAGCTGACCGCAAGCTCAACCATGTGATGAAGCAGCAAAAAAGGCTAATGCTATTCTAGGCTGCATCAACAGAAGTCTATAATCCAGATCAAGGGAAGCAATAGTCTCACTCTATTTTGCCTTGGTCAGACCACACCTGGAATCCTGTGTCCAGTTCTGGGCGCCCCAGTTTAAGAAGGATGTTGACAAGCTGGAACATGTGCAGAGGAGGGTGACCAAGGTGATCAAGGGTCTGGAAACCAAGCCTGATGAGGAATGGTTGAAGGAGCTGGGTATGTTTAGCCCGAGAAAGAGGAGATATGAGAGCCATCTTCAAATATCTGAAAGTCTGTCACATGGAAGAAGGAACAAGCTTGTTTTCTCCTGCTCTGGTGGGTAGGACTCGAACCCATGGCTTCAAGTGACAAGGAAGGCGATTCTGACTCAACATCAGGAAGAACTTTCTGGCAGCAAGAGCTGTTAGATAGTGGAATGGGCTCCTTTGGAAGGTTGTGGGCTCTCCTTCCTTGGAGGTTTTTAAGCAGAGGTTGGGTGGCCGTCTGTCATGGATGCTGTAGTTGAGATGCCTGCATTGCAGGGGGTGTGACTGGATGACCCCCTGCGGTCCCTTAGAGGTAAAGGGACCCCTGACCATTAGGTCCAGTCGTGGCCGACTCTGGGGTTGCGGCGCTCATCTCGCTTTACTGGCCGAGGGAGCCGGCGTCCAGCTTCCGGGTCATGTGGCCAGCAGGACTAAGCCGCTTCTGGTGAGCCAGAGCAGCGCACGGAAACGCCGTTTACCTTCCCGCCAGAGTGGTACCTATTTATCTACTTGCACTTTGTGCTTTCGAACTGCTAGGTTGGCAGGAGCAGGGACCGAGCAACAGGAGCTCACCCCATTGCGGGGATTCGAACCGCCGACCTTCCGATTGGCAAGCCCTAGGCTCTGTGTTTTAACCCACAGCGCCACCCGCATCCCTCTGGGGTCCCTTACGACTCTACAATTCTGATTCTATGTATGTGAATGGTATCTGTTTGTGAGCAGGGCGTGTATGTCTATCTACTCTTGACTCTGGCCTCATCTGCCGTAAAGGAGCGCAGAAATAAATAACACACCACACATGCTCAGGGACACTCTCGTCCTTGACGATTTCATGTTTTCTGTAGAGAGTTCTGGCGAGGAACTCTTCGATTCCATTGTTCTACGACAGACACAACACTCCCTCTGCAAAATAAACCACATTTTGTCTCTCTGGCCGCTGCTGTTTCTGGGATACGACGTCAGCCAAAGAAATCTCTGCCTTTTCAGTGTACAGATGTGTTAGGACCTGTTCGACTCGTCCGGAGAGGAGGAGGAGGAGGAGGGGAGCGTGATTCATGTCTGGGAGGCTCAGCGAGACACGGATCACCGATCTGGAATGAGGTGTTTTGCAGCCACCACAGAGTCAGGCTCACTTTCGTTCAGTGCACTCCCCTGGTGAACCAGGAAGAAACTAGCCTGGTGAGGAACGGTTGAAGGAGTCAGGTGTGGGAAAGAGGAGTCTGAGAGAGGAGGTGCGATTGCCATTTTCAGACATCTTTTTTTAAAAAAATCAATAATAAAAATAATAAAAATAAAATTTTATTTATATCCTGCCCTCCCCAGCCGAAGCCGGGCTTAGAGTGGCTAACAACAGTAAAAATAACACAACACTCTAAAATCAATTCATTCTAAAATCAATTCAGAATCAAATTGATGGCAACTATTGGGCTAGAGTGCTATGAGGATTACAGAAGGAGGGAGTCAGACTGTGCCTTGGCCAAAGGCCTGGTGGAACAGCTCCGTCTTGCAGGCCCTGTGGAAAGATGTCAAGTCCCGCAGGGCCCTAGTCTCTTGGGACAGAGCCTTCCACTAAGTCGGGGCCACTACTGAAAAAGCCCTGGCTCTGGTTGAGGCTAGCCTAACCTCCCTGTGGCCCGGGATCTCCAAGATGTTTTTGTTTGAAGACCGTAAGGTCCTCCGTGGGACATACCAGGAGAGGCGGTCCCGTAGGTACGAGGGTCCTAGGCCGTATAGGGCTTTGAAGGTTAAAACCAGCACCTTAAACCTGACCCTGTACTCCACCGGGAGCCAGTGCAGTTGGTAATAGCACTGGGTGAATGTGATCCCACGGCGAGGACCCTGTAAGGAGTCTCACCACAGCATTCTGCACCCGCTGGAGTTTCCGGTCAGTCTCAAGGGCAGCCCCACGTAGAGTGAGTTACAATAATCAAGCCTGGAAGTGACCGTCACGTGAATCACAGTGGTTAGGTCAGGGCGAGAGAGGTAAGGAGCCAACCGCTTAGCTTGGCGGAGATGAAAAAATGCCGCCTTCGTTATAGCTGCAATCTGCGCCTCCATGGAAAGGGAGGTGTCGAAGATTACACCCAAACTCTTAACGGACGGTGCTGACACTAATTGCGCCCCCGCAAGAGATAATTTTTTATTGTTTTCTTTACAGTCGTTTTACAATACATTAAACCACATATGCACTTTTAGTTCTTTGCGACTTCCCTCCTTCCCTTCAGCAGGTATCCTTTATTCTCTCCCATCACGCACTATGATTTTTAACCTCATATCTATCTTATACATTGTACTTACTTCAGTCCTGCCAGTCTTTTTTAAATTCTTACAATTATCCTTTAAATACACAATAAATTTACTCCAACTTTCCTGGAATCTCTGATCGTCCTGATCCCAAATCCTGCTTGGTCAGTTTGGCTAACTCCGCATTTTTCATCATTTTCGCCTGCCCCTCTGCAATGGTAGGAACTTCTTGTAATTTCCAGTTTTTGGGCCAGCATATTCCTTGCCGCCATTTTCAGATATCTTAAGGGCTGTCACATGGTCGATGGAGCAAACTGGTTTTCTCCCGAGGGTAGGACTCGAACCCCGGGCTTCAAGTTACAAGGAAGGAGATTCCGACTGAAGAATTTTCTGACAGTAAGAGGAACAGTGGAACAGACTCCCATGAGAGGAGTCTTTTTTGGAGGTTTTAAAGAAGAGGATGGATGGCCACCTGTCATGTATGATCTAGTTTTAGCCTGCATCGAGACAGGGTTGGTCTAGATGACCCCAGGGTCCCTTCTAACTCGACGATTCCATGTACAAATGTCTTTGTGGCCGAGTACGGCTCCCATCTAGCCTACAAGCAGACAGCCAGGCACCTCTCAGAAAGTTACAAGGAGAGACTTTCCCCTGTCCTGAACGTGTGGTAGACTGCTCCCGAATCTGGAATCTCCATTTAAGACACCTCATGACTAGCAGCTGGTCAGTGAATTTCTCTCATCCCCTTGTGGAACTGTATAAGTCGCAAGTCGCCACCCACATCTTGTGGCCTGGAGTTCCACAAGTTTCCCCTCCTTGTCTGAAGGGTTTCTTCCTTCTGGGCAGTTTTGTCGAGGGTCTGCATCCTTAACAACAAAATAAATTTTGAAACCTGTCTATCAAATGCTAGGATAGCATGAGAGCATGAGACTCTTAACCTCAAGGCCACGAGTTCGAGTGCCGCGTCGGGCCGAAGATTCCTGCATTGCAGGGGGCTGGATTTAGATGAACCTTGTGGCCCCTTCCAGCTTCACGATTCTACGATTCTAAAACCAAGAGGTCAGCGGCAAAGCCTTGCTAGTGGAACGGAGCTTCCATTCTCAGGAGCAGTCTACCTTCTGAATCGCCTGGCGCTGGGAACAGGCGATTCAATCGAAGGCCGGGCGTTTGACTGGCCAGCGTGGGAAACAGGATTCCTGATTGGCTAGGCCTCTTGGCCCCAATCCAGCAGGGCTGCTTGTCCTTTCAGGTTCACCTTGCGCTCGATAACTCAAACGCCCGTGCCAGGATCCGCCTCTCATCGCAGAGCTGGTTTTTTGCATAGTTTGTGCAGAGAGCGTTGATCCATTGGCCCGGTTGCTACGGGAGCAAATGGCCTCTCCTCCTCCTGGGTGTGGTGCCCGGCTGCAAAACCAGCCCTGCGGTGAATAGTTAGCATGAGAAACCTTTGGGGATTACCTGGAGCAAACTTTCTCTCTTCCCAGTTCTTAACCTCCTGAGCTACTCAGTTGGGCAACCGGTAGTTCCTGGAGGCCAAATTCATTTGGAAGGTAATTCCCTGACGGCTTGGGCTTCGTTCTAATGCATCGCCAACTATTATTGACATTAATTATCACTGTTGTCGTTTTAAATAACATTTCTGGTGTTGCACGGCGGCTGTGTTTGCAGAGAAGGAGGAGGCAGGTCTCTGCCCCGAGGAGCTTACAATGAGCGGTATGATGCAGGAAGGCGAGGGAAACCGAGGCAAGGGATTGTTGACGGGGGCAGAAGCTGCAACTGCTTTTGCACCTGAGAGCAGGTCTTCTTGGCGCTAGAGCTTGAAATTTGACGACAAAGAGGGGTTGGGGCGGATTTAGGTCTGATGAGGCCCTGAGCTACTGAAGGTAATGGGACCCTTTATATGTCCAGCTGTCCTTTGTCAACAACAAATGGTCGCTGTTTTTTGTGTTGAATATATGCTATATGGTAATTTATGGTCCTAATAGGTATCTCAAGCCATTTGCACAGGTTGCCATGCAGTCAGTCCATGAAGAATGTAGGCACCCTATATATAGAAAGGAGCAAACCAGTGATATTTTGGGGAGCAGGCTAGCAGGCGGGGCCCATGACTTACATCATAGGAGCCTACACAACACAAAACACTCTTGCTGTATGCAGGTTTTATTTTATTTGTTTTTTATCTTATATTTTGGAAATGTACATCCAGTTCTCCCCCCCTTTAAATTGTTTGGGGGCCCCAAGAGGGTGGGGCCCTAAGCTATAGATTGTTTAGCTTATAAGTAAATCCGGCACTGTTGCAGAGGAATAGGCAGCGATTTCAGTGGCGTGTGGTTTGGGACGGGATAATTCTTTCAAATCAGAACCAGTGAAGGCGGTGATGGTCCTGTGTGAGTGTCTGGAGGCGGTTGGAGGGTGGATGGCGGCTAACAGATTGAGGTTGAATCCTGACAAGACAGAGGTACTGTTTTGGGGGGACAGGGGGCAGGCAGGTGTGGAGGACTCCCTGGTCCTGAATGGGGTAACTCTGCCCCTGAAGGACCAGGTGTGCAGCCTGGGAGTCATTCTGGACTCACAGCTGTCCATGGAGGCGCAGGTCAAATCTGTGTCCAGGGCGGCTGTCTACCAGCTCCATCTGGTACGCAGGATGAGACCCTACCTGTCCGCAGACTGTCTTGCCAGAGTGGTGCATGCTCTGGTTATCTCTTGCTTGGACTACTGCAATGCGCTCTATGTGGGGCTACCTTTGAAGGTGACCCGGAAACTACAACTAATCCAGAATGCGGCAGCTAGACTGGTGACTGGGAGCGGCCGCCAAGACCACATAACACCGGTCCTGAAAGACCTACATTGGCTCCCAGTACTTTTCCAAGCACAATTCAAAGTGTTGTTGCTGACCTTTAAAGCCCTAAACGGCCTCGGTCCAGTATACCTGAAGGAGCGTCTCCACCCCCATCGTTCTGCCCGGACACTGAGGTCCAGCTCTGAGGGCCTTCTGGCAGTTCCCTCACTGCAAGAAGCCAAGTTACAGGGAACCAGAGAGAGGGCCTTCGCGGTAGTGGCGCCCGCCCTGTGGAACGCCCTCCCACCAGATGGCAATAAGAACAACATCTACCAGACTTTTAGAAGGCATCTGAAGGCAGCCCTCTTTAGAGAAGCTTTTAATGTTTAACAGACCACTGTATTTTAATACTTTGTTGGAAGCTGCCCAGAGTGGCTGGGGAAACCAAGCTCAGACGTCCTTGGACAGAGGGGTTCTAGGTGCGAAAGGTCACAGCCATCCCCACTCAATTTTGACCAAGCTTCTTTGCAACTCGGCACCAAGACGAACTTCTGCGGAGACGTCTGCAGGACTAGGCTGTCGACCAATCTCTCTCTCTCTGTTGCAGGTTTAAGAAGGAAGCCGCAGAACCTCTTTCTCCTGAACGGGGAGACACCACCGATGAGGCCGTGAACATCAAGGACATGGAACTGAAGGAGGAATGGCAGGATGATGAATTCCCTCGGTAAGCTGCGTGCTGGGGAAACGCGGGTGACGGCAGGTGTCCCAGGGAAGAGATGGAGGAACGGAGCCTCCTTGCCCAAGAGCAGTCTATCTTAGAACGTTGGGCATTGGCTGGCTGGAGGCCGAGTGATAGGGGTGGGCCTTTCAGCTCAGCTCGCCGGCTGTCCGGTTGGCCACAGTAGGAAAAAGGGGTGCTGGAGCAAAAGGGGCGTCCGTCTCAACCTGGCAGGCACCTCCTTGAGGTATCCATGGGACTCCTCTCTGGGAGGCAACACACCACACCTAGGCCCAGCCGTTCTTGGGTTCTTAGCTGCTGTAGCTCAGGCCTGGCAGGGCAGGGCCAATGCGGGCGTCCAGTCCTTTATCCGGCCATTCCCCGAGAAACACACCCCACCTCCTTTGCTGGGATGTCTCCTTGACCTCTGGTCACACCTCTTTTCTGCCTAGTACGTTTCCGAGCACAAGTCAAAGTGTTGGTGCTGACCTTGAAAGCCCTAAACGGCCTCGGTCCAGTAGACCTTTAGGAGCGTCTCCACCCCCATCGTCCAGCCTGGACACTGAGGTCCAGCTCCGAGGGCCTTCTGGCGGTTCCCTCATTGCAAGAAGTGAGGTTACGGGGAACCAGGCAGAGGGCCTTCTCAGTGGTGGCGCCTGCCCTGTGGAACGCCCTCCCATCAGATGTCAAGGAAATAAACAATTATCTGACTTTTAGAAGACATCTGAAGGCAGCCCTGCTCAGGGAAGCTTTTAATGTTTAATAGGTTATTGTATTTTAGTGTTCTGTTGGAAGCCGCCCAGAGTGGCTGGGGAAACCCAGCCAGATGGACGGGGTATAAAATAATAATAATAATAATAATAATAATAATAATTATTTATTATTATTATTATTATTATTATTTAGTTGGAAGGTGGGGGGAGGGTGTGGATAGAAACTAGCTGGCTGTACCACTCTTCCCTCTGGCCCTGTGGCCCTCAGAAGGTTCTTGGGATGGAAAATGTTCCCTGCTCCTGCTATAGCTGCTAGGCAACGCTGCCTCTGCCTCTCCCACCTTCCTCTCGTTCCTCAGAGGCCCCTTCTCTTTTCTGCCTTGCAGGCCTCTTCCAGAGGAGATCTCTGAGGAGGATCTGGAAGAATCCAGTTCGGAAATGAGCCCAGGTAAGAGACCCAACAGGTGGCTACTTGGGTTTCCTGGAGTAGCAAGAGGGGGTTGCTTTCTCCCCTTCTGGATTCCCTCTTTGAAGTTTTTCACACTTCTTTGAAGTCTCTCAGCCCCACTCACCTCACAGAGTGTTTGTTGTGGGGGAGGAAGGGAAAGGAGAATGTTAGCCGCTTTGAGACTCCTTAAAGGGAGTGAAAGGCGGGATATCAAATCCAAACTCTTCTTCTTCTTCTTCTTCTCTCTTCCTTCTGGCATGCGGAGACCCCTCCCCTCATTGTCAGTGCCTCAGTTTGACCTGTCCATGGGCCTGAATCACAGAATCATAAGATTTGAAGGGACTATTCTGGACAACAACCATACGAGAAATAAGTAAAATAACCAAACAAGTACAGTGGTACCTCGGGATGCGAACAGGATCTGTTCCGGAGCCCTGTTCACATCCTGAATGGAATGTAAGACGCGATGGTGCATCTGCGCGTGCGCGGGTTGCGTTTTGCCGCTTCCATGCATGCGCGTGACGTCATTTTGAGCATCTGTGCATGCGCAAGCGGTGAAATCCAGAAGTAACATGCTCCGTTACTTCTGGGTTGCTGTGGAGCGCAATCTGAAAGCTCTCAACCTGAAGCACATTCAACTCGAGGTATGACTGTATTAGAAACCACCCCAGAATTGGCCCTGCTAAACATCTTCCAAGACAACAATGCCCATTTACACCACAAAGAACTCATAACCCACCTACTTTCAGCAGCCAGAAGCATCATAGCCAGACACCGGAGAGACCTGTCAGGAGTAAGCATGGACCAATGGTACCAAATAGTCTGGGAAACAGCCTTACTAGAAAAATTAACTGATAAACTGAAACCGACACGGGGACAAACAGAAGACGACACCTTCACCCCGGTATGGCTCCCCTTTATCACATACACAGTCACTGCAGACAATATCGAGATGGGTGGACCAATGGAGACTTCTTGTGTCCCCTGTTTAAAACCATGAGGACTAGCATCTTGTATTGCTTTTAGGGGAAAGGCTGGAGAGCTGCTGCCAGCCCGTGTAGGAGGCTCTGAATTTTCACAAGGGCTTTTTGAAAACCAAACCCGATGAGGAAGAGCTGGACTTGGAAAGGGGGTTAAGTTGGATGGCCTCTGGTAAAGTTCTCTGCAGCAATACCATTCCATGATTCTTTTAAACGGAAAGAAGTTGAAATTGAGAGCTGCACCCCTAGCTACAGCGGCAATTCTTTTTATTATTATTATTATTAAATTTTTATTGAATTTTACAAGAAAAGGAGGATAAAATTGTGATATGGAATTATGAAAACACTGGCCGGACTACGATGTGGAAAATGCTTCGGAATTCAGACCGTGGGAAGTCAACAAAAAAAATTAAGATTACAATTTGGAAGACAATTGGACTTTTTTTATTTTAGTTTTTTATTTTTATTGGATTTGATTTGATATGCTAATTGGATGTTCTTATTGGAAAATTAATAAACGCTTTAAAAAAAAGAATTTTACAAGAAAAGAAAAGACAAAGAACAATATGTATATCATCATCAATCTTTATTACGGTCCAGAGACCCAACAAATCTTTACAAAGCAATACACAATTCAGACAGCCTACCTCCAGGTTAAATAAGCATTTTGTTCAGAATATAGGGATCATTTGTTCTTGCAACCACCGATAAAAACTTTGCCACTGCTAATGTTCTAGCATTTGTCTGGTCTTCCCATAGGAACCTGACATAGTGAGCCTCTGATTTTCCTGGGAAAGGTACCAACAAGGGTAATATCAGTTCAGCCCTGGCTTGCTCATATTTTGCACAATACAACAAAATATGTTTTATGGAATCAATGTCTTGAGCACGCGAGCAAAGTCTGTCCTGGTAGGGAACTCCTCTCAACCTGCCATCCAACACTGCAGAAGGAAAGACGTTTAGTCTGGCTTTGGTGAAAAGCCTTCGATAGTTTGGTACTGTCAGGTTTTTAATGTAAGATGTTAACTTAAAGACATGCCCATATTGTACTCCTACTGCCAGCGGACTACAGGCTGCGTGTGATCGAGATCGCAAGTCACTGTGTGCATTATCCACAATATGTATATAAATGTGTTTACAGTCTTATCTACAGCGGCAATTCAATGATTCAGGATTGAATCATTGAATCAATGTCTTTCTGCATGCCAAGCAAGCGTCCGGCCTCTGACCTCTGATTCCCCACTCCCTTCTTCTCCTCCGCCCCACACCAGTTGCCCCCAACACCCTAGAGCTGTGCGGTCGGCGGCTCATGAAGAAAAGACTCCCAGCCCCGGATCTCAGCTCGGTGAAATCTGGAGAGGGGCTGGAAGCCACGCCGGAAGGCAGTTTGGACATCAACGTGGACGAGCTGGAGACCCCGTCCGACAGCGAGCTCCAGGAGGGCTCTGAGAACGGGCACGAGTTCGAATGGGAAGGTGAGGGGCCTGGGTTCGAGGTTCTCCCAAGGTGGACGACACCCCAGGGAGGTGGGCCCTGCGTGGGAACGGGTGGCCTGCCAGAACGGAAAGAGATTTGTTTGTGGGATCCACTGTGCCCTGAGGAATCTAGGAGGGTGGTGGTAAGAGAAAATAGGCTCATAGAATCCTAGAACAGTAAGTTGGATGGGACCCCAGCGGTCATCTAGCCCAACCCGCTTCGAAGTTTGGGAAACGCTGTCCCAAGAAGCTGGCTAGCTTCTGCTTTTCCAGATCCTTTGCCTGACATTGACCCAAATTCGGTCCTCCCCCCCCACCCCGGCTACCCTGTCCGATGCGCACAGATGATCTCCCCAGAGCCCAGAGGGTGGAGGGCAACTTGCCCGAGAAGTTTTGCACTGGCCGCGTGGTGGACATCAAGGGCCAAGACGGGCGCAAGTGGCGCATTTTCCTGACGGACGAGCGGGAGCAGAAAGTGGACCTGGGAGCCGTCGAGCCCTACAAGAAAGTCATCTCTCACGGAGGTAAGGAATAATGTCAGCTGCTGAGGTGAAGAGGTTGGAGTTGTGGGGCTTGCGTCCTCCTTGCAGGCTTCCCTTGGGGGCATGGGGTGGGCCACTGTGGGAGCAGGATGCTGGAGTAGAGGAGCCACTGGCCTGATCCAGCTACAGGGCTCTTCATAAGTTCTTGTGGAGCCTGCAGGTTCAGAGGCAGTCTATCTAGATATGTTTGTCCCCAGTGGCATTTGGCCCAAATGGGCCCCTTTGGCTCTTGGTTCTACCCTATCTGGGGCTTTTCAGCTCAGGAAGAAAGGCAACCTGGGTTTGGGGTGTGTGTGTGTGTGTGTGTGTGTGTGTGTGTGTGTGTGTCAGGGAGCCAGCCAGCAATAAATCACACAGATTAAGTAATAATGATTTAATAATAATAATAATTTATTATTTATACTGGTTTTGACCTTTAAAGCCCTATGCGGCCTAGGACCCTCGTACCTACGGGACCGCCTCTCCTGGTCTGCCCTACGGAGGACCTTAAGGTCCACAAACGACAACATTTTGGAGGTCCCAAGTCGCAAGGTGGTTAGATTGGTCTCAACTGGGGCCAGGGCCTTTTCAGTACTGGCCCCGACTTGGTGGAACGCTCTGTCCCAAGAGACTTGACATTTTTCCACAGGACCTGCAAGACAGAGCTGTTCCACCAGGCCTTTGGTTTGGACTCAGTCTGACCCTTATGTTTCCCTCCCCTTAGGGTTTTGATCCATGGGCTACTTTTAAAATGAGGCTGTATTTTAAATTGTATTTTTAACCTGTATTTTTTTTTTAAAAAAAATTCTTCCCCTATTATGTTTTTATTGTAATTTTACTGATGTTAGCCGCCCTGAGCCTGGCTCTGCCCAGGGAGGGCAGGGTATAAATATTTTTTTTTAATTATTATTATTCCTCCCACTGCTCCTCTGCATCCAGGCGGGGGGCCTTCTCGGTGGTGGCGCCCGCCCTGTGGAACGCCCTCCCATCAGATGTCAAAGAGATAAACAACTACCTGACATTTAGAAAACATCTGAAGGCAGCCCTGTTCAGGGAAGTTTTTAACGTGTGACATTTTGATGTATTTTTAATCTTTGTTGGAAGCTGCCCAGTGTGGCTGGGGGAACCCAGACAGATGGGTGGGGTACAAATAAATATAATAATAATAATAATAATAATTAATAATAATTAATTTATTATCCAACCTGTCCGTCACCGTGTGGCAGGCACAAATCAAAGTGTGACCGGTGACCCCTTCTTCCCAAAGGATTCCCAGCTGACCTCTCCCCTTATTCCCTTCCAGGCTACTTTGGAGAAGGCCTGAACGCCATCATCATGTTTGCCTCGTGCTATTTACCTGACAGCTCCATCCCAGATTATCCGTACGTCATGGAGAATCTCTTCAGGTGAGAGCCGCCTGGTCCCTTGAAACTGGGCGGGAAAGAGGGATTCTGCTGGCGCCGTTGACTGCTGGGGATGCTACAATTCTCAGTTAAATGCATTTTTTTTTTTTACATTTTTATTTATACTTTCCGGAATTATACATTTAATTAATTTTACAATCATTTCAACATTTCAGTGCTCAACTTCCTTTCCCCCTCTTTCTGCCGTTCCTTAAATTTATTTTTTAATCTCTTCTGCACATCCAAATTCATTTAATTTGCTCGTTTGTTTATATGAAACTGCAGGTTATTACAATAATCCTGCCAGTGTTTTGATCTGTTTGCAATTTATCTGTAAACATTCAATAAACCATTTCCATTCTTTTATATATATAAAAAGTTTGTTATCTTGATTTCTTATTCTTCCGGTAAGTTCCGCTATTTCTGCATATTCCATAGGTTTTTGTATCCATTCTTCCTTTACTGGGACTTCTGCTTCTTTCCACTTTGGGGCAAGTAACGTTCTTGCTGCTGTAGTAGCACACATGAATAAATTTCTATGCAATTTGGGTAGTTCTGTCCTTACAATTCCAAAAGAAAAGCTTCTGGGTTGGGTTTTTTATTTTATTTTACAAGCGTTATTTGAAACATCCTTTTCAGTTCATTATAATATACTGTATATCATTTCCCGGTAACCTTACTACAAGACCACCACATTTGATAAAAGGAACCCTCTTTGTCTTTACATTTCCAACACTTTTTTGATTTAGACATTTCCCCCAATTTTCTCGGTGTTAGGTACCACTGATATATCATTTTCATATACAGTAATTTTCTCTTAAACCATAAAAGGCAAAGGTAAAGGACTCCTGACAGTTACCGTATTTTTCGCTCCATAAGATGCACCTGACCATAAGACGCACCTAGTTTTTAGAGGAGGAAAGGGGAAAAGCCCAGTTTTGGGCGGATCAGCTCAAAGTTGTGCAGCTTCTTTTGCAAAGGGGGAAAGCCTTGTTGTTTTTTTTTTTTTGAGGATCAGCTCAAAATTGTGCAGCTTTTTTTTTACAAAGGGGGAAACCCCTTTTTTTGAGGATCATTTCAAAGTTGTTGAGCTTACATTGCAAAGGGGAAAAAATTCTGTTTTTATGGGGTTCAAATCACAGTTCTGCAATCACAAACGACTCTGGGGTTGCGGCGCTCATCTCGCTTTACTGGCTGAGGGCGCTGTAAATTTTATATCCATATTCCACAATCGCTCCCATGCATGTCTATATTATGACCGATTATCCATTATCCAATGTATCTATTGCATTTTTGGAACCAGCTCTGACGTCCCTGTCCTGCCTCAAACCCCAGGTACATCATCGGGACTCTGGAGCTGATGGTCGCCGAAAATTACATCCTGGTGTGCCTGAGTGGAGCCACACCCCGCAGTAAGGTGCCCTCCTTTTCCTGGATCAAGCAGTGTTACCAAACCATCGACAAACGGTGAGAAGCATTAGCTCTGAGCCTGTGTCCCCCCTTTTTTCTTTTTATTAAAGATTTTCTTGATTTACAAAAGTGCGTGCAATGTCTCTCTCTCGTATTCCCCCCCGCCCATGTAACATTTTTACAAATCAGTTTCATTTGTTGAGACATTAGGAAGAAAAGGGGGAAAGAGGTGGAGGGGGGGGACATGGGGAGGACATAGCTATCAACCTTTCCTTTTTTTTGCGGGAAATTCCCTTATTCCAGCGCCATTTCCCGCTGCTATCCCGGATTGTTAGATATCCCGTAGACTGTCCCCGGGACAGGTGAGGCTGCTGATCCCTTATTTCATTTTTTTTTTTAAATGATATTTATTAAAATTTCAAAAGAAAAAGATTACATTAATAAGAAAAATAACAATAAAAAAGGAAAAATACAAAGTACAAAAAAGAAAAAACAGTTAAAAACAATTCCATCTTTTCATCACTTCTCTTATATTTACTTGTTTCCCAGACCTCCTCATACCTCCCTCTTTTGTATTCCAGTTCAATTTGTTAGTCCAGCAATTCCTTTCCCTCCTTTTTAATCCTGATCTTTAATCTTGATATATTATAACATTAAATTTTTACGTATTAAAAACCAATTTTTCCATATTCTTTTATACCGTTACGGCTAGAAACCACTTAACTTCAATCCAACATCATTCTAACATTCATTAATTTTACAATATTTCTGTAAGTAGTCTTTAAATTTCTTCCAATCTTCTTCCACCGACTCTTCTCCCTGGTCTTGGATTCTGCCAGTCATTTCCGCCATGCTGATCCCTTATTTCAAATCTGAAAGTTGACAGCTAAGGGATGGAGTCGGGTGGCGATGTTTCTGTTATGCTTAATGTATGTAGGGTTTGGTGTCAGTGTTGCTTGTGCTGTTCACTTGTGTTCCTTTGGTGGTGAGAGAGGTTGGGGTTGGCCAAGGTGTGGTTGTTCATTTGTGGTTGGCTGTGGTGGTCTTTGTTTTCGTGTGTGAGTGAGGTGGGTGGGTGTTTTGGATCAGGTTAGCCATATCGATTTGTATGCTGTTGGTGGATTCTTGTCGTTGCCTTGTTGGGCTGTGTATGTGATAAAGGGGAGCCATACCGGGGTGAAGGTATCGTCTTCTGTTTGTCCCCGTGTCAGTTTCAGTTTATTGATTAATTTTTCTAGTAGGGCTGTTTCCCATAGTATTTGGTCCACGCTTACTCCTGACAGAGCCTGTGTGTTTTTAAAAGGTTCTGTGTCCCAGACAACTCCCAATATTATTAAGAGAATGAAAAATCAGCCTGGCTGGATTGATCAACAAGTCCTCTTGCCCCAGACAGAGCAGGCTTGAGCTCTGTAGCTCCCAGGATCAGGATTAGAAATAATAATAATAATAGGGACATGGGTGGCGCTGTGGTCTAAACTACTGAGCCTAGGGCTTGCCAATCGGAAGGTCAGCGGTTCGAATCTCCGTGACGGGGTGAGCTCCTGTTGCTGTCCCAGCTCCTGCCAACCTAGCAGTTCGAAAGCACACCAGTACAAGTAGACAAATAGGTACCGCTCCGGCAGGAAGGTAAACAGCATTTCCATGCGCTCTGCCACTTGTCACGGTCCTCCATGCGCCAGTAGCAGTTTAGTCCTGCTGGCCACATGACCCGGAAAGCTGTCTGTGGACAAACGCCGGCTCCTTCGGCCTGAAAGCGAGATGAGCACCGCAGTCCCATAGTTGCCTTTGACTGGACTTAACAGTCCAGGGGTCTTTTACTTTTACCTATTAATAATAATATAGGCAGCTTCCAACCGAATATTCCAACCGAATAGAACGTCAGACATAAAAAACTTCCCTAAAGAGGGCTGCCTTCAGATGTATTATAAAAGTCTGGTAGTTGTTGTTCTCTTTGACATCTGAAGGGAGGGTGTTCCACAGGGCGGGTGCCACCACCGAGAAGGCCCTCTGCCTGGTTCCCTGTAACCTCACTTCTCGCAGGGAGGGAACCGCCAGAAGGCCCTCGGCGCTGGACCTCAGTGTCTGGGCAGAACGATGGGGGTGGAGACGCTCCTTCAGGTATACTGGGCTGAGGCCGTTTAGGGCTTTCAAGGTCAGCACCAACACTTTGAATTGTGCTCGGAAACGTACTGGGAGCCTATTATTATTAATTATTATTATTATTATTATTATTATTATTAATAATAATAATACAACACCCTTCCTCTCCAAGGAGCTCAGGGCAGCAAACAGATACAAAGTCTAAAAGCAAAGCGAAAACACTGCTCAAGGTGCCATATGAATCCCGTCCCACTTTGGGAATGTTCCACTTTGGAACTCCCCGCCTATTGAGGCCAGGCGGGTGCCTTTACTGTACTCTTTTCGGCGCTTGCTAAAAGCATTTTTGTTTAGGCAAAGCCTGTCCGGACACGTAGAATGTGGGTGGGTGTTTTGACCTGTTTTAGTTCATTGCTGATCTTCTGAACTTTTAAAAGAGTTGTTTTTATTTAATTTATTTTATTCTATTCTATTTGTAGGCGTTTTGCTTTTCATAAGCAAACGGTGTATAAATTTTATGAGGGGAAATGAATACATTTTAAAACTACATTCTAGAAAGAAAAAGATTGCAACTAAAGCAGTTCTGGCTGACATTGCAGGGGGTTATATATATATATAATTTATTTATTTGGTTTTTCAGATTAAGGTTTTACAGTTATATATCCAACATACAACATAGAAACAAGATTCCGAAGAGTATCCTGAACTTCTTTCCTCCCTTTTGTGGGTCCTTTGGTTAATCATTTCCTCCTGCATCTTTTATAATAATCTTTTATAATAATCCAGATCTTTTACCTCTCCCTTGTGCCCAAAAATTCACCATTAAACTACAAGTGTTATACCAATCCTACTAACGATTTTAACTGTGTACAATGGTTTTTAAGATAAATTATAAATTCCCCCCATTCCTTATTAAATGTTTGGTCTTCCTGATTTCTGATTCTCCCAGTCATTTTTGCAATTTCGGCATAATCCATAATCTATCTTCGATCTGCCATTTTTCTCTGCTAGAGACTTTATCTTCTTTCCATCTCTGGGCCAATAACATCCGCGCAGCCGTGGTCACATACATAAAAAATCTTTTTTGTTCCCTTGGGATTTTGGCACCTAGAATTCCTAAAAGGAAGGCTTCAGGTTTTTAAAGAAAAAGTTATTCTAAATATTTTTTAAACTCATTGTACAGTGGACGCTGGGGTTGTGAACGTGATCCGTGCGGGAGGCAAGTTCGCAACCCGCAGCACTGTGTCTGCACACACGCGGGTTGCGATTTGGTGCTTCTGTGCATGCGCAAAGCGCAATTTAGTGCTTCTGTGTATGCGTGAGTGCCGAAACCCGGAAGTATGCCATTCCAGTACTTTCGGGTTTCGGCGTGCCCGTAACCCGAAAACGCGCAACCTGAAGCACCTGTAACCCGAGGTATGACTGTATATATACCGTATTTTTTGCTCTATAAGACTCACTTTTTCCCTCCTAAAAAGTAAGGGGAAATGTGTGGCGTCTTATGGAGCGAATGCAGGCTGCGCAGCTATCCCAGAAGCCAGAACAGCAAGAGGGATTGCTGCTTTCACTGCGCAACGATCCCTCTTGCTTTTCTGGCTTCTGAGATTCAGAATATTTTTTTTCTTGTTTTCCTCCTCCAAAAACTAGGTGCGTCTTGTGGTCTGGTGCGTCTTATAGAGCAAAAAATACTATAAAATTAGTTTTATGATTCTAAGGTTCCTCAGCCCCATCCTGTGTGAAAACATTCTAAAGTTCTCTGCGCCTCTTTCTTCATATCTGGACGTGAATTTACACTCCAGAGCTCTGAGCAATGGTCTCACAATGAGCCGGTCTTCCTAGATGCCTTCTTCTCGCTGAAGGTCACGGCTGGGCAGGATTGATCCTGAACTTTTGGCTGAAGCAAAATTGTTGTTCAGATCTCCATGAAGCCTTCTTGCAAAACCTGCTTTTCAAGTCCACTTTCCCACCTGCTGACTTTACTACAAGTCCAAACAATAAATAGTTCAGATAACTATCTGGGACTTTCCCCAAACGCCAGCTGGGCTTTCCTGGCGCAAAATTTATTGCCTCCTTTCGCTGCGCTGGATGGCGGATCTGCTATTCTACGGGAATCTTTTCCAGATTGGGGGCTGAATTGCCCTCTATCCCGCTTTCCGAGGGCTTACTTCCAGGTTACTTCCGGGTTTCGGTGGTCACACATGCGCAGAAGCGCCGAATCGCAACCCGCACGGGCGCAGACATGCTACTGCGGGTTGCGGACTCTGCGGGTTGCGAACGTGCATCCTGCATGGATCACGTTCGCAACCCAAGCGTCCACTGTACTTATTGTTGTTGTTTAGTCATTTAGTCGCGTCCGACTCTTCGTGACCCCCTGGACCAGAGCACGCCAGGCACTCCTGTCTTCCACTGCCTCCCGCAGTTTGGTCAGACTCATGTTTGTAGCTTCGAGAACACTGTCCCACCATCTCGTCCTCTGTCATCCCCTTCTCCTTGTGCCCTCCATCTTTCCCAACATCTGGGTCTTTTCCAGGGAGTCTTCTCTTCTCATGAGGTGGTCAAAGTCTTGGAGCCTCAGCTTCAGGATCTGTCCTTCCAGGGAGCACTCAGGGCTGATTTCCTTCAGAGTGGAAAGGTTGGATCTTCTTGCAGTCCATGGGACACTGTACTTATAGGCCGGTGCAAATAATCTTTCCTGCTGCAGAAATTCTTAAACAGACTTGGGTCACTTTTAAGTTTCATTCAGGTCCATTTTTTCCTTCTTTCTTCTTTGTGTACCACAGCTTTGAAATACAGTGTGCTGGTGTTTCATTGTTTATTTTGAAAGGGCTGCTAGGACTGTGTAAGAAAATAATGCATTATTTCCGAAACACCGATATGACGTTTTAGAAAAGCAAAAACAGATTGTTGTTTTCGGAAGATGAAATCTTTTCGTCTCTTTCCTTCATGGAATCATACAGTTGGAAGGGACCCTGAGGATCATCTAGTCCAACCCCCTGAGAGCAGAAATATGCAGCTGGTCCCATATAGGGATCAATCCTGCACCCTTGGTGTTATCAGCACCACGGTCTAACCAACTGAGCACTGTTTCTTTTTTTAAAAACAACAACACATGTTTTCACACAAGAGGCTAGCCAAAAGGAAATTAAGTTCATTTGCCAATTTGCAGATAATCTTGTGGCGGGGAGTTCCACCAGTTTAACAGTGCCGTAAGTTCCTTTGGCTTTTTTTTGCGACAGGCTCCGGAAGAACCTGAAGACGTTGATTATCGTCCATCCCACTTGGTACATCAAAGCGTTGATGGCGGTGTTCAGACCTTTCATCAGGTAGGTTGGCCAATTATTATCATTTTATTATTTACTGCATTTAAATCTACTAAATCTCACCACCACACCACCCCATTCTGGCATCTGACAGTCGGGGAAAAGGGAACAGGTTACATCTCATTCTCCTAGTGTATCTTTATCAATTTAACCAAATAATCTGTTTGCTGGTTCCGATATGGTAATACCAGACTGCAGGTTGTTGGAAATTGTCCCTTTGTGGGTGTGGGTGTGTGGGTGAAATGGAACCCATGAACTAACACCCACCCCCATTTATTTATTTATTTTTATTAATTTAATTAAAGGAGATCTCAATTGAGGAGATGGAGAATAGTTGGGGAATAGAAGGTACAATGGAACAGGAAAATGGTATTTGGAATAAAACTAATTGGTTATAGAAAAGACAAATTTCCTCTCTGCTAAAGGAAAAAGAAGTTTAAAAATGTAGTAAAAGAATTATTACACACTTTGAAGAATTAGTGTAAGAATATAGGACAGATAGGGCCAAAATAGTTTCAAAATTGTATAAGGTGTTATTAAACAAGGGGAAATCACTAAAGGGAAGTTTGAAAGAATACTGGAAGTTAGATACTCAGGAACAGGTTTTAGATGAAGATTGGGAAAGAATCTTTTGGCAACCACCCTTTGTCGCGACCTCTAGGATAACCCAGGAACAGGGGTTGAAGCTGGTACAAAAATGGTATTACGCACCTGTAAGGTTATACCATATTACAAAATCTGGAAGTAAGAATTGCTGGAGGAAATGTGGAGTGATGGGAACGTACAGTCATATGTGGTGGGATTGTCCGTTAGTTAATGAATTTTGGAAACAGATTGGTATAGAAATATTGGGAATTGTGGGAAGGAATGTGGAAATATCTAAATTAATGGTTCTTATTACCCTGAGTAGTACTGAGTTAAAAACAAAAGAGGAATGTAAATGGGTAAAATTGACGGCAATTGCAGTCCAGAATCAGAGGCAGGAGAGGAGGGAGGCCAAGAGGCAGAGGTGAGTCTGTTTGGTGAAGAGTCATGGGTGTCTCTCCCTCCGGCTGCGACAAGCTCCCCTCTCTCCTGGTCTCCCAGGACCAGGAGAGGCATGCAGAGAGAGGAGCAAAGGCAGACATGCCGGCAGCGTCTCAGATTGCTTTGGGAAAATTATGGCAAGGCGGGCACCTTCAGTCTCAGCAACTGCTTCGTGGGGGTAAGAGACGAGTTGCTGTGCTCCCTGTGCTGGGCCCGGGGGTAACCCGTGAAACACGGTCCATAATCTGCAGGTTCCGCTGGGAGTCAGTCCGACAGGGCCAAGGCAGGACACCAGGCAAGGACAGGTACAGGATCTAGCATACAGCAATGTTGCTCCCGCAACCTAGGGCAAGGTCTGACAGCCTTTTATCTTTGTCAGGGTAACGGCCGGTCCCGATCCCCTGGCGACTCACCTCCCTGTCTCGCCTGAAGGCGAGCACTCCTCCTGCAAGTACTCAGGTCTCTCCTTCTCTCACACCTTAGTCTCTGTGGCTCGGGAGACGTCGGTGGGTTACTAGACCCAGAGGCCGCCTCAGCCTCTCCTGACCCAACCGGTAGTGGAGCAGCTGTAAGGGATGGCCCAGCTGGAGGCAACGAGGTCATCCCCGCATCTGGAGCCAGGGCAGGCTCAGGCCCCTGACTCGGCCCAGCTGGTGCTTATTGCAAGGGAACCTGTGCAGACTGGGACTCTTCAGGATCAGGCCCCAGGCTTGGTTCAGATGATGCCTGAGGCAAAGGATCCGGTGCGGACTGAGACTCCTCTGGCTCAGAGTCCGAGTTCCAGGCCATCACACTTTCTAGGCCTGAGCCTCCGGTGCCGATCCTGTTTTGCTAATCAAGAGTTACTTCTTTGCCCTATAAGAGTTATTTTTTGCTCTGTAAGACGCACCAGACCATAAGACGCACCTAGTTTTTGGAGGAGGAAAACAAGAAAAAAAATATTCTGAATCTCAGAAGCCAGAACAGCAAGAGGGATCGCTGCGCAGTGAAAGCAGCAATCCCTCTTGCTGTTCTGGCTTCTGGGATAGCTGTGCAGCCTGCATTCGCTCCATAAGACGCACACACATTTCCCCTTACTTTTTAGGAGGGAAAAAGTGAGTGTTATAGAGCAAAAAATACAGTAACTCCAGCTTGCTCAGTGTGATTTATTGCTGCCTTGCTCCTGCCCTGTCTGCCCCTTTAGCTTCTCTTTCTTGCACCCTTTCTCTCTCCAGCTCCAAGTTCAGCCGGAAGGTGCAGTTTGTGGACAGCCTGGAGGAACTGGGCCACCTGATCCCTCTGGAGCAGGTCCACATCCCGGACTGCGTCCACCGGTGAGTACCTGGTCCTCCCACTCCCTCCGTCCTCACCTGGGTCCCTGAGGAGGCAGTGGAAGGAGGGGGGCAGCTTGTTACAGGTGGTTACATCACCACCATGCCTAAAAGCAAACTTGGGTGGGTGAGCACCGAGGGGATAAAAGAGCGTAAGAAGGGCTGGAGGCTCACCTAGTCCAGCGACCTGTGGCCAGAGGCCCCTAAGGACCTAGGAATCAAGATAGACTGCCTCTGGACCTGGAGGTTCCATAAGAATGTAAGAGGAGCTCTGCAGATGGATCAGGACAAAGCGGGGACTTTCTACTCCAGAATCTTGCTCTCTTAGTGGACAAATGCCCAAAGAACCTAAGAATCGAGATAGACTGCCTCTGGACCTGGAGGTTCCATCAGAATGCAAGAGGAGCTCTGCACATGGATCAGGACATAGGAGGGCCTTTCTGTTGGGATGCTTCCAAGGAAACGGGAGCAATTTGCAAGCCCCAAGCTGGCTCCAGCTGGGCGATCTCCGGTCCTTGGTTCAGCATGAAACAGCGACCTGCAGCTTCAGAAGCCTTCAGAAGCTGGAGCAGGCTCTAATCAGCAGAGTAAATAACACTGTGCAAACAGAAGTGGCAGGAGACGGCTGTGAGAGCATATTTACAGGCAGTTTATTCTGCGTGCATCAGGACAAAGGAAAAACATGTCTTCTCCCTTTCGGGTCCAAGAGCAAGCAGCAAAAGCAATAGCTATACATACAAACGGAAGTTCCCAGCAAGCTGCGCTGGAGCATAAACAGACATGCGACATACAACAATCCACACATCTGTGTTAAGGTGGAACGGAGCATCAATATCCTCCATATCAATACTCCAGAATCTTGCTCTTAGTGGAAAATGCCCCAAAGAACCAAGGGATCCAGATAGACTGCCTCTGGACCTGGAGGTTCCATAAGGATGCTGGATCAGGCCCATCTAGTCCAGCATCCTTTTCCCACATTGGCCAAGCACACACCTGTGCGAAACAACCACCATGAATTTGCCCTATCCTCTTTCGAAGCCCTCTAGGTTTGAGGGCCTAGCTGCGTCCTGCAGGAGCGAGTTCCATAGATTAACTCTGCACTGCATGAAATCCTTAAAAAAACAACAACACCACAGACAAACCTGTCTTGCATCTCCTAACGCTCAGCTCTGTTGGTTGTCAGAAAAACTGAGGGATGGAATGGAGTGTTCTGCTAAAGGGAAGCCCTCCCTGCTGCAGCATTCTGTTGCAGCGCCAGTGTCCCCTTTCTGCAGGGAAATCTGACCCATATCCCCGAAATGCCCAGTCCCACAATGCAATGGGGTTACTGAGGGGTGGGCCTAAGGGAGGAAGAGAAATAATATATATCCTTAAGCTGTGTATACACCATGCATTCAAGCGCATGAATTCCCGCAAGGGATACTGGGAACTGTGATTCATAGCTGTCAACTTACAGATTTGAAAATAAGGGATCAGCAGCCAAAATAAGGGATTTTGGCTTAGCTTATACAGAAATCCGCCACTGATGGAGCCAGGCTGCTTTTGCTGCGAGTGACTGTGTTTTGCAGGAACTAGATGATCCTAAGGGTCTACAACTCCCACCAAAGAAGAGGGGCAGACAAAACTGATGAACAACGTCGAGATGGCAAAGCTTACAGGCAGAATTAGAAACCAGGAAGAGGACCTCTTTAATAAAGAATGGGGAAAGTTTATAATTTAGTTGAAAAGCTATTGTAAAGAGTTACATACGTTGGTAGGATTGACAGAAAACTTGTAGTAAAAATTTGAACTATGGATGGACAAATGATTTATAAAAATAGAGTTATGAAAGGGATGCAGAGGGGGAAATCACTACATTAAGATGCTGCACTGGTTGGAGGGGATGCTAAGCAGCACATTGAGGCTGCCGTCATCATGGTGCGAGGAGTTCCATTGGCCCTTCCCCGCCCGACAGAGAGAGAGGAAGGGAGGGAGGGAGACAGACTCTCGCCCAGGCTGCTCGCGAGCCCGGCATGAGGCGCTTGCGGCAGCGCCGCGGCCGCTGAAGCACCCCCCTTCTGCGTCCCTCCCCATCCCCTCCTCTTCCTCCTCCCTCAGGCCGCCTCCTCAGTCACCGCCACCGCTGCCACCTCCGGCTTCCCCTGGCAGCGCGGTGGAAGTCTCGCAAGAGAAGGGCTGCCTGCCCGCCCATCGCCACCCGTCTCCTCACGATGCGCCCTGAGGGGGGAAAGGGAGAGACGGGGACGCGGCAGACCGTGCACGCTCTCTCGCACGGCGGAGGACCCCGAGCCGCTGCTTCCCTCCTGAGCATGAAACCCGGGAAATTTAAGGGGCATCATCAATAAGGGACAGCAGTGGGACACGGTGCTGGGATAAGGGAGTTTCCCGCCAAATAAGGGACGGTTGACAGCTATGCTCTGATTAATAAAATACACACAGAGGCTTAACCAGCAAGACTCTGGGAGGGGTGCCAATAATAATCCTTTCCACCCCTCGGCCCAGGTTGTTTTATTCACAAAAGAACTTTTTACACAGGGCTTGTAAGAACCAATCAGATTTCCTCTGAGCATTTCAAAAAAAACCCCACGTGGGACAAAGTCAGATCAGAAGAAATTCTTTTAACTACAGAGACTACTCTGAGCATGCATACATCTCTGAGAGTAAATAAAGCAGGAATAAAAAGGAGGAATGCATTCAGCAACCCTGGAGGTCATAAACAAGCAATAAACACGAGAGGAAGGATGGCAAGGAGATAGGTATCTTTATCACCTTCATGTGAAACTATTTCCAGGCGCTAAGATTAACAAAACCAAGGAAGGGTACATCAAAGAAACTGAACTGCCTACTATCTTTATGTACTGAGGATGCCTGATGAAGCAACTGGCCTGTGTTTCAGAATGCTTATACGTGCCTGTCAGGTGTAGAGAAATCAGAGATGCAGAGGCTTGTGGGATTTGATCAGAAATTATTGTCAATGAATTAAACCCAGCCAATGCAATGCTTTCATCGCAGACACAATGGCTTGATGCATATTTTATAATTCCTCATGGTAATCCCATCTGATCACTACAAAGTGAAATGCTTTAAATGTGTGCGGTGTTTTTGCAGTGTGCGCGATGCGTTTGCAACCTTGTTCAGTTTAATATTTGAATGTCTGACAGCCCTTTCTGTTCCCTTTCCCTCCATCTTTTCCAGGCTAGAGCAAGCCAGGGTCAGTTCCCGGAGCTAACAAGACGTGAAGCTGGCTGCATTACTTAGCACCTTACGACAGTGTTTTATTTTTATTTTTTTAAGTATCAAATGCTGACAAGCACACACACTCACAGGTGCCTCCTTCCTTCCCTCTCTGTCTCTAAGACCCTCTTAGAAACTGCGACCTGATCCTGCTTCTTAAACATTCCCCCCATAATAATAATAATAATAATAATAATAATAATAATAATAATAATTTATTTATACCCTGCCCATCTGGCTGGGCTTCCCCAGCCACTCTGGGCGGCTTCCAACAAAATATTAAAATACCGTAATACATCAAACATTAAAAACATTTCTTTAAAGAGGTTAAAAGGAAATGAAACTTACGAGAGTTTTGTTCCGCACCTGAATTCGAAAAGGAGACATTCTGGGTACTGCAGGGTCTAACTCTGCGCAGGAATGACATTGAATGCAGCCCAGTGTCTCTGAGCACGTACAGAGTGCAAAGCTGCAACCAAGCATTCAACCTAAAGTTCTGTTCAGGAAAGCTTTGGGTCGACGATCTGCTCTCGGCTTGCTGCTGAGGTCATTCCTATTTAATTCCAGTTTTTGTTTAATTCTTATAAGAGGCTGAAACGGCTGGAAACTTTTGCTCGCTAAACGAATTGCCGATGGCTTTTTTGAGCTGCCGGCTACTCGCTTTCAATAAGCGTACCTGGGGGAAAGAATGAGGAGACACAGTTTTGGAATGGAATGTATTTTTCAGCTGGATGGCCCAAAACAAGAGAGAAGTGGGGGGGTTTTTTGGGGGGTGAGGGGTTCACAAAAACATGCTGCTTGCTTTGGGGGACCCAGATGAATCCACCTGACCTGGTGCTTGCTGACTCTCCTGGGCATAACTTGTACATTTGTAAATAAATTGAAATTAACAAAAGCCCCCAACGGGACATTGAGTTTTTAGTGCTCCTCCTCCAGAATGAAAAAGCTACCTCCAAAATTTTGTATTGATCAGGTTGACAGGAAATGAATTGTGCATTCCAGGAATAAAATACTGGGTGTGGAAAACCTGGCTTTAATTTCTTTTCTTTATGTAAAGCTATGCATGAATAATCGCAACATATAAGTTAAGTTTCCTTCCCACTCGGAAATGTAAACCAGGTGAACGGCAGCTCATTTATCTGTTTTTAAAATTTGTTTTTAAATTTATTTCACCTTTCCCCGAAGGAGGAAATGTTTGTCCCTGCCTCTGTTACCGACCCTCACAATAACCCTGTGAGGTAGGTTAGGCTGAGAGACAGTGATTGGTGCAAGATCCATAAATCATATCTATCTATCTACAGTGGTACCTCGGGTTAAGTACTTAATTCGTTCCGGAGGTCCGTTCTTAACCTGAAACTGTTCTTAACCTGAGGTACCACTTTAGCTAATGGGGCCTCCCACTGCTGCTGCGCCGCCGGAGCACGATTTCTGTTCTCATCCTGAAGCAAAGTTCTTAACCCGAGGTAATATTTCTGGGTTAGCGGAGTCTGTAACCTGAAGCGTATGTAACCTAAGGTACCACTGTATCCATCTATCTATCTATCATCTGTCTGTCTATCTATCTATCAGTCTATCTCTTCACACACATTAGGGGCTGCTGCCCAGCTTACAATACTTGCCAGCCTGCTCTACCCACACCCCCTCCAGCTGCCCCCTGCCCCCTTGCCCACCCTCTCTCTGCAGCCCAACCTCCCAGCCAAGAAACCTTTTGATGATGGAATTACACCTCAGAAATACCTAATGGACAAATGCAGTGAAGATGATTGGGACAGTGACACTGCGTCCTCACATGAACTGGAAAATGAACTGGAGGATGAATTGCAGGAAATGGAAGATAGACTGGAAGCAGATAACAGTACCACCGAACACAAGTAAACTTGTAAAACAAAATTATGGCTTCTTGTTGTTGTTTAGTCGTTTAGTTGTATCTGCCTCTTCGTGACCCCCTGGACCAGAGCACGCCAGGCACTCCTGTCTTCCATTGCCTCCCGCAGTTTGGTCAAACTCATGCTGGTAGCTTCCAGAACACTGTCCCACCATCTCGTCCTCTGTCATCCCCTTCTCCTTGTGCCCTCCATCTTTCCCAACATCAGAGTCTTTTCCAGGGAGTCTTCTCTTCTCAGGAGGTGGCCAAAGTCTTGGAGCCTCAGCTTCAGGATCTGTCCTTCCAGGGAGCACTCAGGGCTGATTTCCTTCAGAATGGAAAGGTTGGATCTTCTTGCAGTCCATGGGACTCTCAAGAGTCTCCTCCAGCACCAGAATTCAAAAGCATCCATTCTTTGGCGATCAGCCTTCTTTATGGTCCAGCTCTCACTTCCATCCATCACTACTGGGAAAACCGTAGCTTTAGCTATACGGACCTTTGCTGGCAAGGTGATGTCTCTGCCTTTTAAGATACTGTCCAGGTTTGTCATTGCTTTTCTCCCAAGGAGCAGGCGTCTTTTAATTTCGTGACTGCTGTCACCATCTGCAGTGATCATGGAGCCCAAGAAAGTAAAATCTCTCACTGCCTCCATTTCTTCCCCTTCTATTTGCCAGGAGGTGATGGGACCAGTGGCCATGATCTTCATTTTTTTGATGTTGAGCTTCAGACCATATTTTGTGCTCTCCTCTTTCATGTCCTGATGGAATCTCTCCCCCTGCTTGTCACTCATTGAACCCAGGTTCTCAGGAAACCGGTACATATGTGAAAATAGGTAGTGCATCTTGACGCTCATGTTGCAGCCCAGGTTTCTGAAAGCAGTCAGCATGTTGTTGACAAGTTCTGCGTAGTTTCTGGCCTTATTGTTGCCAAGAAAGTTCTTCACTACCAGAACATATGCCTTCCACGCTTCCAGTTCCACTTCGTTCATTGAGTTTCCGAACTCTGGATCTCTGATGAGCTGACGGATCTGAGGACCGTCAAAGATGCCAGCTTTCAACTTCTCCATGGTCAATCCTGGAAAAGCCTGGCACAGGTAAGTGAAGCAGTCACCATCCTTGTCCAGAGCCTTGGTGAACTGCTTGATTAAGCCGAGCTTGATGTGCAGCGGTGGGAAGAGTATTCTGTCTCTGTCCACCAGAGGATCGTTGATGACGTTCCTTTCTTTGCAAGGCACCAATTCCTCCCGCACAGGCCAGTCCTTCTTCGTGTAATGCTGAGCACGGTCCCTACTATCCCACATGCACAGGAAACATGGCTACTTGGTGAAGCCAGACTGTTGTCCCAACAAAAAGTTCACCATCTTCAGCTATACAAATAAACCACTTATGCTGATCATAACCAATTTTCTCCAGCACATACTTCACCGCTTCATAGTTCTCCTTCCGTGTACTCGAGTGAGCCAGGGGTATAGAGGCAAACTGGTTGCCATTGTGTAGCAGAACACATTTCAGTGATGGCTTGCTGCTGTCAATGAACAGTCTCCAATCTTTGGGTTCGTACTGTGGCACTCCAAGCTTGGGCAGAAGCTGCGCAATATCTGCACAGTACACCAAGTCCTTCTCTTCCGAGAAAAAACGGAGGTACTCTTGATGCCTGTTGCGGAAGAAGCTGATGTGAGCACTGTCAGGGAGGAGGTTTTTTTCCTTCAATCTGGATGCCAACAGTTCGGCAGAGTCCTTTGACAAGCTGAGGTCGCAAACTAGATCATTCAATTCCTTTTGGGAAAATGGATGTGGAGCATCATCTTCAAGAACCACTTCTTCTTCTTCATGTCCTTCAACACTGGAGGCATCTTCGTCACTAATGTCAGGAAGTTCTCCGAAGATAGGCACTGGAAGTTCATCACAATGAGCCACAGGATGACGTGCTGATTGAAGATCAGGATACTTGAGGCTGCTCCGGTTCTTTCTGTTGATCCCAGCCGCACCAATTTATGGAAGATTTCAAGGTTTTATGACTTCAAACTGATCCCTTTTCGACATAATCACCCAGAACTATCGGACCTGAATGCTTCTTGTCATTAAAATAATCATTTCCAATCAAAACAATTATTCGACATGACATTTTACCCCCACCAACTTCTTCTAAAAGGCTCCACACAAGTGTACATGTGATCAAAAACGTAAAAAAACGACATGTGGCCATAGCTCAAAAACTTGACCTGATTGAGCAAAACCAATGTGATTTTTGGATTCAGCGCATCAGATTCGTCCTAAATCAACTGAAAAAACGCAGACAACAAATTTGTTGTTGACCAGTGTTATTAATTATCTGCCTCCAATCCCACCCCATTTTCATAAATCCCGCCTACTGTCCCTCCCCAGAGTTCCGCCCTTCCTTTGTTCTCCCCCAGAGTTCTGAGCGGGTTGCCTAGCGAGGCCACGCCCCCAACAACAGCAGGCCACGCCCCCTCCCTCCCCTTCCGATCCCGACCAGACCAAGACCTCCGGGCGCTGTCCCTGCCCGAGCTCGTAACCCGCAGTCCCCCTCCATGGCCTTAGGGGGCGCCACTTTGGTGCTGACGCTCTGCCTGTGGGGCTGGCTGGCGCCCGGGCCAGGCCTGGGTGAGGACACGGAAGACATGACCCAGATGGGGGCGCCGCCACACCTGGTGGCCCTGATCCCCGAGGCTGCCAGGGCAACGGTGGCGGCGGGCTACACCAACGGCAACGAGACCCAGACGACCACAGAAGCACCGCTGGTGTCGGTCTCCATCATGTTCAGCTCGGGGACCTCGCAGGAGAAGGAGACCGTCCTCGTCGTGGGCGACAGCCGCTACGCCTGGCAGGAGTGGAGCGAGTGGCACTGCAACTGCGCCGCGGGGAGCATGTCCCGGGTGCGAGACATCACCTACTCGCAGCCCAGCGTCCACCTGGACCCGGCTGAGTACGACATCCTGCGCTTCGAGAGGGAGGTCTGCAACTACCAGGCCTGCCAGTGCAAGCAGGGCCAGTGCAACTCCTCGACGCTGGCGTGCGACCAGGGGCCAATGCACATGTGCGCACTGCAAGACATCAAGCAAGACAAGGAGCACAAGAGGAAGGACTTCTGGACCCAGGTCCACCAGGGACTCAGGGACCTCTGGAAGAGCATCAAGGACGCCTTCCCGCCGGAGCAGGTGGGGGCAGACGGGCAGGGGGGGCCGAGGCGCCCCATAATGCGCTCTCCGTTTTGTTTATTCATTCAGAGCATTGGCGCATCCCTGCTCTTTGGCCCAAAGGCCCCCCAGAGTGGCTTGCGTACAATCTGTTAAAACGAACGGCCCACCACACTGGTGTCCAATCTGGAAAACAATAGCAACACGACACACAAGGAAAAAGGAATGAGGAGGGAGGAGGAAAACTCAAATTTCTCAACCAGCTTCTGTGAGTTAGGGCTGATGCAGGCGCACTCGCTGGTTGGGAAAGGCTATTGGTGGCTATGCTCTGTGATGAGCCGCGGAAGGGGAGAGCTGCTGTAGCGCTCAGGTCTTGCCTGAGTGCTTCCCAGAAGAGGGACCGAGTTGGCCGTTGGGGGAACAAGGATGCTGAACTAGAAGGGGCCCTGTTGGCCAGAGCCAGCAGGCTCTCCTGATGTTCTTATGTCGGGTGGTGGGCTTTCTTCTTCGTGGGTGCAAGGGAAAATAGGCATATAAACGAAGGACTGCCTGGATGCCAAGATCCAGGTTTGGGGCAAAGCAGAGATTTAAAACCATAAAACATGCAGCAAAGCAAAGCATGGAAATATGCCCTTCTGGGTTCCTTCCAAAGTCCCCCTCTTCCCCTAGCATAGAAAAAAAAGACCATATGTTTAGTAAGGTAAAAATTGGTTTACTTACAAACTCTTCCAAGGTCAGGTTCATGTGCTTTTCCACACATCGGTCAGAAAACACAGGCAGTAAAACGTGGCTTAGTTACAGTGGTGGAAGTTCCTAAATTATTAGTACAGGAACTCGAGCGACTTGTAAGAGCCTGAGCTTGGAGCAACCAGCTCAGACCTCTTTACACACCAAGCTTCTCAGGGAAACTGGAGGAGAACCAAGTCTTGATTATCTAGCTCCTCCTAAAGTGAGCTAAGCCTGGCTGGACAGCTTACTCTATGGTCTTAACCCCTTCATGCATTAATTCAGCTTAAAGGTAAAGGTAAAGGGACCCCTGACCATTAGGTCCAGTCGTGGCCAACTCTGGGGTTGCGGCGCTCATCTTGCTTTACTGGCTGAGGGAGCCAGTGTGCAGCTTCCGGGTCATGTGGCCAGCATGACTAACCTGCTTCTGGCGAACCAGAGCAGCGCACGGAAACGCTGTTTACCTTCCCGCCAGAGTGATACTTATTTATCCACTTGCACTTTGACGTGCTTTCGAACTGCTAGGTTGGCAGGAGCAGGGACTGAGCAACGGGAGCTCACCCCGTCACGGGGATTCAAACCGCCAACCTTCTGATCGGCAAGTCCTAGGCTCTGTGGTTTAACCCGCAGCGCCACCTGCGTCCCTAATTCAACTTAAGCATGTCGGTTATATGAGGTTGCTTATCCCCACAGGGAGCCCTTCCTCTGATCCCCACAGCTGTGGAGACCTGTTGTTTCGGGTCGCGAGAGTGGGGCCCTGTGCGGCTACTCTCTGCACGTGCTCAGAGGAATGCTTCCCATCAGAATTACACCACTTGCTTGGGGAGTGAACTCCCCTGGATTCTTTTTAATTTAAAGCAAGGTGTTTCCCCAGACCTCCCACCTGCCTGTCTCCTTCCTTACAACCAACCCAGGGGTAGCTCTGCTTGCATTGGCTCTGGGCACACCTTCTGCCAATATCCCGCCTTTCAGCTCACCAGTAATCACTAGAGTTGTGCAAGAACACACCATCTCGCCCTTTCTTTAGGAAGATAAATGTTTTGGGCCGGCACTGAAAAAATTCCTGGCTAAGTTTGGAGCAAAGAGGTTCAGCCAAGCTCCCAAAAGCTTGACCCAGCAGGGCTCTTCCGGTATTCTCATGGAGCCTCCAGGTCTCCAAGCAGTCTATCTTAGTTCCTAGGTTCAGGTGACGTTGGATCACAGTTCTCCGTGGACCCGGCCAACGTGGTCAATAGTGCATAAGATCACGAGAGTCTGCTAGATCAGGCCAGAGGAGGCGTATCTAGTCTAGCATCTTGTTCTCACAGTGGCCAACCAGATGTCTCAATGGGAAATCAATAATAATAATAATAATAATAATAATAATAATAAATTATTTGTACCCCGCCCCAGCCACTCTGGGGCTTCCAACAAAGATTTCCCCAGCCACTCTGGCCAGCTTCCAACAAAGATTAAAAATACATTAAAATGTCATGCATTAAAAACTTCCCTGAACAGGGCTGCCTTCAGATGTCTTCTAAAAGTCTGCTAGTTGTTTATCTCTTTGACATCTGGTGGCAGGGTGTTCCACAGGGCGGGTGCCACCACCGAGAAGGCCCTCTGCCTGGTTCCCTGTAGCTTTGCTTCTCGCAATGAGGGAACCGCCAGAAGGCCCTCGGAGCTGGACCTCAGTGTCCGGGCTGAATGATGGGGGTGGAGACGCTCCTTCAGGTATACTGGGCCGAGGCCGTTTAGGGCTTTCAAGGTCAGCACCAACACTTTGAATTGTGCTCGGAAACGTCCTGGGAGCCAATGTAGGTCTTTCAGGACAGGTGTTATGTGGTCTCGGCGGCCGCTCCCAGTCACCAGTCTAGCTGCCGCATTCTGGATTAATTGCAGTTTCCTGGTCACCTTCAAAGGTAGCCCCACGTAGAGCGCATTGCAATAGTCCAAGCAAGAGATAACTAGAGCATGCACCACTCTGGCAAGACAGTCCGGGTCACCTTCAAAGGTAGCCCCATGTAGAGCGGACCCAAGCTCGGGAGCAACTCCTCCCCTTCTTGAAGTATACCTGAAGGAGCGTCTCCACCTCCATCGTTCAGCCCGGACACTGAGTTCCAGCTCTGAGGGCCTTCTGGCGGTTCCCTCCCTGCGAGAAGCCAAGTTACAGGGAACCAGGCAGAGGGCCTTCTCGGTAGTGGCACCCGCCCTGTGGAACAGCCTCCCACCAGATGTCAAAGAGAAGAACAACTACCTGACTTTTAGAAGACATCTGAAGGCAGCCCTCTTTAGGGAAGCTTTTAATGTTTGATGTATTACAGTATTTTAATATTTTGTTGGAAGCCGCCCAGAGTGGCTAGGGAAACCCACCCAGATGGGCGGGGTATAAATAATAAATTATTATTATTATTATTATTATTATTCCTGCTGGTGTTCAGAATCATCGCATACCATGGAGTATGGCCATTGTGGCTTAGTAGTCACTCACGGCCTTCTCCTCCTTCATGAATCTGCCCAGTCCTCTTTTAAAGCCATCCAAATTGCTGCTCATCCCTGCCTCTTGTGGCAGGGAGTTCCACAGTCTAACTATGCTCTGAAGAATTCCTTCCTTTTACCTGTTCTGAATCTTCCAAGGTTTACCTTCCTCGGATGCCCCTGAATTCTAGCATGATGCAAGAGGGAGAAAACCTTTCCCCTCTCCGAACTTTCCATGCCACCTACCGTTTAATAACCTCTTCTGTAGGGTCACATCTGACCCGCCTTGCCTCTAGTGTCGCTCAAACAACTGTCAAGAGTTTTTTTACCCGCCCAGCAACATCTTGAGGAACTCGTCGATTCCCACGAATGTGTGCGGCATGTGTTTCCCCGCTTACATTTTAATTCTCTTTGCTTTTCCATTTCACACTTCAGGAACCGAAGCCGAGGCGCCAACAGTGAAGGCCAAGCAGCCATGGCGATCTTTGAGCATCGGCCCTGAGCAGGGCCTTCTAGGAAATGTGGCGCTTGGGATCTCGCTCTTTTTCTACCCAAAAGCAAACGCCCTTGATTTGCCAGAACTGCTTTCGAATTGGCAACAAAGCGAGCCGGGAAAACAGGAAGGGCGAAGGAGGTTGTACCACGGACTGATGTAGCATGCTAAACATTTTGTGTTGGAAAGAAAGGGGTTTTTATTATTCTTTTGGGGTCTCCTCTGCCTTCCTTTGGAGCCCCCCCCCCGGCTGCTGAGAGCAGCTGAATAAAAAACGCTGATTCCTGAGTAGGTTTCCATTTTCTATTTCTCTCTGGTTTAGAGAGACTGGGGCACGGACAGGTGACTTGTGGACAGGTGATATTGATGGCCTTACAACGCCCATCATCCTCATTCCTGACCAATAGGCACACTGAATGCTGAGGCCACGATGGGAGGTAGGAATCCTAAAGTGTCTGGGGAGGAGGGCACAGATATTCCCTCAGTACAGGATTGTATCCATGTATTTTGAAAAAAAGTTGTTTGTCTCCTTGCCACACATCCCAAGCTCTCTTAAGGTAAGGTAAAGGTAAAGGGACCCCTGACCATTAGGTCCAGTCGCGGACGACTCTGGGGCTGCGGCGCTCATCTCGCTTTACTGGCCGAGGGAGCCAGCGTACAGCTTCCGGTTCATGTGGCCAGCATGACTAAGCCGCTTCTGGCGAGCCAGAGCAGCGCACGGAAACGCCGTTTACCTTCCCGCCGGAGCGGTACCTATTTATCTACTTGCACTTTGACGTGCTTTCGAACTACTAGGTTGGCAGGAGCAGGGACCGAGCAACGGGAGCTCACCCCGCCGTGGGGATTCGAACCGCCGACTTTCTGATCGGCAAGTCCTAGGCTCTGTGGTTTAATCCACAGCGCCACCCGTGTCCCTTCTCTTAAGATATTGTAATCAAATTTTGCACGGCCGTTCCCGAGATAAAGGCTTGCACCGTGCTTTTAGAGCAGGTGATTACCTGCAAAGGATCCTGGGAACTATAGTTCCTTGCTCACTGAGCTAGTATTCCCATTCTTGACAGGCGACAGCTCCCAGAATTCTTTGGGGGAAAGGTCCCATGCTATAAAGGCACATTGGGTATGCTTTGGATGTACGGTGCGGATCTGCCTTTAAACGTTTGGATGCAGTCTGAACCTTTCGAAACTTTAGAGATTTTTAGGGAGAACTTCCTGAGTTTCCAGGTCCAGAAGTTGGGGAGATGATCTGTTCTGGACACCCCTGGAAGGTGCAGACTCCTGGACCCTGGAAGGTAGCCTGGGGTTGCTTCTGGACCCCTTTCAGACATAGGTGACTGGACCGCCGCACTCCACGCCCTGGTGAACTTCAGGCTGGACTGCTGCAATGCACTTTTTGTGGGGCTGCCCTTGAAGACGGCACAGGAAGTCCAACTGGTTCAAAACGTGGCAGCCAGATTACTGCCTGGGGTTCTGCTGAGTGCTTGCATGACCTCTTTTCCGTAAGCAACTTAAGACCCCAAATATCTGAAAGGCCACCTCCTTCCCTAGGGACCTCCTGGGTGTTCAGATTGGCAGAGGGGTCCCTCTTGGTAGTTCCACCACCCTCAGAAGTTCAGGGGTTCGTGACCCAAGACAGGGTCTTCTCTGTGGTGGCCCCTAAGTTGTGGATCTTCCTCCCCTGGCACCTTCATGAAATAGGTTCCAGAAAATGCTGAAGATGCACCTCTTTTTCTGTTCAGGGAATCATAGAAGTGTGGAGTTCAAAGGGACACCCCGGGGTCATCCAGTCCAACCCCCTGCAATGCAGGAATCTCAACTAAAGAATAAACACGGACAAATTCAGATGGGAGAAAACCTGCCAGGTGCGATTGGGTCACATCCATGCCATACCTTGAAAGCGCATTTAATGGACCTGGCTTCCACCCAAGCATCCTGGGAATTGTAGTTTAAGGGTGTTGGGAACTGTAGTTCTGCGAGGCTGAACTACAATTCCCAGGATTCCTGGACCGGGGGGAAATGTGCATCGAATGTGTTTTAAATCTATGATGTGCACCATAGATTTGAAGGTCCTCTAAGAACAGCAGCTGGGCCCATCATCTCTGAAATCCGAACTTCATATAATAATGAAATATTTCAGGGCGGGACCTCAAGAGAAAGTCTCTTAAGAGGAGGAGTAGGCAGGTATTGTCATTTTCTCCCTCCTCCCGCCATCCAAGACACAGATCCTGGCCATCTTTTGACTTTTTTTAATTTTTCAAGCATACATTACACTCTCCAGAACAGGTATCAAGTTGGCGGGGGGGGGGGGGCAGGCAGCAGTGCAGAGGGCAGAAAAAATTTTAAGAGGCGAAGGAAAATAAAAGAATCTACCCCACCAGCCCAACCTTCCCACCGATCGGATACACACCAAATTCTTGCATCCACCCCAGCGAAATTTCTGTGCGCAGATTGCGGCTTCTCCCCTCCTTTAAAAAAAAACTCTTTTAGGAAGCTTCCTCGTTATATTTAGACATCTTGGTCCGCCCCCCTCGCCCCCCTCATAAATTTCCTCGTTTACAAAAAATGAAGGAAGAAGAGAGAACATGTTTTCAGCAAACAAGGATACACCCGAATAGTCCAGCTATTCTTTCCCAAAAGCGATGGTTTCGACGCCAGCCCTGCCGGGGCGAAACTTAAGCAGTTTGACACGGAGTCACCCATTGAAATCGCAGAGGGGAGAGGTGGTTTCAGGAGCTTTGGGGGGGTAAGATGGGGCCGGCTCTGACGTTAGGCAAAGTGGTGATCAGGGCGGGAGGTCGACAGTAGGTGGCGCCAGAGGCCACGGCGGACAGAGTCAGAGCCGACGTCATTGGCAGCCTGAGAAAATCTCCTGTTTGTTGTGGTCGGTCTCGGCCGCACAGAAATTTTTGTGGCTCGAGGGGAGTGGGTCCAAAGTTACGGGGAGCAGGAATACAGAGGCATTGTAGCATAGCTGTATTTTTAAACCGGTTTCCTTCAGGAGATGATCAAGATTTGAGATTAATTTGGAGCGAAAGGACAGTTCCAGAGGCTTTCTTCGGCTCGAATGTGCCGGGGGGGGGGGGAATCAGTTGAGTAAGGAGTGCAAACTTTGCCTCTGTGCAGTAGGTTAGTTTCCATCCTACATCCACGCAAGCAGTAGGCAGGATCCGAGTTCGAATCAGGAAAAGGTTGCTCCAGGAGGGTATGAAAGAGAGCCAATGAGGGGTGTGGCCTGGGGAGAGGGGGCGTGGCCTTCAGATGGTTCCGAGGGCCAGGCAGAGAGGTTTGGGGGCCACTTTTGGCCTCAAGGATCGAGGCTCCTCACCCCTAGGGTCTAAATGTCAATTCCCAGCTATCTGATAACCTCTGGGGTGACATCAGACGTAAGCCCTACTCAGAGGAGACCCAGGGAAAGCAAGGGAGCGTTTCAAGAGGTATACTCTGAGCTTGGCTTAGCTGAATCTCGCCCTCCTGCATTTGTTAACTTTAAAAAAAAAAAAAGGTGGAAAAATGGCAGTAAAAAATTATTGGCCAGCACACATAGAAATGAAGGCAGACTCTGATATATTTCAAACCTGTTGTGTAATGAGCAAATGGATGGAAGTCTTCCTCATCTTAATGTGAAAAAGCAAAGATGGGGTTTTTTTGGGGGGGGGGGCATCAACAGACAAGCAAAGCTGGCATTGCTCAATAAAGCTAAGCATACTATTTTTTCCTTTAACGAACAGAAAGATGTGGGCTTTTTATTTTATTTTATTTGCAGTGGAACCCTAAAGCGATTCCAGAGTTCAGCCTCGCTGGCTTCATATTTCCTGCAACGCCCCTGCTAATAATAACGAGAGAGAAGGAATGGGGGTGGAAACGATCCGCCATCCGGTGCCAGAGCCTCATGAGGCCTAGAAATTTGAAATCTGAAGTGCTCCCCCAACACCAGCCCCTAGCGCCCTTCCCACACACCCCACCTCAGAGTTCCTCCTCCTCTTGGGAAACCCCATTCAGTCAGAAGGAGTAATTCTGGAGCGAGGAACTCGCCGGAGGGCTGAATTTACTTCCGGGGGCAGCGTGCCATCTGTGGGCAGTGGTGCCAGGGAGAAAAACGGGCGTAGCAAGGGATATAATTTTCGCTTTTGTGCAGTGGGCTGGTCCCTGCACATTTTCACACAGTCCTCTCTCTCTGTGTCCCCGTCAGAGTTTAGGGACAAATCCCAGCCAGGGAACATCATTCAGGATGCGAAGGAGGGACGGAGAGGGGGCGTGGCCTGTGGAGAGGGGCGTGGCCTAGGGAGAGTTCCGAGGGCCAAACAGAGCAGCCCGGGGGGGCCGGCTTTGGCCTGAGGTTCTCCACCCCTCGGGAGGAGAGTCAGGATTAGTCCTTAGCGATCAGATGGGGGGATGTTTCTGCGGAGAATTTCTCGGGGTCAGAGAGAGGAACTTCCAGAAATTGGGGAGGGGGGTGCAGGGAAGTATCTGCCACCCACCTGAAATTGCCGGACTACAACTCCCATAATTCCCTCACTGGGTGCGCCGGGGCTGCTGGGAGTTGTAGTCTGAGCGCCTCTAGAGCCCAACATTCATGATTCGACGGGAAGAACTGAGGATCAAGGCTCCTGCAGTCCAAGCAAGATCTCAGTGAAATGTCCCTATCCCAACAGAATGACGAACTTTGCCCAGCTTTTAACAGGAATATTGCATTTTTTATACATATAAAAGGAAGTTCCAAAATTGCCTTGATGTGATCCAGAGATTTTCTCCCTTCATGATGCTTTGCGGCCAAAGAGGTGACAAGACTTTGCCATCATCCGGACCGGATCCTCTCCATCTTCCGTGTTCGTTCTCTCGCTTTGCCTGGTCAAACATCGTATCTCCCGTTTTGCTGCCCTTCGGTAGAGGAAGTCCAACGTGCAGAGGCCGCCCTGCGTGTGGGATGCTTTGCCGCAGGAAACCCAAAAGCGGCCACACCCCATCTTTAGTGACTGGCACAGAGAAGAGGTCTTCAGGAGCAGGAGCAAAATGCTGGCCAATTTTGGGAGGTGGCAACTGGCTAGTGCCTGTGACGTCACTAACCACACTCTCGCGGGCCTTCCAGTCATTTCAGCAAGGCTTTCACAGGGGAGATTCCAGCAGGGTTGGCACTCTGCCTCCTGCTCTTTAAAAAAAACCGTGCCTCATGGAAAGGTCGATCTTTCTCCCCCTCCCCAGAAAACGCCCAAAAATCCAGTGATTACACTTCCATGTAAAAAAAAACACAACCCAGTTACGATAAGTTCCTCTCCAGATTTTTTTTGGGGGGATAAAACAGAATGCACTTTTAAAAAATGAAGCAAAATGGCACACACATTATACATTTAAAGCACATGTACCCCGAGAATCCAGAGAACTGTAGTTTACTCCTACAGCGCTACAATTCCCAGCACCCATAGCAAACTACAGTTCCCAGGGTGATTGGCCTGGGGGTGTGCATGTGGAAGAGGCTTTGGATGTGCTTTAAATGGATGGCATGTTTGCAGACGTAGATGCTTGCTGAAGCCCCGGGCGTCAATCTCCCTCAAACGCCCGCCCCGATTCCTTGCCAGGTTCTGAAAAAGCAAAATGCGGTAGCCACAAAACGAAGGACGGCATGAGAGACTGATGGTCCAGAGATACTTCTGCATTTTTTGTGGGGGGGGGGGGAGAGTAGAGAGAGAGGAAGCGGCAGCTAAGGGAGTGTTGGATTCAGCAAATCTTTCTATGCAAATCTGGGAGGCGAAAATTAGCGGAGGAATAAGCTGCTGCGTTTGTTGCTGACGCTCTTTAGAAAAAGAAAATCCGATCCGATTTGGAATCAGTTTGCATAAGTTACGAAGGGTGTTTGGTGTTTTTCTGAGCTTCGCTGACCTGCCTCGACAGGATCCAAGCAGGCCACTCGCGCAAGGGTTCTTTACATACTTATTTCTTTCTTTGGGATTTCTCGATTTGTTCATTTGCCCGGGACCTGCGAGAAGAAAAGAGATTGGAATGAAGAATTACATTCCCTCTCCACCTCCTTCCTGCTCCTCCACCTGAATTGGCAGGGGAAGTGAAAACTAGTTAGAAAACAGCGTCTAAGCTATATATTTTAACTCAAGACTTCCCTGGCAGGCTGCTCTCCGGGCAGTGGGGACTGTGGGATGTGATACTTAGGTAGCAGTCAAATACAACATACCTTGTTTTCCTAGAGTGGACATGCAAAGGGGATGTTTGTTCCAGCCGGTCAAAAACTTCCTGTTTCCTCCTGGGCTGGAGCATCCTTCCTTTTGCATGTGACTAGAGGTGGGTGTGACTTTACCTGTGCAGATAACAAAAGCACAAGGCACGCAGCCCCCCCTCCATTTTTCTCCATCTTCCTTTTGTCGTGTGAACTGCAGCGACTGCCAGTTTGCAGTCACTGGGATTAACCCCCCTATATGGGGTAGATCCATATCTACATATTTGTAACTAAGTCTGCCTTCAGGGATCCAACTGTGAACTGATGATGTGAGTAAACTTTTATATATACAGTGAACGCTCAGGTTGTGAACGTGATCCCTGCGGGAAGCACGTTCGCAACCCGCAGCGCCGCGTCTGCACACGTGTGGGTTGCGATTTGGCGCTTCTGCGCATGTACAAGCGCCAAAACCTGGAAGTACTTCTGGGTTTGGCGTGGTACACAACCAGAAATCGCACAACCTGAAGCTGTAACTGGTATGACTGTACTTTAAACAAGATTGTGGCATGTTTATTCATTTAAGAGGGATATATGGGAACTTACTAGGATCCTGTGGGTTAAACCACAGAGCCTAGGGCTTGCCGATCAGAAAGTCAGTGGTTCGAATCCCCGCGATGGGGTGAGCTCCTGTTGCTCGGTCCCTGCTCCTGCCAACCTAGCAGTTCGAAAGCACGTCAAAGTGCAAGTAGATAAATAGGTACCACTCTGTCGGGAAGGTAAACAGCGTTTCCGTGTGCTGCTCTGGTTCGCCAGAAGTCATGCTGGCCACATGATCCGGAAGGCCAGTTAAGCGAGATGAGCGCCGCAACCCCAGAGTCAGTCATGACTGGACCTAACAGTCAGGGGTCCCTTTACCAGGAACCTAATAGTAAGAGGCTTAAACTAGCCTGCAACCAGCTATCTGCTCTGCATTTAAAAGGGGGATGTAAAACTCTGCTAAATTATAGCACAGGCATCCCCAACCTTTGGCCCTCCAGATGTTTTGGCCTACAACTCCCATGATCCCTAGCTAACAGGACCAGTTGTCAGGGATGATGGGAATTGCAGTCCAAAACACCTGGAGGGCCAAAGGTTGGGGATGCCTGTTACAGAACTTGCTAGCGCATGTTCGGAAGGGTATTAATAAACAATATATCCCCTCCTGCCTCCCTGAACACTCCCACAGGGACTACAGCTCAAACCTTGGGCAGGGAGCCAGGATTCCTGCCTCTATGGCAGAAAAAGCAGCTAGTCCTTAATGATCAGATGGAGAACTTTTTTTAAAAAAAAAGGGAAGGGATTTTCGTATCTAGCAAGGCACTTACACGGAAGAGAAAGCGGGGGAAACACCACAGAGCTACAAAACGTGGGAGCTGCTCCACTGTCGATCTCGGCCGCATTTGGATCTCATTTCATGCATTGCACCCGTCTGATGGAAGAGAGAGAAAGAGGTCGAGGTTAGGACTAAGGATCAGGAAGAACTCGCTAGCCCATGACTTACATCCTAGGAGCCTACACAACACAAAACACGGTTGCTGTATGTAGGTTTTATTTTATTTGTTTTTTCTCTTATATTTTGCAAATGTACATCCAGTTTTCCCCCCCTTTAAATTTTTTGGGGGTCCCCAAGAGAGTGGGGCCCTATAGCTTCTTTAGCTTATAGGTAAATCTGGCACTGGGGGTGGCAGCGGTCGGGGTGGCGAAGGCAGGGAGGGTTTTTGGCTGGCGCTATCTCAGCTGGAGAAGCGAGGGCGCGGCGTCTGGCTGCCGTTCGGATCTCCCTTTCGCACACAAGACTCTCAGCGCCAGCTGGTCGAGGAAGCCCAGGAGCACACAGAGGCATGTTTGCAAAAGGGGAGGGCAGGCTGTGGCAAGCCCAGATTCTGCCAGCCCTGGAGTTCTGAAACTGTCAAAATCTGTCTGCTGCAGCTTTTGATCCTGTTTAATAGGCTCTCTGTTCCCTGGCAAATGTCAAAAACGTCCTCTTCCATCTCACCTCATTGTTGAAGGGGTTGCAGTAAGCTCAGAACAGCTCATCCTTTATGGCGGGAATTTAACTTTGACACAAATGGTAAATATTACGAGGGTTGCCATACGTCTGGGTTTTTTCCTTAAAAAAGCTCAGCAACTTTCCTTAAAAAATTGAACAATTTCCAAAAAAAAGAGCTTTCTTTAGGCAATTCCCCCCAAAAAGCTCAACAACCTTTGTGTCCGGATTTCTTGAAATATGGCAACCCTAATATTACTAAAGAAATCAGGAAGATGGAGTGTTTGAAGAAGAGAGGAAAATGTTTGCAGGATATTTGAAGAATCATGTTAACAGGTTAAACTTTAGCAGGGTGGCAGTAAACTCAGCAGTTTAGAGTATATAAAGATACGAGGCGGAAGGAGAACAAAAGAATTTATGGAGCAATTTAAAAATGCAGCCGTAATGGGTATATATACAGAACCACAGAAGGGGAAGCCGATGATTCTGATTGTATGAATAAATTGAATGGAATGTGAAAATTTGCAATGGAAAAATGTATAAATAATTTTTCAGAAAAATACTAAAGAACCGAGGGTTTGCTGTCCAAAATTAATGCCGTCAAATATTTCTGATGATACCAAGAGAGATATAATGTCAAAAGAACTGGCCTTATATATGATCTTGGCGGATGGGCTAGTAAGAAAACAGCCCAGAATTTTGCACTTGGTATTGCTCGCTTTGCAATATTGGTATAATAGAGCAAATTATGCATAATTTGAGATATTGACAAGGACCAGAAGCAACAGACACTTTAAATATGATTATGCGTTCCTTTACAGCTAAACCAGTCCACATCACAAGCCTGAAAATGTTTGGGATTTTGGTTGTTGTTTTTTTAAACGCATGTGCAACTGAACTCATTCTACATGACTGATTTACAGTTTTGTTTCTCCTCTTTAGATTTGCATCTGTGGCTGCAACTGCTCTCTCTGGTTTATATACGTTATAAAATGAAATTTTAAAAAAAACTTTACAAAACCAAAATTAAAAATGAGGCCGGTTTGGCTGTCGCCCTCAAACAGCCGCTAGAGGGCAGGCGAGGGCAAACCTTTCCTTCCTCATAGAACCTAATGAAAAACCCACTTCCTGCCATTTGCTAAAGTGGATGGGGAAGGTTTGTATCTGCTGTGTAGAAACGCCCAACTCCTTCCGAACCCAAACCGAACCGCCAAAGAGAACAGAGGTTTACCATGGGGAGACCCTCGTTCGCCATGTCTCCGGACCCGATGTGCGTCAGGTGGACGAAATTCATGGGCTCCCCTATCATGCTGCGGTCGATTCTCCGCCGCGTCTTCTTCGGCTGCGGGGGGAGAGGGAGGAACAGGGCGGAAGGAAAACATCACCACCAGAGTCGAGGAAACACGGGAACGGGCTTCGCCTGAGCCAGAAGGCAAGCAAAGCCTTTGGCGCATTGAAAGCGCCACTTGGAAGAGTCCGGCTGCTGGGTCAGGCCAAAGGGGGTCCATCAAGTCCAGCCCCCCTTGTTCTCACAGAGGCCAAATGCCCCTAAGAACCGGACTGTCTCGCCAGAGTGACGCATGCTCTGGTTATCTCCCGCTTGGACTACTGCAATGCGCTCTACGTGGGGCTACTTTGAAGGTGACCCGGAAATTACAACTAATCCAGAATGTGGCAGCTAGACTGGTGACTGGGAGTGGCCGCAGAGACCACATAACACCGGTCTTGAAAGACCTACACTGGCTCCCAGTACGTTTCCGAGCACAATTCAAAGTGTTGGTGCTGACCTTGAAAGCCCTAAACGGCCTCGGTCCAGTAGACCTGAAGGAGCATCTCCACCCCCATTGTTCAGCCTGGACACTGAGGTCCAGTGCCGAGGGCCTTCTGGCGGTTCCCTCCCAGCGAGAAGCCAAGTTACAGGGAACCAGGCAGAGGGCCTTCTCGGTGGTGGCGCCTACCCTGTGGAACGCCCTCCCACCAGATGTCAAAGAGATAAACAACTACCAGACTTTTAGAAGACATCTGAAGGCAGCCCTGTTTAGGGAAGCTTTTAATGTTTGATGGACTACTGTATTTTAATATTTTGTTGGAAGCCGCCCAGAGTGGCTGGGGAAACCCAGCCAGATGGGTGGGGTATAAATTCTATTCTATTCTATTCTATTCTATTCTATTCTATTCTATTCTAAGAACCTGGAAATCTGGATAGACTGCCTCTGGAGCTGGAGGTTCCACAGGAACACCAAAAGAGCCTGGCTGCCGGATCAAGCCAAAGGGGGCCCATCTCTTGTCCAGAATCCGGTTCTTAGAGTAGCCAACCAGATCCCTGTTGGAAAACCGCAAACAGGAGCTGAGCCCAAGAGCCCTCTGCCATCCTGCGGTTTCCAGCAACTGGTATTCAGAAGCATAGCTGTCTCTGAGATAGACTCATGGAATTGTAGAGTTCAAAGGAACCCCAGGGGTCATCCAGTCCACCCCCTGCAACGCAGGAATCTTTTGCCCAATGGGGGCTTTGAACCAACAACCTCAAGATTAAGGGTCTCACGCTCTACTAACTGAGCTATTGGAAGCAGATCGGATGAAGGCAATTTCTCTGTATTTATCATTAGATCTGTTAGGGATTAATTACTGAAATATCTCTATGTGATTTAAGAGACGGTACTTAATGTTTGATGTCTTATCGCCTTTTTACGTTTCGCTGGAAGCTGCCCAGAGTGGCTGGGGAAACCCAGTCAAGATATACCTTGTACCATCGAAACAGGTGAAAACCACAGGATCCGTCCAAATAAACGGCTGCAGGAAACTTTGCCAGTGTGTTGGTAACAAAAACAGTCATTATCTCAAGCCACCGTCGCACTGTATATTCAATGTACTCTGATACCACCCTAAACGGTCAAGGCCTTCCCCCAAAGGATTCTGGGAACTGTAGTTTGTTACAGGTGTGAAGAGTTGTCAGGCAACTGTTCCCCACTATTCGTCTCCCAGAGCTACAGTTCCCAGAGTGGCTTAGCAGTCAACCCCTCTTGGGGGAACTAATAATAATAATAATAATAATAATAATATTTATACCCCACACATCTGGCCAGGCTTCCCCAGCCACTCTGGGTGGCTTACAGTATAGAGTGGTACCTCAGTTCTCTAACATAATCCATTCTGGAAGATGGTCCGACTTCCGAAACATTTGAAAACCAAGGCGCAAAGGGCTGGCTGAGAGTTCAATTGGAAAAATGGAAAAACAGGCAGCGGAAGCCGTTCCGACTTCTGAGGCGCGTTCGAAAATGGAAGCAATTACTTCCGGGTTTTCGGCGTTTGAGAAACGTTCGGATTCCGAGACGCTCGAAAACTGAGGTACCACTGTATCTAAAAACATAATAAAAACTTCAATCCTTAAAAAAAACTCTTGCCAACTCTCTGGCCTGCTGTTCTCTGCACCTGGGCTAAGAGATTCGGGACGACTCACCTGCCGCGATTTCTCTACGACGCAGCAACCCAGCTTGTGCCAGAAATCACTCATATTCGTTGAGGATTCCAGCTTTCCGCCTAGTGGGTCGATCTCCTCTCAGATACTGGTAAGCCGGACCCCTTTCCGCGTGCCGGATCCCTCTCTACGCCGGAAGGTTTCTGCGACCGCTGCGACCCAAAGCTGCTTTCTTCCCCACCACCACCGCTGCAGGGTCCAGAAAATTCACACGGCGGCCTCCGAGATCATTCCGCGAGCTGAGACGATTCCGCCGTTCTGGAGAAAAGACGCCGGCGGAGATTTGCAGAGTTCGTTCTCGTGTCCTGACAGCGAGGCAGAAGCAAATAAGGCTCCTCGGACGTTGTTTGAAGTTTACCTTTGGGGAAGGGAGAAAAGAGAGAGTCATTTAGGAGATTTTAAATATTCCTTAAGAACATGAAGGTATCAGAAGAGGCGTTCTGGATCAGCTCAGCATACTGGTCTCATAGCAGCCATTGTATGGCCAGGAAGCTGGGGTTAATGGGTCACTGGTCTGATCCTGCAACAGGGCTCTTATTTTTATATGAAGGGCTGCCCCCCTCTGCTTGAATCGCTCAGCAACCCTGCCCACCCTTGGCGAATCCAGGGTCCTGTTGAGGAACGACAGATCAGCCAATGGGAGGCTGAGCTATGACTACCTGAAAATCCTGCGCTGCAAATCCTCCAATGGGAGCTGCGTGACGACAGCATTGCGTTTCTATGTATATAGCAAGAAACTGCAAACAGTTATCAGCTACGAGTATTAGGATCGCAGAGGCTGTGCGGTATTTTTGGCCAATTAATTTGAATTTCAAAGATTTTTAACAATTTAACTTCAAATTTAGTACGAGTTTAAAATATTTTTTATAAGCTGGTTTCCCCTTGATGTTTCCAATCCCACCCTTTCCTGCTGTATTAAATGTTTGCTTTCCTTCTGGGATTGTACCCCCAAGTGTGTTTTATATGCTGGTCTCCAACAGTAGTAAATTATCTATCTATCGACAACATACTTTAATCTATTATATTTCCCGTTCATTACAATTAATTATTCCTTTATTTCCCCCCTTTTAAAAATTCATTGTCGATTTCCCATCCGCTGCTATGTTGGATCCTGTTCGCACTTCTGTGGACTTTAATGATTTTCCAGATAGTCCAAAGAAGGCTCCAAACTTCCATAAAGCTTTCAATATTTCAACATTTTAATCTCTTAATTATACTGTCTCCTTTGTCATGTCCAAGGTTTAATAACCATTTCCTGCCCTGTTTTGGTCCTGAGGGGGAAATTCTCTTTTGGGGAAGACTGTTCATAACATTTTACTTCCCTTTTCTTAAAAGGACATCTTCTTACTGAAGGGCGTTGCAACGCAGATCGCTCCACAATTTCCCTTTGAGGAAGATCAGACCCGGCAGATAAGACCTCCTTTTTTACTGGTCGACTTGACTGCTCTCTGCAGATAACAGGAAACCGAGCGTTTCCATAGAACCAGACTGGAGTGACTTATTTTTCTTAAAAAAAGAACTCTAAATGAAGAAGACGCCACTTCCTCATTTTGAAAGCGTTGCCACAGAGAGAGACTCAGCGAGTGTCACTGGCTCTGGGGCTTGGATTTCTCAAGCTTTCGCGGCTGCCTGCGTCACACAACGGGCCGGAAAGTCATAACACAACCGCTGCGCAATCTGATGTGTGTTTACTGAAAATTGAGCCCACTGAGCTCAGCGGAGCGAGCTTTGCGTCGGATCCCAGCCTTGCAAATAATAAAAAACCCCATTTTTTAAAAATACAGAGGTCACACATTTTGAGCACTATTACAATGCTTAAGGAACCATGGTTCCTCCCTGCAAAGAATCTTGGGAACTGTAGCTGACCAACTATGGCGCTGCGGTTCCCAGATCCCTTAACGGAAACTACGTTTCCCAGGAATATTTGCGGGAAGCCATGTGGTCAGTTGGTTAACAGCGTGGTGCTGATAATGCCAACGTTCCGGGTTCGAAACCCGTCCGGGACAACTGCCTATTCCTATATTGTGGCGGGTTGGACTAGATTATCCTCAGGGTCCCTCCCAGGTCTACAATTCAGTGATTCTATGAATGTGCTTTAAATGTATGGTGCTCTTGCAGGTCCAAATGATAGAATATCTACAGATGTACAGATGGATATGATGACAGGGAGAATTAGAGGGTATCCAAAACAGAAAGTACAGAAAGAATGGAAGATCTTTAAAGAATATTTGGGAAAGTATTACAATAACAAATATCTCCTGGCAGAAACAGAATGAACTTTGTAAAACAACAAATATTATGTTTTTTTATATCTGAGGAAAACAAAGAAAGAAATATAATAACTTGGAACTGTGTGTGAAAAAATTGTAGAAATAATAATACAATGAGTCTAATCGGAAGTTAAACGTGTTTATTTTGCTTTGTATTTTTCTTCCTTTTCTCCCTCCCCCTTCCTTCCCCTCCCCTCCCCCCTTTCTCTTTCTTTTTTCCTTTTGGTGTTTCCTTTCTTGGTCTTCCCTTTTTTGATACGTTAAGAAAAAGATAAAGAGAGAAAAGTGTAGTATGAAAACCTCAGTAAGCTAAAAGTGATGTGGTATAATTTCTTTATTAGTATTTATAAAATGTTAAAATTGGTTAATTGTAATGATTTGATGTTGCAACTACTGTGGTTTTTCTCCCCTTTGTTATTGTTGAACTCTAAATAAAGTTTTATTCTGTATAAATGAATGAATGAATGGTGCCCAAAGCATAACCAAACTGAGAAGGGCCAGGCCCTCTACGGAACACAGCCGTGTTTAAAAATTGGGAGCCGATCTAGGACACTACTGCCACCCTGGGAATCCTGGGAAATGTAGTTTACTCCTCACAGAGCTACAATTCCCAGCATCCTTAGCAAGCTCTGCTTCGCAGGACAGGAATCCCTGTGTTTTAAAAGTGCACCGAAGGAGCTTTAAATGCACGCACCTCCAGGCTGGATTATTGCAACTTGCTCTATGCAGGGCTGCCCTTGAAGCTGACCCAGAAACTCCAGCGGGTGCAGAATGCCGCAGTGAGACTCCTTACGGGGTCCCTGCCATGGGATCACATTCACTCAGTGCTTTACCAGCTGCACTGGCTCCCGGTGGAGTACAGGATCAGGTTTAAGGTGCTGGTTTTGACCTTTAAAGCCCTATACGGCCTAGGACCCTCGTACATACGGGACCACCTCTCCTGGTCTGCCCCGCGGAGGACCTTAAGGTCCACGAATGACAACACCTTGGAGGTCTCAAGTCGCAAGGTGGTTAGACTGGTCTCAACTAGGGCCAGGGCCTTTTCAGTACTGGCCCCGACTTGGTGGAAGGCTCTGTCGCAAGAGACTAGGGCCCTGCGGGACTTGACATCTTTCCGCAGAGCCTGCAAGACAGAGCTGTTCCGCCTGGCCTTTGGTTTGGACTCAGTCTGACCCTTATGTTTCCCTCCCCTTCTGGTTTTGATTTATCAGCAATTTTAAAATGAGGCTGCATTTTAAATTGCATTTTAACCTGTATTTTAAATTGGGTCCCCCCCTCCCCCCTATTTTGTACTGTGATTTTATTGGTGTTAGCCGCCCTGAGCCCGGCTCTGGCCGGGGAGGGCGGGGTATAAATAAAATTTATTATTATTATTATTATTATTATGTGGATGTGAGTCTGTCTGATTCCTAGACCACAGCTGTTTATACTTGGTGGAGGGAGACTCAGACCTGGAGATTTAATGTGGCCCTCTGGGCCTATATATCTGGCCCTCAGGATCCTCCCTACCATCTCATCAGCCCAGCCTGGCTGGGATGTATCCTTGAAATCTGATGGTCCCTTTTGTATCCCTGGATGGAGGATGGAGAGAGATGGAGTCAGTGGGTATAAAGGTGTGAGAACTTTGGGCTTTTAAATTCTCCTCTAAAGCCTTCCAAATTGGTGATCATCACTGCCTACTGTGGGATGGAGTTCCATAGGTTAACTTTCTTCTCTCGGTCCTGAATCTTCCAGCATTCAGCTTTGCTGGAGGTCCACAAGTTCTGTTGCCACAAGAGAGGAAGGAAAACTCTTCCCTATCCGCTTTCTCTGTGCCGTACATCATTTGATAAACTTCCATCATGTTGCCTCTTAACGATGGATGGATTCGAACTCTGCTCTCCCAGGCCTTAGTCTGACACACTGGGATCTTTTAAACCAGACTTAAGACTGGACAGATAGAGGAGATCCTTCTAAACACAGATCAGGGCATGCGCTCAACCTAGCGGTTGGAGGATGGATGGCGGCTAACAGGTTGAGGTTGAATCCTGACAAGACAGAAGGACTGTTTTTGGGGGACAGGGGGCGGGCGGGGGTGGGGGATTCCCTGGTCCTGAATGGGGTAACTGTGCCCCTGAAGGTCCAGGTGCACAGCCTGGGAGTCATTCTGGACTCACTGCTGTCCATGGAGGCGTAGGTTAATTCTGTGTCCAGGGCGGCTGTTTACCAGCTCCGTCTGGTACGCAGGATGAGACCCTCCCTGCCCGTAGACTGTCTGGCCAGAGTGGTGCATGCTCTGGTTATCTCCCACTTGGACTACTGCAATGCACTCTACGTGGGGCTCCCTTTGAAGGTGACTCGGAAACTGCAATTAATCCAGAATGCGGCAGCTAGACTGGGGACTGGGAGCGGCCGCCGAGACCACATAACACCGGTCTTGAAAGACCTACATTGGCTCCCAGTACGTTTTTGAGCACAATTCAAAGTGTTGTTGCTGACCTTGAAAGCCCTAAACGGCCTTGGTCCACTATACCTGAAGGAGTGTCTCCATCCCCATCGTTCTGCCTGAACCCTGAGATCCAGCACCAAGGGCCTTCTGGTGGTTCCCTCCCTGCGAGAAGTGAGGTTACAGGGAACCAGGCAGAGGGCCTTCTCAGTGGTGGCGCCCGCCTTGTGGAACACCCTCCCTTCAGATGTGAAGGAAATAAGCACCTATCCTATCTTTAAAAGACATCTGAAGGCAGCCCTGTTTAGGCAAGTTTTTAATATTTAATGCTGTACTGTTTTTAGCACATGATTGGGAGCCGCCCAGAGTGGCTGGGGAAACTCAGCCAGATGGGCTGGATATAAATAATAAATTATTATTATTATTATTATTAGCAAAAATTGCTGTTTTTTTTAAAAAAAAATGTGACAAGCTTTTGAGTTCTCCAGAACTCTCCTTTTGCCTGATGAACACTTCTGGAGAACTCAAGAGTTTTGCCACATTTTTTCAGCATTTTGCTTGGTCTTTAGTTTTCATCTCTCTTTCCCCGTGACTCATTCAGCCCAGAAACCGTTGCTGATCATCTCTGTTGTCGTTGTTGCATGGGCGCATTTCAAAGTGACATCGGAAATAAATAAAAATACTGCTGGTTTTCCTCTATCGCAGTCCTGAGGTTCCAAAATGATGGTACGGCCAATCGCTGGTGCATCGCGGGGCAAAAGTCAGAGAGGATGCCCAATTTGCAAAAAAAGGGGGGGGGAGGAAAAGGAGTTTATCTGTAGAGAGGCACATCTAGGAGGAAATGGTTTAAATTCAAAGAAAACTGAAAGTTTTAAAGAATTAAAAGAAAGAATTGAAATTGGTTGCTGGGGCTTGATGAAGAAACGAAGTGGCGTTTGGGAGATTTTCGTGTAAGGAAAAGGCGTGTAAGAAGCAATGTGATAGAAGTTTATGAAATTGTCTCTGACTCTAAGAATAGAAAAAAAGTTATCCTCCTGGACATCTGAAGGACAGACAAAAGGAATGTCTAGCACTGACCAAGGTGGATAAAAATAAATGATTTTAAAAAATCAAAAATCGGATTTTTAAAATTTCCATTGGATTTTTAAAATAAAATGCTTTTGGAGGAAAAATCTTACTAAAGACAGTTTTCTGTTTAAGTTACATTATAGTCCAAAGGCTATTCATCAGGAAATAAGGATTCATTTTAAGTTTTTCATGTGTGTTAAAATTCAGTCTAAGGTGTTTAAAAATTAAAAAAATTGTTTAACCACATCAGTTAAAAAACATGGATACATATGCTATAATGTTATTGTTTTAGTCAAATAAATTGTTTCAATTGTTGTTAAGGAAATGATTATTTTTCTCCTTCCAATAAAGTACGGCAGGAAAGTTGTCCAAATATAAACAATAATTTCATAATTATCTGTCTATGTATTTCTAATCGTATAACCAAATCAGTAATTTTTGATATAACTGTAAAAACTACTTTGAAAACTTATTATTCCAAAAAGGAAAGCTTCATCTGGTTGTAAATATTAAGATTATACCAGCAAGAATGAGTCTTTCTGTAAAAAAAGAAAGATTTAAACCAAGTCTTACTGACTAGTGATTTAAATCGTGATTTAAATCGATTTGATTTAAATCAAATCCACCCTGTTGCATCACACAGTTAAACTGTGGAACTCCTTGCCACAGGAGACGATGACAGCCACCAACTTGGATGGCTGTGAAAGAGGATTAGGCAAATTGATAGTGTAGGAGGGGGCTTTTGTGGTCGAATCCTGCTTTTCGGCTTCCCACTGGGACATCTGGCTGGTTACAGGATGATATAGATGGGTCCCCAGTGGCCATATCCAACCGGCTCTTTCTTACAATCCGATGGAACCTCCAGGTCCAGAGGCAGTCTATCTCGATTTCAATAATAATAATAATAATAATAATAATAATTTATTATTTATACCCCGCCATAGCTGTCAACCTTTCCCTTTTCTTGCGAGGAATCCTATTCGGAATAAGGGAATTTCCCTTAAAAAAGGGAAACGTTGACAGCTATGTACCCCGCCCATCTGGCTGGGTTTCTCCAGCCACTCTGGGCGGCTTCCAATGGACTATGAAAATACAATAACCTATTAAACATTAAAAGCTTCCCTAAACAGGGCTGCCTTCAGATGTCTTCTAAAAGCCTGGTAGTTGTTGTTCTCTTTGACATCTGGTGGGAGGGCGTTCCACAGTGCGGGCGCCACTACCGAGAAGGCCCTCTGCCTGGTTCCCTGTAACTTGGCTTCTCGCAGGGAGGGAACCGCCAGAAGGCCCTCGGAGCTGGACCTCAGTTCTAGGTGGTTAGGGGCATTTGACCACAGAGGGAACCGGATACCGGACTAAGATGGACCCCTTTTGGCCCAATCTGGCAATATGCTCTCCTGATGCTTCTTCTGCTAACTGCTCTGCACTTTCCGAAGGCGGAGGGAAGGAGCTTCCGAAGGGGATTTCGCAAAGCGGAATTAAGAAGAGATTTTTGTTAAAGGCATCATTTTAGCAAACCGCCGGGGAAGGCCCAACCAGCCCCCAAGACTGTCTGCTGTGGGATCAGCCAGACAGGAACAATGCGCGGCCTTCATCCCTCCGGCGGGGCTGGCCGGCAGCCTCTGTGGCTGATCACCAGGGTTCCCGTCTGTTGCCAAAGGATGACGGAGGAATCAAGACAGAGTCATGGAGCAAATTGCTGTTTTTGCAAGCGGAGAAAAGCTTCGTCAGGAGGAAGGAAAAATGTGACTCAGCAAAGCGTCTTTGCTCCTTTTCCTGGGACGGGAGAACGTTCTCTTCTCCCCCCCCCCAAAAAATTATTAGTTTTCACAATATTATAAACAAACAAACAAACAAACAAACACACAAGACAAACAAACAAAAATCATAGCCTTATTGAAAATTACAGTTATTAACTTTGTTAAGTGACTTCCTCGCCTCCCCTTGGTTGAATTTCATTGCATGTCCTTTTAATGTATTTCCAAATCCCATTTTTTATGACATTTAACTTAAAACATGAACATCCTTTGATCTTCACCTTATGGAATTAAACATATTAATTCATCACTTAACATAAATAAAATCCTAAGCCCGTTAAGTGTCTGCAAGCCGTTTTCAGTTAGTTTAACTTAACAAATTTAAGTAAATAATCATTAAATTTATTCCACTCTTCTGATACTCCACCAACGTTCTCTCGGTGGGCTTCCACAGATTTCCTCCGCTCGCTTTGCGATCCTTCAAGGTCCCCAAATTTGAGCCGTGCCCGCATGGCGTCCGCAAGCGGCTCCTTGAGAAACTCCCCTTTCCCTCAAACAGGCTTCAATCCGATTAGGGAACGGAAGCCGCGGTTCAGCGGAGGTGTGGACGTAAGACGAGACTTGCAGCTGGATCAGGTCCAGGCCTGGTCCAGCCTCCTGTCCTCACAACTACATCCCTAAGAACTCAAGAATTCAGATAGACTACCTCTGTACCTGGAGGTTTCATACATGCCCCATAGGAAACCTGCAGCTGGAGCAGGTCGCTTCTGAATAGCGGTGGAGGGAAACCACCAGATAGGGAAACACACTAGCGCTCGAATCCTGCATGCACTTTCTCCCCCACAGACATCTGTCTGGGAACAGGGATGTCCACACACCCCTTGTTTCTACCTCTCTTTCAAATCAGAACCAGTGAAAGTCCTGTGTGAGTGTCTGAAGGCAGTTGGAGGATGGATGGCGGCTAACAGGTTGAGGTTGAATCCTGACAAGGCAGAAGTACTGTTCTTGGGGGACAGGAGGCGGGCAGGTGTGGAGGACTTCCTGGTCCTGAATGGGGCAACTGTGCCCCTGAAGGACCAGGTACGCAGCCTGGGAGTCATTCTGGACTCACAGCTGTCCATGGAGGCGCAGGTCAGTTCTGTGTCCAGGGCAGCTCCATCTGGTACACAGGATGAGACCCTCCCTGCTCACGGACTGTCTGGCCAGAGTGGTGCATGCTCTGGTTATCTCCCGCTTGGACTACTGTAATGCGCTCTATGTGGGGCTATCTTTGAAGGTGACCTGGAAACTGCAACTAATCCAGAATGTGGCAGCTAGACTGGGGACTGGGAGCGGCCGCCAAGACCACATAACACCGGTCTTGAAAGACCTACATTGGCTCCCAGGACGTTTCCGAGCACAATTCAAAGTGTTGGTGCTGACCTTGAAAGCCCTAAACGGCCTCAGTCCTGTATACCTGAAGGAGCGTCTCCACCCCCATCGTTCTGCCTGGACACTGAGGTCCAGCTCCGAGGGCCTTCTGGCGGTTCCCTCCCTGCGAGAAGTGAGGTTACAGGGAACCAGACAGAGGGCCTTCTCAGTGGTGGCGCCCGCCCTGTGGAACACCCTCCCACCAGATATGAAGGAAATAAGCAGCTATCCTATCTTTAAAAGACATCTGAAGGCAGCCCTGTTTAGGGAAGCTTTTAATGTTTGATATATTACAGTATTTTAATATTTTGTTGGAAACCGCCCAGAATGGCTGGGGAAGCCCAGCCAGATGGGCAGGGTATAAATAGTAAATAGTAAATTATTATTATTATTATTATTATTATTATTATTACTTAAGGCAGCAACAACAACAGAGGACCGTGGGAAGAATTCACCCTGCACCAGGGGAGGTGTTATTTTGGCCCCGGGACTCGTGTCAAGGCCAGGGAACGAGGCTTCCAGGGCCTGCGTAGGAGGGAAAAAATAAAACAAAACAAGATTTTCGCTTCCTGTTTGCCTTCGGGAATGAAATCACCTGGAGACCCGTCGCTGAATTGGACTGAAGGCCTGCCAAATCAGGCATCCCACTTCCAACCCATCAGACGCCCCCCGGCAAGCAACCAAGCCCTCCCTTATTACCCGTCCCCAGGAAATAGTTATATTCGGCGGTAGACTGCTTCTGTACATGGAGGCTCCATCTGCTTCTCCAAGCCAACAGATGGCAGAAGACCGACCTAACCACATAGGATTTTCCTTGACAGATCAGACCAACGTGGGTCTATTGTGCCCAGTCGCCTGCTCCTGATGGAGGACAGCAAATTACTTCTTGGAAGCTTATAAACAGGGCAGAGAAGAAACAGCCCCCATTCTCTGTTTCCCCTCTCATTTTCTCCGGGGTCTGGTATCCTCTCATCCTCCTCCAGAAATTTGTCTCAGCCCGCTTTTAAGGCTACCCGAGCCTCTGGCTACTACTTCACGTCTTCCGGCCGCGCAAGAGTCCATAAATTCAAATTAATTGCACGGGGAGGACACTACACAGGGTGAACAATCAGGGACACGCCACCCAGGAGAGCGCAGTAAGGTGGCAACGGCCCTAACTGTGACAAAGCCGGAAAAACTAAGGTATAATTGGCTTTATACATTGTGGTGTGGCAGTCAGAACCTGGGAGACCAGAGTTCGAATCCTGCCACGCAGGCATGAAGCTCACTGGGTGCGGCCCCAGGGACTAGTCAGTCTCTCAGGCTAGTCTACCTCACAGGGCTGCTGTAAGGATATAAACTGGTAGTATGACTCATGCAACACGTTGGCGACTAATATATAAACAATAATTACCAAAATAATTATACATTCTTTATCAATCTTCTGAGAAAAATACAAAACCTTGTGTAAAGCCGCAGGGACTTGTGAACTACCCAACTTAAGATATAATGTCTGGTTTCAATGGATTTTTCAAATGCTTAACTCAGTCTTTTGTTATCTTTATCTTTTTAGGTAAGTTCATGAAGATACCAACAAAGGGTAAGTTCGGTGTTGTTCACAATACTGAGAGATGCTAGTGAAGTTGTAGATGGATGTTAATGAAGTTGTGGACAGGATCTACAGCTTCACTAGCATCTCTCAGTATTGTGAACAACACCGAAGGAACTCAGGTGGTGTACATGTTTCTCCATATTTTATATTACTATCAAGCATAGAACAAAATCATCCCAGAAAACAGGTGTGAAATATTCAAGCAGGGTGAGAGAGAGGGGGCCAGAGACATCCATAATACCGTAGTTTTTGCTCTATAAGACGCACCTTTTCCCTCCTAAAAAGTAAGGGGGAGAGTATGTGCGTCTTATGGAGCGAATGCAGGCTGCGCAGCTATCCCAGAAACCAGAGGGATCGCTGCGCAGCGCTCCCTCTCGCTGTTCTAGCTTTTGGCTTAGCAGTGCGAAGCCTCCTCAGGGCAGCGGGAGCCTTCATCTAGCTTCTGGGATAGCTGCGCAGCCTGCATTCATAACAGACACACACATTTCCCCTTACTTTTAGGAGGGAAAAAGTATGTCTTATAGAGCGAAAAATACGGGCTGCCCTTCTCCCTCCTTGGGGAAAAGCCTGCAAGCGCCGCATACGCTCCTCGCGGCTCGTGAAAGGGAGTGCTGAGCAGAGCCTGGGATGCCCTTTAAAGAATATTTTTTTCCTTGCATTCCCCCTCTAAAAACTAGGTGCCTCTTATGGTCAGGTGCGTCTTATGGAGCGAAAAATACGGTGCATTCCAGACTTCTGACATACAGTGGTACCTCGGTCGTCGAACGGAATCCGTTCTGGAAGTCCGTTCGACTTCCAAAACGTTCGGAAGCCAAGCCATGACGGACGTTCGGGTTCCAAAGAACGTTCGCAAACCGGAACACTGACATCTGGGTTTGCAGCGTTCAGGAGCCAAAACGTTTGACTGGCAAGGCGTTCACGAACCAAGGTATGACCGTAATAGAAATTACAAGTCTATAAGAAGAAAATTGGCAGGGATACCTCGTTTTTCCAGGGTGATGAGCTGTCTTTACAGAAAACCTTAGTCTGTGAAGCTCTGCAGATATTTCACCTTTATTGTTTTAACCACAGCCATTTATTGGCTATGGTGTGTGTGTGTGTGTGTGTAGATCTACTACGTTCTACATTTAATTCCCCCAACAGCGCTGCAGAGTAGGCTAGGCTGAGAGACAGGCTGGTCCAAAGGCACCAACCGACAACAACAACAACAACAACAACAACAACAACAGGTGCCACATAACACCCATTCCACATTTGTAAGGAAATCGGTCTTTTAATGTGGCAGCACCTACGGAACTCCTTGCCTCTTGATATCAGGCAGATGTCTTCACTGCACTCTTTTCAGTGCCTGCTAAAAGGGTTTTTTACTGAGACGAGCTTCCCCAGACATGGAGAATGTGTATAAGAGACACAAATCCAGAATTTTTCAAGGTGGACTGGAAGCTTTTTTCCAGCCTATTGAAAAAATAATTTCCCATATGTGAAATCCACAGCGGGGTTTGAAGTTTAAGAAAAAATAGCAGAATATTTTGACAAACCCATGAAAGAGAATAAAACTGGATATGGTGGAGTTTTAAGACACAATCGTATGCAATCGTGATTATAAATATCGAGGGAGGGTGAACGGGAAGACATTAGTATGGCAGAATAAAGATAACTGTTGAGTGATAAAATGTAACTTTGAACCTTGAAATAAAAGAAAAAGAAATCTGGGGAAAAATGTGGATGTATGTTTTGATCAGTTTTTATGGCTGATTTTATTTTTTTAATGTCCTCAAGGTTGTTTTTTAAATTTACTGATAATTTTATTGTTTATTTTGTAAACTGCTTTGAGGGTTGTTGTTCCTGCAGTCGAGCACGGTATACATTTTATGAAATAAAATAAAACGTAACACATATTAAGAATGTAAGAAAATAAATCACAGCTTCTCACTCCCCTGACTCCCCCTCTCTAGGGACAGCAATTTGTCCAGAGTTTTGCAAGTATTTTTGGTTTCTATGGAAGCCGCCCAGAGTGGCTGGGGAAACCCAGTCAGATGGGTGGGGTACAAATAATAAATTATTATTATTATTATTATTATTATTATTCCTTGATTCCTGGCCCTTGGGGTCCCGACTCTACAAATTTGTGTTTCTCTTATTCTAAAACCCCGCATCTCCAAGCTGCTGCTCTTTTGGGCTAACCAGAAGAGACAGCTGGAAGGCTGAAACTCCCCTTGCCGCAGTGGCTATATTTATCTGTTTGAAATATTTCCCGTCCACCTTTCTGGGTCAAGCCAGAGGCACCTCCCAAAATACCCGGCTTGTCATCGAACGAACCCTTAAAATACCAACGAACCAGTAAAACCTTAAGCCACCCAGCACGTTAAACCTAAAATCAACTCCAATGATTGCAGTTAAAATTGGCACCAAAGAAAGAAAGAACAGGGGAATGTTGAAACAGAAGCAAAAGGAAGCACCAAATAGGGAAGGGTCGTGGGTCAGTGGCGTGCAGGAAGATCTGGGTTCGATTCCCCAGTGGCTTCTCCAGCTGCTGCCAATCAGTGTGGACAGTACTGTATTAGATAGGCCAAGGGTCTGACTCTGTACAAGTTTCCTAAGCAGAGGTTGCAAAACCACTCCAGGGGCTCAGCATCGTGTCGGTGACGACCCGGGCGCTGACTAATCAGTGCTGTCTGCCGTGTTGGGTTTTGCTTTGGAATAGCGGTAAACGTCTCAGAGAAAGGAAAAAGTGGATTTGGGCATCAGGTGCCATGAGAACACTTCCAAGTTTATCTATGAGACATAGAGATTAGATAGATGATAGATAGATAGATAGATGAGGGATGCAGATGGCGCTGTGGGTTAAACCACAGAGCCTAGGACTTGCCGATCAGAAGGTCGGCGGTTCGAATCCCCACGACGGGGTGAGCTCCCGTTGTTCGGTCCCTGCTCCTGCCAACCTAGCAGTTCAAAAGCACGTCAAAGTGCAAGTAGATAAATAGGTACCGCTCCAGCGGGAAGGTAAACGGTGTTTCCGTGCGCTGCTCTGGTTCGCCAGAAGCGGCTTAGTCATGCTGGCCACATGACCCGGAAGCTGTACACCAGCTCCCTCGGCCAGTAAAGCGAGATGAGCGCCGCAACCCCAGAGTCATCCGCAACTGAGCCTAATGGTCAGGGGTCCCTTTACCTTTACCTAGACAGACAGACAGACAGACAGATAGATAGATAGATGATAGATAGATAGATAGATAGATAGATAAACAGACAGACTGTCTTGAATCTTTGTAAACTCCCTTTCCATTGACTTCAGCCAGCCAACTTCACTGAGCTCTCTTTGGCTCCTGCTAAAACATTTTTGTTCTGGCAAGAGTACCCAGGTGTATAGAACGTTGACGTGTGTTTTAAGCTGTTTGTGGCTCGTTGGTTTTTAATTATTGTTCAAATGTTTTTAACCACTAACTCCATTGTTTTGTTAATAATTTGTTTTCCCGGGAAACCGCTTTGAGATTGTTGTTTTGAGCGAGCAAGCGGTATACATTTTTTTTTTTTTTACAAAATCAGTCAATAAATCTGGACTCTGACTCGCAAGGGTCAGAGATGATGGGAGAGGCTATAGCTATGTCTGGAGAAAGAGAGGCAAGGAGGTCAGCAGGCAGGTGGATCAAATCATAGAATTGTAGGGTTGGGCCTCATGGGTGATCTTGACCAGGGCCCTGCAGGATTCTCATAGCTAAAGAATCCTTGAAAGATGGCCATCCAAACTCTGTTTAATAACCTCCAAGGAAGGAGAGTAGAACAACCTTCCGAGGTTGTCTCAAACAGGTCTTGCCATCGGAAAGCTCTTCCTAATGTTTAGTTGAAATCTCCTGGGTCTTCGGTCTTTGACCCGCAAGGGCCAACCCCTGGGCTCAGCGGGAAACGAAAACGTGCCGTTTGCACATGCTCAGAGACACCCACGCCACTATTGGATAGTACACCCACGGAGAGCCTCAAGGTCCATAAATAGCAGCACCCTAGAGGTCCCGGGCCCTAAGGAAGTCAGATTAGCCTCAACCAGAGCCAGGGCCTTTGCAGTACTGGCCCCGACTTGGTGGAACGCTCTGTCTCCTGAGACCAGGGCCCTGCAGGATCTGATTTCTTTCCACAGGGCCTGTAAGACAGAGTTGTTCCGCCTGGCCTTTGGCTTGGAGCCAATTTGATTCCCTTCCCCCCTTTCCTTTTTCCTTCTGTGATGGAACTCCTACTTGGGGACTTCCCTGGCTTTTTTCTGGCCCACGTAGGACCAGTCTGGATAGTTGGCCTTGGTGAAGACTTGACATTTTCATCCCCCAAAAAGGTTTTTGAGTTTCTTCTGAAATTAGGCTGCATTTTAATGTTGTATTTTAATCTTGTTTTTTAAAGTTGTATTTCAATCAATTGTTTTATATCTGGTGTTAGCCGCCCTGAGCCCGGTCTTGGCTGGGGAGGGCGGGGTATAAATAAAATTCACTATTATTGTTATTGTTGTTGAGTCGTTGTCGTGTCCAACTCTTCGTGACCCCCTGGACCAGAGCACGCCAGGCACTCCTGTCTTCCACAGTTTGGTCAAACTCATGCTGGTCACTTTGAGAACACTGTCCAGCCATCTCGTCCTCTGACTTCCCCTTCTCCTTATGCCCTCCATCTTTCCCAACATCAGGGTCTTTTCCAGGGAGTCTTCTCTTCTCATGAGGTGGCCAAAGTCTTGGAGCCTCAGCTTCAGGATCTGTCCTTCCAGTGAGCACTCAGGGCTGATTTCCTTCAGAATGGAGAGGTTTGATCTACTTGCAGTCCATGGGACTCTCAAGAGTCTCCTCCAGCACCACAATTCAAAAGCATCACACGAAGGAAATAAAAGAGTGTTCGTGCAGGCATTTATTCCCACCGGCTCGCCTCTCCAAAAAACCCCATCTGTCCTCGTTTCAGGGAGGAGAAATAACTGCCGTGTTACAGGGAGGCGGGGAAGGACGGATCCGACCTGCCCTGGCACGACCGGCCTCCCCGAGGCGAAAGGCCAGCCCTCCTGGCCCAAACTGACTCACCTTCCTGCCTCAACCTGCTCACCTCTGACTCATCTCTCCACCTGGACCGGGGTGGGGCAGCA